TTTTTTATAATAATTTTATTATTTGTATTAACATTTGTATTAAGTGAATAAACGACCAAGTTATTTGGCAATAGCTTAAGAAAGAGTTATCAATATAAAGTGGTCAGTGGAACCTAAATAATAGTTTAAATAATAGGCCAAGTACTTAATAATAGATATTGAAATTTTCTATAAAACGTGTTTGGAAATAAAATAAATTAAATTGATATATAATTAAATTTCATAAATTATAAATTCATTTATTACTTAATACATATTTTGCACAAGTAAACTCGCTAAAAACAAGTATATTATGTATATAAAAAGTTTAAAAAAAGCATTTTTCAGCCGAGTCTTCCCGCGAAAGAGCATTTTCATGTCTCTATGAAGTACCGAATAAATTAAGAGTAGTGGTCGACTTATAGATAAAGAAATAGTAAATTAATTACCTCTTAAATTATTTTGAATTAATTATTAAGATATATTTTGAACGTTGAACGTACAGCATATAATTTAAAATAACAGCGTAAGGTTTTTTTGGTAGCATTTTTTTCGGTTATGTGCCAGAGCTAAGACATACTCATTCCCACTCCCACCCCATAAAATTAATAAAAAAAAATCATTAGTTTTCACCACCGTGGGAAAAAGAAAGTATATTGTAGAAACAATCCCCACTGTTTAAACTATTTTTGACGAAAAAACCATTATTTATGTTATGTAAAATTTAAGTAATTTTCACATATTTATTTCAAACCATTTGACTTGCATAGGTATTCATAATTACTATACTACTATACTGAGCCTTCTATTAACTTTTTGTTACTGACATGGCATCGCCTGTGGCATAAGTCCGTTTACCTTCATAGTGTCAACACATTTCAATCTCATCGCAAAATCCAAGTACTTGGTATCGTAAGTTTTTGTTTTTTTTTTGTTTGTACATTGTACATTATACTGTCTATTTGCTGTAATTCATTGATATAATAATTGTTCACTCTTTCATTTTTCTTTTTACATTACTCCTATAGTTTTTCACAAAATTCACGACCCCCTTTGGAAAACTATTGTTTCAGTCGACTTTCGAACAACCCGTTTACTTAAAAATAATGAACACTAAACATTTGAGAAATTTGAGCAATTTAAATCGGATTTCCTAGTATGCATAATTGTTTTAGGATTTCAAAAACTTCATTCAATTTAGAAATAATAAATATTATGTTACAGTAACATAAACATCATTTTAAATCCGAATGAAAACTATATTTTTAAAGTAACACGGCATAACTTATACAATCATAGATCTAAAATTAGTTTATGAGAATTAGCAAAAATGCACGGGAAATAAAAATTGAAATTATTGTTAATTGAGTAATAATAAAGTAGTATATAATAGACAATTTGTAATATTTATATTTGATAAACTCAACGTTAAAAAATTATTTGCATTTTTTTATAAGGTATTAAAATGTCAGTGTACCCGATTTTGCTGCATACAATAACATGTGGATGGTATGTATTTTTTTGGAATCAATTTTATGCATTGCCCACAAAGGACATAGAAGAATTGCATCCAGTGTACCAAAATTTAATTGAATTTAGATTTAGATTCTTCACAAACTGGAATTTGGTATGCATAAGCACTTTTAAAAATATTATTTTAACTAATCAAACCGATTTAAATTATTTGTAATATTGTTTGTACCTTAGGTCTAAAATGACCAATATCAAATGTTGGAAGTATTATGAGTAAGATTCCTGAACGTGTAAATAAAAACATTTTTTAAATTAATCGTAAAAAAATTGATTGTATATGGTCGCAGTTTACAAGTGTATGGAACTAAAAAAGTTCTGCATGACCTAATAAAAAAAACAATATATATATATATATATTAATACCTAATAACTTTTTAAATATATACATAATAAAAAAATCATTGTATATTTTTATAAAATATAATTTTAAAAGTATAACACTTTGTAGTACGCCAAATATATATTATGAAATTTTGCTTAAATATATTAATCATTTTTTTAATTTTAGTTTATGCAATCGTTATACTTCAGCGGCTGTTTACTTCACGATATCATGAAAATTCTCAATGGACCAAATTGGCTTAACTTGGGAACCAAATTCCAAAATTTACTGTCTGCTACCTTTGCCTCTCTTATACTACCTATGGGAATAGTAAATATGATAATATATTACTTTTTTAATAGTTTCTATGCAAAATACAAATCTAGTGTTCGTTGTACAATTCATATATATCATATGCTTCTAATTTTATGAATATATTCATGAGATTTATTCTATGAATATGCAATGTATATTTCTTTAAATGCTTTTAATTAGAAAAATAATCATTCAAAACTAAATTAGTTTTACTATTTTACTAAATATTTTTTTCCCTGTAGAAGAAGCTTGTTTTAACAAATAAATTAAATGTATTGGAAATGTCTACTAAATATTTGTAAAATGTACAAATAATAAATAATCTTTTATAATTTCAGTTAGTATCGGCGGCGTTTTGGATTTTTTACAACATTGACCGAGAGGTCATTTATCCAAAAGTATTAGACAACTACATACCAATTTGGCTAAACCATGGAATGCACACTGTGGTCTTACCGCTGGTTTTAGCTGAACTAATAACTACCAAACACAGATTTTTGCCCGTGAAAATTCTAGCAACGATCTTTACTTCCTACATATTTTTTTACTCAACCATGTAAGAGCATTGTCTTTAATAGTTCACTACTATGATTAAAGTGTCATTTTTTAAATGTAGTCTTGTGGTGACCTACGTGGAAAAAGGCCGTTGGTTGTACCCGCTCTTCGAAAAGTTTAGCTTACCAGTAGCAATAGCCGTAATTATATGTTTTCAGATCGTCATCTCTGGATGTTTATTTGCTGGTGTCTTCATTCAAAATCAAGTCTGGGGTAAGACTTTGTTTATATTCAAACACAACATTACCTAAATTAATCTAATGTACAAATTGGGTTGTACTATATAATTGTATGCGACGTTTAATATCTAAAAACTATTTTTTTTGGTTTAAGGCGAAGAAGAAAAGAGAGAAAACAGAAAAACTGTAGAAAAATCAGAATAACTTAGTTCTTTCTAATAAATATAGTATTTAGCATTTTCCATACTTATAAATTGCATGTCGCGTCACCGCCTCGGTAGAACAATGATACAACTGCAATAATTGAAATTTTACAGAAGAACCAAAAAACCAAATTATTTCAGTTAAGTTCTTATCTTTATAGCAAATAGTAGTAGTAGTTAGATCTTTATCAAATATCTAATTAAAATTGTATACACTATTACTCGTATTATTTAATTTAAAATTCATAATAAATTACATTATAATATAGTATATACCTAACTTATAATAGTTTATGTTATTATTTATATTACTATTTAAATAAAACATTATTTTTACTTATTACCTAAATTAGTTGACGATTGCAGAATTTGGCTGTCAAGTACAAATTAGTTTTACCACATCTTACATATGTATTCTATAGTTAAAGAATACAGGTAGGAGCTTATGAGCGTCCTCAATCTTATCTTTTAGAAGATATATTATTAACAAAATTTGGTACCTAAAAGATATATTAGAGCAAGGAAAACGGAAAATATGGCACTTGTAGTTTAAATTACATAAATAACCAAAAAAAAAACACATATTTAATTATTATTTTATTTTAATGCTAGTGTTATGCTGGTGGGGGCAAAGCTGGGAAGAAAGCTAGGAGTGTGGGTGAGAATGGGTTTGGGGGTGGGAATTAGTTCTGGCACATAACCAAAAAAAATGTTACGCTGTTATCTGATAAGAGATAAGAGATATGTTGTACGTTCAACGTTCAAATTAGAACTAAATGATGAATTCAAAATAGTTTAAGGGCCCAAATACCCTATTAAACCGCTAAATATATTGAGTGGTTCACGCTAAAATAATCACCTTGTATTGACTAGTTATTTACAAGGTTATAAAAAGAAAAAGCGAAAGTATATTATTTTTAAAAAAATGCTAATTAGCACATATAAGATATTATATACATAGATAATAATAATTCATAAGTATACAATTGTATATACAGTAGGTAAGTATATTTATAGTATAATTGGTTTTATTCAAAAAGATCCCTATTAAAAGTTGTTATTTTGTTAAGTGATTGAATTTAAAGAAATTAAACAATAGGTATTCGGAAACAACATTTCCAAATATTTTAAGGTACATTACAGACGTTATGAACACATTAAAATGTTTTATTGAAATATTTAACATAAATACTTCAGGATTTTCTACTATATATACACACAGAGAAAAAGTAAGAAATATCTGCGATTTAAATTCTATTACCTATCTTATTATAAAAATTTTATTATTTTTATTAACATTTATATGTGGAACCTAAATCAAGGACTTAATAAAAGTTATTGCAATTTTCTATATAACCTAGTTAGAAATAAAATAATAATATTTAATTAAATTTCATAAATTATAAATTAATTTACTGCTTTATTTTACATAATTAAACCAACTAAAAATAAGTATTACGCATATAAAAAAAAAAATGAAAAAAATTCATTAGTTTTTACTACCACGGGAAAAGGAAGTCTTGCAGAAACAATCGCCATTGTTTAAACTATTTTTAACGGAAAAACCATTGTTTATGTTAAGTAAAATATAAATAATTTTCACATAATTATTACAAATCATTTGACTTGCACAATCGCAATTACTACACTACTATAGTCTATACTGAGCTTTATATAAACTTTTTGTTACCGACATCACCTGTGGCATTAGTCCTTTTACCTTCATAGTGTCAACTAATTCACAAAATCCAAGTACTCGGTATCGTAAGTTTTTGTGTTTTTTTGTTTGTACATTGTACATTATACTGTCTATTTGCTATAATTCATTGATATAATAATTGTTCACCCTTTCAATTTAATTTTTTATATTACTTGTATAGTTTTCACAAAATTATTTTGGTGACTTTATCGGCAATTATTTTTCTCACGGCCACTGTATTTTTGAAGTAACGCGTTTTAATTTCAAAATAACTTTTATAATCATTGTTCTAAAACTAGTTTATGAGAATTGGCGAAAATAAAAATATAGAAATGATTGTTAATTGAGTTATAGAAAAGTAGTATAATAGACAATTTGTTATATTTACATTTGATGAACTCAACCTTAAATAATTAATCGCATTTATTTATAAGGATTTAAAATGTCAGTGTACCCGATTTTGCTGCATACAGTAGCATGTGGATGGTATGTATTTTTTTGGTATCAAAATCAATTATCAGTATCACCTACAGAGGACAAAGAAGAATGGCATCCATTGTACCGAAATTTAATTGAATTTAGATTTAGATTCTTCACAAACTGGAATTTGGTATGCATAAGCACTTTTGAAAATATTATTTTAACTAATCAAACCGATTTAAATTATTTGTAATATTGTTTGTACCTATTAAATCTAAAATTACCAATATCAATTATTGGAAGTATTATGAGTAAGACTCCTAAACGTGTAAAAAAACACTTTTTAAAACACTTTTAAAATTGATAGTGTATAGTGAAACTATAAAACTTCTGCGTGACTTACCAAAAAAAAAAAAATATATATATATATATTATATATACAAAAACAATATTACAAAAATCATTGTATATTTTTATAAAATATAATTTAAAAATAATAACACTTTGTAGTAGGCCTATTATATATTATGAAATTTTGCTTAAATATATTAAACATTTTTTAAATTTTAGATTATGCAAACGTTATACTTCAGCGACTGTTTACTTCACGATATCATGAAAATTCTCAATGGGCCAAATTGGCTTAACTTGGGAACCAAATTCCAAAATTTACTGTCTGCTACCTTTGCCTCTCTTATACTACCTTCTGGAATAGTAAGTATAATATATTACTATTTTAATAGTTTTTATGCAAAATACAAAGCTGGTATTCATTGTACATTTGTACGTACACTTCATATAATATATCATAAGTTTGTAATTCTATGAATATGTTTTTTGGATTCAATTCTGTTTTTTATGTTTCCTTAAATAAGTAGAATAGGTTGATTGTGAAGGGGGGGGGGGCATTGAAGGTTAGGTTCGCAGTGTCGCGGAGACGATCCCAATACCCAATTTAAAACCAACAATTATTTATAGGTAGATTGAGACACATTACACTTCCAATGAATATTTCTTTAAATGCTTTAAATTAAAAAAATAATCATTCAAAACTAAATTAGTTTTACTATTTTACTAAATATTTTTTTCCCCGTAGAAGAAGCTTGTTTTAACAAATAAATTAAATGTATTAGAAATGTCTACTAAATATTTTTTAAATGTATAAATTATAAATAATATTATATAATTTCAGGTTGTATCGGCGACATTTTGGATCTTTTACAACATTGACCGAGAGGTCATTTATCCAGAAGTATTAGACAACTACATACCAATTTGGCAAAACCATGGAATGCACACTGTGGTCTTACTGCTGGTTTTAGCTGAGCTAATAACTACCAAACACAGATTTTTGCCCGTGAAAGTTATAGCAACGATCTTTTCTTCCTACATATTTTTTTACTCAACCATGTAAGAGCATTGTCTTTAATAGTTTACTACTATGATTAAAGTGTCATTTTTTAAATGTAGTCTTGTGGCTACCTACGTGGAAAAAGGCCGTTGGTTGTACCCGCTCTTCGAAAAGTTCAGCTTGCCAGTGGCAATAGCCGTAATTATATGTTTTCAGTTCGCCTTCGCTGGATGTTTATTTGCCGGTATCTTTATCCAAGATCAAGTCTGGGGTAAGACCTTGTTTGTATTCAAACTTAACATTACCTAAATTAATTTAATGCACAAATGGGGTTATACTATCATAATTGTACGTAACGTTTAATACTTAAAAACCAATTTATTTGTTTAAGGTAAAGAAGAGAAAAGAGAAAACAGAAAAACTGTAGCAAAATCAGAATAACTCAGTACTTTCCATTAAATATAGTATTTAGTACATCCCATAGTTATAAATTACATGTTATGTATTCATTTGATTAAAATATACTGCTTTACAAATAGTTTTGTGAAGTACCTATCTATTGACAAATAAGAGGAGGTTACACGACTCTAGCGACATACTTGCCTACTGACTGCTCACAATAAATTATACTCTTGATCATTTTCAAATTAGTCAGGAGTGGGTCTAGATTTTTTTTCATGAGAGAGTACCAAGATTTGTTTAGCAATTATCATATTGAACCTAAATATTATCAGTCCACAATTTTTTAAAAACTTTTTTTATAATTTATATCGTCACTCAAGAAGCACACATCGTATTCCCTATTTTTTTTGGCCAAATCAAGTTGGCCACACTGTTTTATTACAATCTGCGCGGTCAATCTGGGTGGCAGCCCAAGACTTACGATAACGTCAATAGATAACGCTATTAACAAATAATTGATAACACTGTTTAGTGTTATTGAAACTGAATTTTTCGCTCTATTGTAAAGTTGAAAAAAATGAGATACATATTATTTTCTACAGGCGTATTTCAAATGGTGTTGTTGTGGCCATAATATATAGGTAACTCTATTAATTAAAATATTTTCGCGTGAAAAAAAAGCCATAATAAATAATTACTTAAAAATATATATATATATATATATTAAAAACTCGGCTACTGGTTATATGTACCTAACGAGTAATAGGTATCGAGACTGCGATAATTTTTGTTTTTTTTACATTTATTATTTTCATACCAATTTCGAACCGATAATAATAATAATAATTGAGTGAACCGTCGTCATCGGTAGCGCTTCAATAAAAAAAATATACGACAACAATATATAATAATAACATGTATAACATAAAATATTGCGCTCAACCTTGCCCAAGGCGCGTTACAAATAGGCGCTATTATGCCGCATTGAAATTTTGTTTTAAAAAAAAAAAAAAATCGTTATTATCAAGTAGTTTTACGATTATAAATAAATTATATATTTTAATATGTTTTCGATTTTTTTTTTTTACCCCTTCGCTAACGCAATTATGTTAATATGTCCTTTTAGGAGTTATGTCCAGAGATCGTCGTCGTCTTTGGAACTCGTTTGACATTTCATTATTGTCGGCTGCTGCTGCTGCTGTTGTTGCCTGGGGTAACCGGTTTTTACAAATAAAAATAAATATACTAATTTCTTAGCTAGCTACCGGGCACTGCGCTAAGTGGTTATTTAACACGATAATGTACCTATACAATCATTTTTTTTCGACACACACACAGACAGATATACACCATACCCAATACTCGACACAATGCATCCAGATACCATCGCGAACGTGTGACTATATTATTATTGTAAAAAAAACATAATATTATAGCGTTTATTTTCGAGTAAACCCACACCGAGACATAGTGTATTATCGTTATTATGAATCTGCCTACTGGCGAAGGAGAGAAGACCGCCACCGATCCTTTTATTTAACGGGTAGTCTTCGCCGTTCGGGTAGGTACGCCATTTCCCGGAATACACATTAATATATATATATATATATAATAGATAACAAACATGATAATACAACATGTTTCGGAATACCTGAGTACGCGTAAATAGTGCCTTTATAGTGTTTTGTGTTATACACGTACGGCCAACCTACAGGGTGATCACGGCAAGGTCACATAAGTCTACAGAAATAATTATTATAATTTAAATAAACGATTCGATGCTATATCTATAGATTAGTAGGTTCACACCACAGCACAGTCAAAACCAAGCGCAGTGAAAAAGTATTATACACAAGTGAATAGTAGTAGTAAGTAAGGGAGGTGCAGTGTTCACGGATAAAACTTTGACTGTAGATTTTTGAGAACATCTTATATTATGTTATAGCCCTATTCTAGGTCTACCTTCGGTCTAATTTTCAAATCTAAAATCCTAAAACTTCACCTAAAAAAGCGAAATAAAGAAAAAGTTTATCGGTAGCACGATGTCTAAAGAATTTTCTATACAAATTTCAAATTAAACTATTTTTAAAAAAGTTATGAAGCGCCGTAATTTTAAGTTGAAAAATATATTTTTGTATTTTTCTCTATTTTCAAGAGAAAGAAATAGACTTTTGATTTTAAAAAAATAAAAAACAAAATGACAATTCCTATTGGTCGATAACCACGATATTTGCTTTTAAAACTTATTAAAGTTCAACATTTAGGTTAGGGTGGGTGGTAGGGTGGAGTTTAGTACAATTTTTTTGATCATTACTTATACTTTAAGCTTTAAAAGTAATTATTCAAATCGGGTTATAGTCAACGGGTTATTTTCATAAAAATTAAAATTAAAAACCTAACCTAACCGATTGAGACCACTTAATACAAAAATACCAGGTGCAGAATAAATTCAACACAACCGTTTAAGAAAATTTGATTTGTTTTTATTTAAGCAAAAAAAAAATGTTCATAATCAGAAATTGAAAGGCAAACAAAATACTCTCAAATAGTTAAAAGTTTCATTACTTACTAAAGTAACAAATTACTTTTATTTCAAGATTTTTTTTTTTCGTATTGGCTATTTGAATAAACCGTCATCCCCTCATCATCAACCTCCCTTCGCCGTACCTCTGATGTGATTGTCGATAGGACGAGTCGAATAAGACATTATGAAAATACCAACACTACAAAAGAAAAATAGTTTTGATGGAAAAATGTTACACCTTTTGTACGCCTAGATGTCTTATCGTTCGGGGAACGTTGATTAGGACGTGGTGACGACCCATCCATTATGCATTGCACTGCTATCTATGACGGTCATATGCCTATTATGTATAATATTATTATGCTCAAGCCAACGCTTTGGTTTCGAATTTTCGCCTACCTGAAACGTTACTTATCTCTTTCAGCACGGGTAATCCGATACGGGAAAAAAGTGGGACACGTGCAACCCATTTCGAGACGTTAATAATACTATGTCAATTCGTATCGTTTGTTGTATTATATCAAAATAATATAAATATTAACAAAAAAGTATATATTGTTTTTTTTTTTAAGAGTAAAAATCACTAATTGCGTGTACCAGTGATTGCAATCTTCGATACTATAACAACGACAGTTTTCATAGTATGTTGTATTCACAACGTTCAAAATAGAAATGAATAATTAAATTCAATAATACTACTAAAGTATAAAAATATATTATTATACATACTGATTGATAAACGAGAAGCCACGTTTTTTAGTCATGAGTATATACACCGTGTTAAATTTGTGTGTCCACACCTGGCTAGTTTTCTTTTAAATCATCATCTCTTACCAGTAGTCTCTTATTTCCACTTTACTAATACACACAGTTGGGAATTATTCGATTTTTTGTTTATTTATTCAGATAAAGAAGTGTCTTTTATTCCAAATATATATTTTTGTATTTAAAATATAAAAAAATTATTTTTTATTTTTAATAAAATATATTTAAAATAAATGTTATTTACTTATTTAGTTACAAATGATGTTATTCGTACATAAAAAATCGTCAAAATATAAATTTTTTATTGTTTTATTTAAATTTTACTCAACTCCAGTTTTAGGTAATTATCGAGAATTTAATAAATAGATAACATATCGTTTTATACTTCAAAACACAAATTTACAGATTATTTCCTAATTGTACAGATATGTAGATAATAATACCAAAAAAAAAAAAAATGTCAATTCAACGCCACGAATTTTAAGAAAAAAATATTTGGAGGTGTACAATATTTTGTTTGTTTGTGAACAAACTGTAAATACACTGAGAACGTTATTTTTAATTTCAAAAACCTATAGCAGCTTTAAATAAATAATTTTAGTCAATACTGTACATAAAACATAAACGTCGTATTTTAGTTTTCGCCTTTACTATAGGCAACCAAACCTACACTACTGCATTGGGACTATAATATGATTTTTTAATTTGTGTGTCTACCAAAGGCAATCTAGCGACTGGCGACCTAGGCCAGATTAAAAACCATATATATTATATTACTATTTTCAGGGGCGAACTGGATGGAAAAAAAGCCAAAGAATTGTCGATAGAAAATAACAAGTTTGTTTTAAATGAATCACATTTTTTTTTTATTTTCTCAATAATTTGTACATCAATGTGTATGTCAATAATATGTACACAAATTAGTATGTTTACCATCTCTCAAACAAACTAATAACTGTACAATTAATGATTAAATGAGATTCAAAATTAAATGATTCAACTAATGCCCGCAACTTAATAGTCATCAGTCAACCCTGCTATGTGCACTGTTATGTGGTGTGCTATGATAATTTTTTTTTTTTTTTTTTACAATGATTTATCTTACCGGTAAACGATTTTCTACGTGGGTATACCCGAATTTCTGCGTGACAAATAATGTATAATAAATAATAATAATGGAAATTTTCAGGAGGAGGCGACCCGGGGCGCAAGTACAATGTATCTTTTCATTTTGCCATCATCATCATCATCATATTATTATTATACTTGTAGAGGTGTATCGGTAGCAGATGGGTTATATACTATTATTATGTGGTCCCTTTTTTTCACTCTCTTTCTCTCTCACTCTCTCACTTGGTCGCGATCCCGCTGATTATAATTTCAATTCACACATCCGCATAATGGGGATAAGTAATGAAAAAAAAAAACCGCTCACGGTTCGGCGGACCTTTGAAAATGTTTTAAAGGGCTACGTACAAGTATAGTGTGTGGTGTACGCGTACAAATAGATAGGGACAGTCATGTATAGGAGGTACAGTGGTGATTTCCTCGACAAAAATGTATCCATCGTACCGTGTAATGGCCTCTTTGCACTCGACCCGGTGCAAGTACAATATACGACAATATTTTTTTCAAAAAAACCGCCCCTCCCCGCCCCCGAGTGCCATTGTATCCGCGGTTTCCTATCCGAGAGCACATAATATTCTCTTTATCGGTTCTTTCCGCATGCGCTGTCTCTTCTCCTCTAATTTATTTCTTACCTTACACCATGGCCACCGAACGCGACCTTTATATTGTTATCAGGTAGGTACAGTGTATATTATTATGTTTTTTTTGGTGGTTCCAGTCTGTCTGTCGAAAATAATATCATTTCCACAAACGCGCATTCTTCGATTTTTTTTTTCTCTACACACCGGTTTTCGACTACCCCAGTCGGCGGCGGTGTGTTCACAACACAGTCAAGAGACCATTATAGTACTCAGATATTGTACATTATTTGCACCCTGTATATAAGTGTGTGTGTGGTACGATGGCAGTCGTGCCTACCTGTTATGTTTAATTATTAAAATATTATAGTGTATACAATGTGTACATGACCCACAAAGAGTGTGTAGAAACCGCCCTCGATATGCCAATAAATTCAATTGTGTGTATACTTGTGGCCCCATTAGATAGGTACACCTTGATGATGGCTTATTTGATACAGCTGTTTGTAGGCAAATAAATCACTGTTCGAGGTGGCATTGCGTTTCAATTTACCTGATAGTGTTGACCGATCATGGGCAACGATAGACCCCCAAATACAAAACCGTTGGAAGTCGACCCATTTTCGTGTGCATCTATTTCCGGTGTGTCTAGTTTAAGTTTATCTATTTCCAAACCGTCCACATCCGGCCGTGTATCTGTTTCCATTTCAACGGCCTGCGGATGAACAAACCAATAGAAATGAAATTTACCTCTTCCCTAGCTGACTAGATTTATCTGATTTGTCATACTAGGTATACCGTTTCTGTATGTGGTATATTATGATGATTAATATTTTAAAATAACCCTTAATATTAATAATATTTAATATAAAAATAATGATTTGGAATTAATCGTGAGTTATATTATTTAAATAAAAATATAATTACCACATCGTTAGTAGAAATTAACTGTTGCAATATAATACAAAAAACAAAATAAAATAATATTATTTTTATTCATTTTATATTTAAAGATTTTTTTACCGGCAAAAGTTGATAACTATGCTTAAAGATTTTTTACTAGATGAAATCTACCACTTAAACGATTCTTATGCTCAATAATAGCAAGTAAATTTGACAGTAAATTGTTTCAAAATAATAATTATATATTCTCATTTAATAATTTTGTCTAAGAAATTGACAAAACTGCACAAACAAACAAATTGTGTTATTTGTTTATCGTGTCGTATTATATGGTATTAATTTTAGTTAAAAATAAAAAGCTTTATAATGAAAATTTGGTTTAACTATTCATCGTGACACATTCATTTGTGGGTTACACAAAATTTATGAAAATTTTAATAACGATTAAAAAACTATTGACGTGGTGTTTTTTTTAAGGACACATTTTTTGTGTCCTTGAATGAAAATAATATGATTCATTAAACGTTCAAAATATCTCCATTAGTATTTTTTATTTTTATTTCTTCATATACGAATGTATACAAATAAAAATTAAATTATATTTATTATTAAAGTACATTTTATAAACATTTTTATGAAGTTGTATTTAAATAAAAAACGGTTTAAACAATGTCCATCTCTATATTTTAGAAACTAAGAAGATTCCAGTTTTTGTTGGGAAATAGATGCTGTCCTACCCCAAGTCTCTTCTCGTTTTAAAATAAAATTATTGAACTAGTACCAATTTCTTAATTATGGTCCTTGCTTAAAAAAATACTTCACAGCAATTCCTAGGTCATAGTAAGATATGAGATATCTTTTGATTGAAAAAATGGTAAATATAATGTACAATATATTTATATAAATATTTAATAACTTCTTTCTTGAGAATGGGTGGGTTTAATACATTTTAAGAAATCTTGGTCTTTAAGAACACTGTAACAATAAGAACCAATAAACTTTTCGAAATAATTTATATTATTTTAAACATTTTAGTTTTATATTTTGTAACAATATTTGTTTCTGTATAATAATAAATAATTTAAATATATAAATATAATAATATAATCTACATTCTACATTGTAATCAATATAAAGAAAAATTAAAGACATGTCGCAAAACCAATCCAATAAACATATTATTACTATTATGTTAATTTTTTATATCATAATTTATTTTTTTACAATTGCAAAAAATCCAATCGGGTCTCACGTGCCTTTTAATAAAGTTATATAAACTATGTATGTCAAAAATGTTGAACATACAAAAATTCAACTTACAAAAATGAAAAATTAAGTTCAACATGTAATGATTTTCTTATCAAATAAAAGCCTTTAGGTATGGACTTTTACATTTGCTGACTAAAATAATAACAGAGCCATAGACTAAGTAAATAGGATTTATTTATTTAAAAATATTACAATAAATTAACTATGGCCGTTGTGAGGTCGATTGCGGTTTACAAATAATACTAAAAATATACTAAATACTAAAAACCAACAACGTTAACAAAATTTAATAAATTAATACAAGACAATATATGTTTTGTACATATTATGTGTTGCTTTCCAATGCATTAAACTGGTAATTGTTTTTTTTTTTCAATTTTACTAGTTTCCAACATAATCCAGTTGCAGTCAAACAAGAAAATAAAAAATAGGTATGTTTGCACGGGGAAATGTAATTTACTCTCTGAAGTGCAATTATGTGTGTTGCGCAAGCGTTATGTTATTGTTGTAAACAAATTATTTTTATTTACTTGCAAAACTAAAAAGATTACTATTATGTTTTTTTGTTTCGATGGCGAAGCTTAGTAAACTTCTTTTCTTATTCTGTCTTTAGATCTCGCTTATTTGAGCGTTTTAAAGTCTAAACTGTTGTTAACGGATGGATTTTTTTTTATATTAGCTGTTTTTTTTATTATTTATATTATTAATTTTTTATATTAACTGCGACGGTCTCTAAACTCTTATAATTTAATCTCATAGTATGAATAATCTTTTGAACAACTGAACATTTTTTCTGTTGATTTCACATGGAATGGCTTAGATAATATTATACACCTAATGCTTTTAAACTTATCAATCGGTGACTTCCCACCCCTTCAAATAACTTGATGAGGTTAACTTGATGGTAGGACTTGGGCGAAGTCGACTTAGAGTAACTTGTGCCACACCAATGGCCACGCACACACCAGCAGCGCAGTCAACGCCAGCGACGTGGCCATCGGATGGGCCACGGTCGTTGAGTCGGTGGTGTAATTTTCGCAACACTGCCAGGCCACGTCCAACACTTTCGGGTAGTAACCGGCCCAGAACTCGAATTCCTGGTCCGGTTGAGACAGGTTCGGGTTCTTGTCGAGCACCATCAACCGCGGTTTCTGCACCCGGAACTCGTCCCACTTGACGGCCAACCCTTTTTGCGTAGGACTGGCCGACCGCGCGAATTCGGTCCACATGTTCATCATCCTCTCGGACATGCGCCGGTCGGCCGCCGACCAGTCCACGTTGGACAGACCCGTCCAGAACGGCATGCCCCACACGAACGGTAGTTCCATCATGTGCGCCGCGTCTACCCAATCGGGCACGGTGACGCCGCGGGTCGTGCGCAACTTGTACCCGAACCGATACATGTACGTGGCGTTCCTCTTGGACGTGTGCGTGGCCATCCGGTAGGCGGTCGACCCGTAGTTCTTGTTGGTCGACAGCTTGACGTAGTTGCGGCGCAACGAGTGCGGCTCGTTCGCCTGATCGCCGTACCGGAACATCAACGTGTCCACCACAAAGTCTTCATTCAGCGTACAGTTCTCGTCGCCGGCGTCTGCCAGCTGTTCTCCGTCCACCACTTGCCGGATCAGGTCCTCGAACCGGTCACGACTGACGCCCGCTGTGTCCACTTTGTCGACGGTGTCCAATTTGTCCGCTTTGTCAGCTTTGTCCATTTTGTCGTACAGCTCGTATGCGTCCTCCATGTCGTTGTAGCCGATCATGTGCGCCGCCGGGTTGAGCATGTCCGCGGCCATGAGCGCGGCCGGTTCGTCCGGCAGGAACGGCTCGCGTGACTGGTTGTTGAGCGCGCTGGCGTCCACCACTGGCCCCCAGTAGCCCAGCGAGCCGCCCTCCTTGACCAGTTCCTCGGCGTCCACGTTCTTCAGGCAACCGGTCAACGTGTTCCGGAAACAGTTGTACTTGTCGACCAGCATTTCCAGCACCGTCTCGGTGTCCAGACTGGCGATGGCCGTGCGCTGCAGAGCGTTACCGCCCATGCTGATGGCCCGGTTGAACTTGTCCCGAGACAGTGGCGACACCGCGTGCAGACCGACGCTGATCGCCCCCGCCCCTTGACCGAATATCGTTATGTTCAGTGGCGATCCACCGAAGCTGTCGATGTGCTTCTCTACCCAGTCCAGTGCAGCCAACTGGTCCAACAAGCCCCAGTTTCCCGGAGCTTCGGAAGAGTTGTCCGTGTAAAAGCCCAATATGTTCAACCGGTAGGCTGTTGTCACCACAACGACCTGAAAACATTTTTTTAATTTTTATATCAACTGATAGTTTTTTATACTATAAAAATGTCAAGTTCATCTACAAATACATATCGTGATCCTTTTTCTCCCTTCTAAGAAATATGATTACTAAAAAACAAATTTTCAGAACATAATTTATCAACAAAAATGTTTGTATAAAAAAATTACCATCAAATATCAAAAACATATTTTTAAAACATAAAAAATTATACTCCCCCGCAATCGACTCTTTTCCATCTACACTGTATCGAAAATAAAATGGAATCAGCGATACTTTTTTTAGACGCCAGAAATGGTCTGAACGGTAAACATGATCTATTGTTACCAACGATAAATAAATAGATACGACAGAATCTATACTTAATTTGACCTTGCTTACCTTTTGCTTGGCTGCCAAAACTGAACCGTCCCACAACATGGGCGTCCCCGAATGGAAATCTCCTGGATGAAACCAAACCATGACCGGAAATTTTTCATCTGGTACAGGATCTAAACGATTAACAATGTATTAGGTACACGGTCAAGTAAATTTATATTTAGTAGTTTGACACTAGAGCGAATGTTGAGCATTTCCAAAGGAAATCCTTAAATATCATAAATAACGTATAAAATACCAAATTGACATAGCAGTTGATATATTCATTATCTGAAGTGTTTGTGACTGACTTTTTCCCTTTTTTTTTTTATACTTTAACTTTTAAGTTTGGCTTTTACCCGAAATGCGTGTCATTAAATTAATTTTGACTGAAAATGATCACCAGATGAAATCATTGACGGCGCAAAAGATAGGCAACGATTCTCATCAATTATAGTTGCATAGCCATAACTCAATATTCAAGCCTCAAATCCAAAATCTGTGGCCAAATAACTTGTTTGGTGGGACTTTAAAAACAAAAGTTATAATTATTTAAGTTCAAGAATAAATACAATTAATAAAACCGAAAATTTTTAGTTGTGTAATATACAAAATTGATAAAAGAGTAAGTTACTTTTTTTTTTTTAAAAAATTTTAGAAGTTAAATGAGATTTCTCGTTTTGATTCGGTTCTTTATTTGTATTTTTTTTTTTTAGTTAATACATTTTCTTTGTTACAAAATAGCGATTATATTACTATTTTCAACGGTCGGTTAAAGTATAATAACTTTAAAAAAAAATGGTAGAACCACTTACAATACTTTATACATAATTATTTATAATATCTGTTTTTTTTCTTATGCAACGTGACATGCACTTTTCTTGACTTTTTAATTACTTGACCTCGGTCACGGAGTGAGGTAAAAAAAAAAAAGCTGTGTTTCGTGTACATTTTAAACGAGCGTTAAATAATTAAAACTCGATAAAAAATATTCCTAGATACAATCTTATGAAACGAAACGAACCTTGGTCTCAAAACATTATACTGAAGTCAATGCATTTCTAATGAGTTGAACCCACTAAAGTCTCCCCCATTAAACCATTAAACGACTTATAGTTCCAGAGACGTTTAAAGTTTGTGAGCTTTTAATTTGGTAAATATACTACTTTTTAGGCCGGCCGTGGAAAGCTATGCATAAAATATTTGTACCTTTAAAGATACAATTGCAATGTGAAGGGTTTGTGAGACTTGGAGAGCTATGGCCGTTCGGCTTAGTTTCACTTATGCATATTTTTGATAACATTTTCAAAAAAATAAATAAATGAACATCAATAGTAATGTATTTATAAAAAAAACCTATCGCGTTGTCATCGTCAATTCTTTTTTTTTTTTTTAATTTATTTACATATTATAACTCGGTTGAAAGCTTTTAATCACGACGACTCTGCCAGTTTGGTTTTATGCAGTCGTTCATATAATATAATGTTATAATGCCGTGTCGAAAAGCAATTAACCGGAGTACAACGACCCTTGTGGGTTTTTCGAGAGACCACTCGGTTTCTCCCACGACAAACGTCACCATGGACACACCATAAAAGTGATGAGTCTCGTCGAAAATGTCGAGTTATTATTATTTTGATTATATTTAAACAACTACTCTTCCGGGACAGGGTTGCTATCCGAAATGACACGAACCCAATAATAATGCCTACAAAATAATACAATAATATTACAACACAACTGGATCATGTAAAGCGACATGAAAGTTACAATTTATATTTTTCTGTTTCTTTATTATGTTTTTACTTAAAGCATAGTGATATTTGATACAAACAAAAAATAAAAATAAAATACTAATCCGTTACCCAAGGCACTATATTGAAAATTTTGTTGGTAGCAAAATGATGACGGTTAGGTTTGGTTTGCCAAAAATCACTGCTGGATAATGCACAAGCGGTTACTAGCTCATCTTTGCCTTCAATTTGTTTAGCAATAAAGACTGTCTACTAACGATTCTACCTAAATTGATAAGATTTTTTTTTTACTTAATTTTCATTTATTAATGTTTTAGTTAAGTTGTTTCAAAACATAAACTGTAGTTAAAATTACGGTTAAATGTTGATTCCAAAATTTATCTTGTAAAAAATTGCCATTTTTTATTTGTAATTTCTTTATTAACATTAAAGTATGTAAACTTTATAAAGAGTCAAATATGAGAATAACAAATACATAAAAGATTTTACCAAAAGTAAATAATAAGCTTATTTTTTCCAAAACTGAGACTACCATACTAAAAGTCATTACATTGTTTTTTTTGTTTTTTACAAACCGTCAAGTTACAAAATAAAAATAGTAGTTTTATTTGATTAGATATTTGTTATCCTAAATACAATTTCAGCGGTTGTATTATGCGCATAATGTAACTGTATACAATCATATTTATTACCAAAATTATGGTTCGCACTAATATATTCTAAGTGTATAAGTACCTACTAGGAGTGCTTACATAAATCTATTTTGAATACATTATTTTAAGTTGTGCCGAACCTAACCTTGGACTTTATCGCAAAATTGCATCTCTACCGCCATTATTGCTTAACGTCAAAGGGGCCACACACTAAGTACAAATTAAATGCTCGTGAACTTGAAAACGGAAATTGCTGAGAATACATTAAAACAAAATAATGTAACTCTAGAAGTGAGTTTTTCTTTGTAGCCTTGCAATCTTTTTTTTTTCTTTCTTTGTTCGTCTAAATTGTGGATTTTCGAATTTCCATATATTATCGACCAAACTTAAAATCTAGTTTTATTTTATTTTTTATATTTTATTCTAGAGCTAGAATCCGATTTTCCTTCAAACTTTACACATTGACAAGTGTATGTACTATGTTTTTTTTTTTTTTATAGCTTTGCCTTCACTCCAGCCATCCTATTGTAGAGGGATTAACCCTCGTCTTCCTAATAACGCATTTCGTGTTTCCGCCTTGTCTTTTTTTTTTTTTTTATTATACAATTCTCGATAATTTTCCTGTGCGTGTTCCACGGATACCTTATCTTAATATATATAACTACATAATATCTATAGAGCTGGTCGAGCCTTTTTTCTTGCGTGATTTCGTTTTTTAGTCAATTGTTCTTGTTCCTTTCTGAGCCGAGTAGGCTGTACATTCTGTAAGCCCGACCAAAGTAAACAACCATCGTTTGGTTACCATCCCAAGTCTACGACCAACTTCGCACAGACCGGATCGTTAAAATGTTTTACAAACTTCTTAAATAGATTTTCATTTTTATATTGTTGGAAAAAACCGGCCCAACTATTAAAAATAAATAAATGATCTAAAATTTCACCGAAAGTACATCTAGAATGGAGCTATAGCACGAGAGCGTCTAGATCCAAAACCAGCTAAAAGAAATTCTTTGAAAACGTTCACTAACAACAACCAATTTCTTCAGATGGGCGATTAAAAAAACCAACCAAGATTTTTCCGTCACAGTTTGAGTTAGTAATAATCTTTATTTAAATTTCAATAGCAGTTTTACATACCATGTAAATTGTAATACAGTGTGGCCACTGTGTTTTTAAAATGTCTTCTAGCTGGTTTTGAAAAACTTGTAGGCAAACTTTTTTTAAAAATTTTTCTTAAGAAAGCCAAGTCTATTTCTAGGTTTTTTTTTATAATCAAAACAATAATAATCGTGGAATAATGTAAATCCGTGCCTATTAGCTACGCGGTGCGTTATCCATTAACATAATAGATTTTCTCGAGATCTTATCGAAAATTGAACACAAGCAGCACTGCTTGGCGTTTATTGCAATACACCTTTTTAGAATACAATATACACATATAATCGGATCCGCGCGATTTCGATCCGAAAGACGTTATTTTGTAGTTATTTCTTTTGGTTTTCAACCGTCGGCGTTGCCTTTAATTATATGCATTAGCCAAAACCGTCCAGGGATCGCGTGATTACCAGCCTGAGTTTTCCGACCGTATTATAATATAGTGTATATTATGTACCCTGTGAAGTCACGACAATCTCGACCGACGATTATTAAGTAAGTACGCCGTGTAATAACAACAATAATATGAATGTATAATTGTACCTGCAAATTCGTACCTATACAAAACGAACCGGAGAGGAGTTTAAAAAAGCGATTGCCAAAAGAAAAAAAAATTGACAGAATACATACATTTGTCATACTGTGTAGAGTCTTGGGTACCTACTTGTTTGTAAGTACCGAATATCGTGAGGCGGAATAATTATTTTATACTTAAAAAAAAAAACCTAGTCCGGCACGTCCGCTAACGACCGGAAAATTTGCCATAATGCCGTAACGGTCGGTTAAGTAGTTGCAGTTTGTAACACGTCAAAACGGAAGTAATGATTTAAGACCGTGTGCTTAAGGACAAACGACAATAATTATTGCCCACAGTGGTATAACTTCAAAATTTAGACCCTGGTGATAGAAAATATTCGCGGCCCCCCATTCGCTACTATTTGGTATTGGGGATAGTGGAAATAGTTAAAATATAAGTATTTAAAGTTAAACATTACTAACACAACTGTTGTGTTTCTTGCACAATAAGTATCGACAAAAAGTCAGTTTCAAATCCTCATTTACCTAAACTATATTCCTTACCAAAAATGCATAAGTCAGGAAACAGTATAAGAATTATTGTGACATTAATGCTCAAACTATTAATTTATCTAAACATTTAGTTTTTTTTTCCATATTTTAAGAAATTTAAAAACTTTTCAGTTAGGAACAACATCGAGCTAGTTAACAATTTCTAATTACAAGATCCAACCGAACGTCAGGCTGCTGTCTTTCGAGAAGGTAGCTTTGCATCAAAGTATTTCCACAGACATAACAATGGGTTTCCTCAACGATTGGTTAAATGTTTTAAATGGAGAAGAAGACAAAATAATAATTAAATTCACTGCGGGCAACTGGCGAGCACATAAAATGGCAGAATTCAATAGTATGATTTTTTAGATTAGTCAATATTTCTATGTAAAAAAATCGTTTTGATAAAGATCTCAATTTAATAACTAAATGTATTGGATATGATGCAGATTTGATTTTCAGGTAAGTTAACGAGTATAAATAGCCAAGGGAAGTTCGGAAAGCCAGAATGCAAAACTTGTACATGGGTATTATAGACTATAGTTATTAGATAGCATAAAAGACAAAATAAGGAAAAGAGAAAAAATAGAGGATTAGTAAAATGCAATGTAAAGAATGTGACAAATGATTCGATATGGTTGAAGTTACTTACTTGATTACTAGAGATTTTCGGAAATGTGCACACCAATTATTACCAGTTTCAGTAGAAATTAGACAAGTTACTAATAGCTATAGATAAAAAAAACGAGGGCAAATGTCTAGATGTGGAGTGTGGTGCACTTATACAGTTGCAAAACATGGACCATCACTGACTAGAACAAAAATAAATTGGAGGCAATGGAAACTGAGGTGTGAGACATAAAAGAATGGACATCCTGATAAAGCTTTTAGGAAAAAAACTACCGACTTTCGCTTACACTCTTATTTTAAATTTTTAGCAATTTTCTACTATTACTACATTTGTATACACTTCACATCGATGACCGTCCACTGGTAATCTAAAACTGTAAGCAACTCACATTTTTTTTAATATCTAAATAGAGTTCTTGTGTATCTTAAGTCATCAGTTTTGTAAAACCCGACTCAATTGCTCCTCGTGTCTTACCTTCGGGTCTGTAAATGTTCAGATAGAGGCAGTCTTCGGACATGCGGATCTGCAGGTTCGATATGAGCGCGTCGAAGGGACGGTGGCTTTGGCGCAGCAATTGTAAGTCTTGGATGCAGGACGGCATGTGCGCGGTCGCGTTGCGGGTGCCGGTCCACGTGGGCAGCCTGTCCGCTTCCGGCGGCGAGAACCGCAGATCGCCCAGCGGTGGCTGGGCGTACGGCACGCCCAGGTAAGTCCAGGCGCGCTGCCCGATCTTGGGCAGCGTCACCACGGCGCCCGACACGTCGCCCTGGCCGCGGATGGTCACCTTCGTCACGTCCCGGACGCCGGTTTGCTGGCCGGCCGCCAGCGTCGTCACCGCCGCGGCGTACGCCAACAGTGCCAACAGCATTTTATCGCAGGCCAGTGTCGCGCGTGGGTGCTCAACCGCTGACGGCGCCGTAATGGTCGTGCCGCAGTCCTGGAGGTTCCGTGCCGCTCCTCGCTTTCCCTCCATTGCGCTCGCGCCGGAACTCGAGCGTGCCGTTTATTTTATTCGAGGCGAAAGCCATTATTTTTCTTTACCCCCGTGTGAGCTGTTATAAGGGCTTGTTGTAAGTGTGCGTGAACGTGTATTCGCAATAATTCGAATAATATCATTGTGTAGGTACGCGAGTTTATGTAAATGTTGCAACTCTGGCCGTCGTTACTTATTGTAGAGCTACATTTTAAAGGGGTAGAAAACCCCCACGAATTTTATGTATATCTAATTGTGTTATAATGTTTTTCGGCCAATACGCCACTGCCTACTAATTGCGGGCACCCTTGACCTTGTCTTTTGGTCTATAATTTACCACCCGATTTAAATATGTAATTTAGACTTTTGTTTTTTAAACGAAATTCGTCTGTACATACTTAAAATATTTTCAGTACTTGTATTACAAATCGAAATAATTGAACAACTTGGAAGTAATTTGTAATTAACAATAATAAAAGCTTTATTTATTGTAGATTAGGTATTGTGAAAATTACATTTTTAAAGAAACCTAAGGTTGTGACTCTTTTGATTGATCTTATACCTTAATGTTTTATTACACTACCTACCGGTGTTTTTTTTTAATATCTCAAGAATTCAATGACCTCAAAATATAATTTTATGGTAAAAACCAAAAAGGTTTTACATAGGTCATTTTGGACCTACGATTTTTTAGATTCAAGATTAGCTCGAAAAAACAGACACTTTAATTAGTACTATTGACTATTCTAATAATATTAGTCAACAAGATTATGTTTATATTAATTGTATTTTTCAAACAATAGTAACATTAGAAAACAGTTTATTTATTTTTCAATATTAATCATTCAAAAATCATTGGGAAAAATCTCCATCTAACCAAAAACAAATATTATTAAAACATTTTCGATTACATTACTCAACATTATGGAGCTAGAGAGCAGAATTTTTTAACACGTGTTGTATATGGTAGGGGACATTCCTGGGCAGTGGGCTCTAGGCCTGATAGTTGCTACTTGATCCTACTGATGTTGAAAGCTTATCTTCATGTGCAAAGTATAAACAATAATTTAATGTAATCTATATAAATAAAAAACAGTGGTTACAATTATTATTATAAATTATATGGTTGAGCACCATTAAAGCCACGAACTTCATCCCAAATTAAAAGTGATGACGAACAACATTATCTTTCTCAGAGCATATTACACTAGTCAATAACAAAGCTTTTCACAAAGCATATATTTTTTTAACAATTAAAATGCATAGTCCAATTATATTATATTCTGGTTATGTCAGTCCTTGAATATGCTTCTATTAAAATAGTATTCTTATCAATTAGGTGAAATCAACAAAATTTAATTGACTCACAAACGGTTCCAATTCTTTGTATAGTTTTTTTGTGTCGAACTATGATTATTTTGTTTAGTAAAATACTAGTATAACATTTAGTTATTGAAATTTATTTATTACTCAGTGGCATCTATTACACACACAGCACAAATTATTTTTAAATTTTAATATAATTATTGTAACATTCTTTTTTCGCATTATAAACATATTTTTTAATTATATTATTTTATCAAAAATAACATTGTATAACACAATTTTAATAATACTTAGGTATCATTATAAAAAACTTTATATCATGTACCATCAATATATTACATAGTAATTAAAAATTAAATCCGCTAATATTTCTATTAAAAATTGTGTTTTACTATTATTTTTATATTAACTTGAATGTTCTTTTTAGAAATTTTTCAAATTACTCAAAATGCTTACCAAAAGTATATGTTTTTGTATTCGTATTTATTTTTAATTTTAAATTTTCAATTACTATTAAACAATTTGTATTTTAAATTGAATACTTTTGATAATTATTGTTTACATCACTGCCCAAAGATTTACCTATCAAATAAACAAAAGTAATTAGACTTTCTTGGAAAAACCAAAGGTTTTTATTGATTTCTCATACAATATTAACACATTCTTAAAGATCAAACGCTGTGGATACTTAAAACTTAAGGCAGCAAATATTTTGTTCAATAAAATACTTCAATACAAGTCTACAAAATTAAATTAAAATAGCTAAATAATACATTATAAAAGGCAAGAATAAAGTTAATTTATAAGTATCATTATAGAGTATAATAAAAAATCTTCCTCGTCTACAAAAGTACAATGCATAATTAATCACACTTTTTTTTTCTTTGGGACATAATACAAATATTTTATAGGCTAATTAAATAACATAGAATTCATATACGAAAAAAATATCACAAAAAATAGTAAAAGAAAGAATTATACATTAATAATACGATAATAATGTAAAGTAAGTACTCTCTAGATTGTTTGAATATAACTGGTTTAGCTTTACTAAATCTAGAATTAGTTAAATAATAAAATAGTCAAAAAGTATTATAGTCAAAAAAATTAAATAGCGTTAGAGTCTTACAATAGAATTGACAAAAATTAAGTTGATGGAAATAGCGGTCAAATATGTTTACTGGCAGTGAGATTCAATATGAAATACAATATATATTATACACCTATTATATTAAACCATACCTTAATAAATACTTATTAGAAGTACAGAATAAGTACTCATGTTATGTTATGTACAATGATTTCTTAACGATAAGTATGACTAGTAAGTAATTAGTGTTTGGATTAGGAAGTTTATTATTTCGTGGTTTTTCATATAATCCTTAACGGTGTTAAGTCGTTTCATCGTCTTGCAAGCTTATTATTCTCTCTTGAACTTTTACGTTTTCACATTCCAAGTCATCGATTTGATTACGCAGTTCTTCTATTTCCGTATCTTTACTATCAGCATAATCTTGAAGAGTTGATAACTAAAATAAAAATAAAACTACCTACGTTATAATATTTTTAATAGGATTTCTAAAATGTAATCATGTTATTAAAAAAAAAAAAATTATAAATTCAATAATATACCGGAAAAATTACATAAAACAATATTGTTTGAAAATTAATTTAACTGTCTTAGCAAAAAACCTATTTGTAATAATATTGTTTTTGACGATACAAAAATAACAATAATATTATTTATTTGAGTATATCATTATTAAATTTCTTCAGGTTTTTAACTTTGATAAATTAAAACTTTTAACATTTATAGTTTGAATATTATATTATTTCCAGACCTACAAAATATGTTTAATTCAAGTAAGAAGTTCCTTTTTGAATATAGATTTTGTACAATCTATACAAATAAAAAATTAATGAACAAGCAAAACTGAAAACAATTATTTTAAATCAGAGATTGAAAACAATTATTTTAAATCAGAGATTGAAAACAATTAATTTAAATCAGAGATTGAAAACATTTCAAGCCAAAATTTACATTATTTGTTTAAACTTTGATTAAAATTATCACCAATATGATTGTTAGATAGCTAAACTAATTTTTAACTTATAAAAAAAAAAGTGAAGTTTCGGAATGAAACGTTTATATTATTTCAATAGGCATAACTCAACTTCAAAATATTTTTTATTTACTTTATTTTTTTACAAGTTCAAAATCAGTTTAGCTATCAGACTAACATACTTTAAATGATTTTAAGCAACGTTTATTGTAGTTGTAACAAAACATAGGATAAATTTAGGATTGACAACGTTTTCAATCTTTGTTTAAAACCATTTACGTTAAATGCTAAAATAATTTTACTTTCAAAGTCATTTCATTCAACGACGATTTCAACGACTTGTTCAACTCTTGTATAATTGGGTTTTCTTTTTGAAGTATGCTATTAGCTTCTTGAAGAACTTCATCTGTAATATTAATTAGTTATAATAAATATTATGTTTGTTTTCTTTGCAACAGTAAAATAATCGAGTGTAATAATTTAGTGATACCTTTATCGATTTCTTCTTTGACAGCGCGTGCTATATTCTGACCTCTTATCATATGTTTATCAAAGGCCTCGACGACTTTCAGTAACGATTGTAGAGATGCGTCCATACGTTTAGTTAATTTTTCATCCAACTCATCTTTGTCCAATGTTTGTAATTGATACAAATACGGTGAAGCAACATCAGTATCATCTAAAATACATATAAAATATGAACACAAAGTAATCTGAAAATATGATTAGTAGGTAGAACATAAATATATAATGAAATACCTCCGCTTTTAACTGCTTCTGTGGTTTCATGATCAAACTTCTGCAGTAATATACGCATATTTTCATCAAATAGATTCCAGTGTCGATTTAAAACATTTGAATCTGAAATACTTTGCTTTCGACGTTGTTCCATCTGTTCAATATGACTTTTTGATTTTGCTATCGATTGGTTTTTTTCTTCCAACTTCTAATTAAATATTAAACACAATAAATTGTAATCACTTTTTAATGTTAAACACATCATAAATAAAATTCAGGCACAAAAACTCCAACCTCTGCTAATGCTTTATTTTCATTTTGTAATATTTGTAAAGTTTCATATTTCACATCATATAAAAGATCTACAGGTTTGACATCTTCTGGTTCATCATCAATCGGTTCTTCTTTTACAATGCCATAATCCAGAGCTATATCAGGATCAACATTGATGGACATACTTCCAGATTCTGTAAAATATGAATGTAAATTAATATTTAAAAAAATCACCAACAGGTCTTATTTAATTTGCTTATCTTTGCACAAAATATTTAAGGAACAGCAAACATTTTTCTTCGAGTGTTTAAACAATTGAATGTTAATACGTTTTATGTACTTTATCTAGTTGTTATATGGGCATAATCAAATTAGAATACAGCGATACCTTCCAGTTTACAATATGATGTAACACTATTCAACTGGTGAACAATTACAAGAACAGAGAAGAGGTTCTACTCCATCCAATAGAGATTTTGAATTATTTTAAAAACTTAATTAATATTTGCTAAAATTTCATGCAGTTAATTATTTTAAGATTTTTTTTTTTATAGTAATTTTTATTTATTGAAAAAGTCAGTTGAGGTTAGTAAGTAAATAACTAGTTTATAAAAATATACTTGCCCAAGCTCTATAGCTACCTATTGCTGGCTTACCTAACAAGTCATGACAGTATATACTATACAGTGCCTAACCTAACCTAACCTAGTTAGATAATTATTTTTTGGTTTGTAAGTACTTACAGTTCCTCTGTTGATCGAAGCTAACTGGCAAGTGACAACTGCTATTTGCTAACAGCTATGCAGCCCTCGTCTCTTGGAAATATTAAATAATACTCGATCAATAACAGGATCCGTCATGTTGGGTTTTTATTTATTGTCGGCAGTGTTGTTACATTGATGATAAAAACCAAATATTGACGTACTTAACAAAATTGTCAATTACTAAATGTGATCAATACTAGTGCTTGTAAAATGTACGGAATAGAACAGTGGACCTATATTGTTCAATGAACTTGACTATTTAATTTAATGAATAATTATACTCGAATAACTATTAATCAGGTAAATACCGTGACCAAATGTATAGGTATGTCGGCAACCTGTGATATTGATTTTGTCAATAGATGGCCGGTTTCCGTTCGTAAAGAGTATATGGCCGCCCGAGAAACCTGGCAGCCATTTTGGGGTCGTCACAAGTTGCTGACACACCTATTTACTTACCATGGTAAATTATTTATTTTTATAATCAGTTAACTGATAACGGATCATTTGATTACAATTAACAGTGTCAGCACTCGGCACACCACTATAACTTGGGGCATGACATATTTTATAAATTAAAATAATAATTGTAAATTTTTTAATATTAATATTATATTTAATATTAATATAATAATCTTTCATACTTAATAATATATTCATTATAATGTACTTGTTTTTTTTAATTTTAACATTTTTTCTTAAATAATAACCGATATTCAATAATAAATTGTGTCGTTCAGATTACTCCACATATGTTAATAACATACTTAATATACTTTACAAATTTGGCCGATCCCTACATAAATTTTAGCGTGTTGTAACATTAAGTCAAATCCAAAACTATATTCGATTTTTACTGTTTTCTTAATATCTTCATAATAATGTAGGTGCTATCGGATCTATTATGTTTATGCGACTACTGTATCTTTGTTATTTTTACCGACTATACTGTAAGACAAATACACAATTTTTAGTTTTTTAGGTAGGTATACCTAAATTATTGTTAAAAAGAAAAAGACATGATAGATCAATATCTATAAAAAAAAATTTAACCCTTTCTAATTTTAGGATTTACTTGATTTTATAATTTTCAAATACAATTAAGCTACATATAATCAAATAATCAGATTACATGTAATCTAATTTTTTCTTAAAACCTTGTACTGGTTTTTTAATAGCCTATGTTGTCATAATTTTTTTTTTCATTAAAGAAAATTTAAAAAAACTGATAAAACACTTAGAAAAAATCTTACACAATTAAATAGATTTTTATTTAATTTTTTTTTTTTGTAGCCTATCAAATTATTTTTTTATTTTGTTCTAAATATTTTGTATGTTGTACCTTGGGTTTCTTAGCCTGTATGTTATAATAATAATAATAAAATACAAAAATATTTATTTTATTAAAACTGTTTTTCTTTGCAATACAGATTCACACTAAAAGATTTTCTTAGTATTTTTTTTAAAGTTTTTAGTTTAAATTTATCGACATGTGCAGTTACATACCTGAAAGCACAACAACCACTGTAGTTGTATACCACCTCCTTCATTCTGAACACATAATTCCTTTGCTAGATGTCTGCGTTATTACTATTTATATGCTCATAAACATAGTTACAGTCAAATTATTTTTTTCTTTTTAACAATGTAAATTTTTCCTGAAAAGTAGAGTAGTAGAGTTGTTGTTTTATTTTAGTGTTAGCAATTTCTTTTCTGTGTTAAATTTGCCTTTGTGTGTGCATGAATGAACTACTACCATGGAGAACGGGTAGATTGATTCCGATGCATTTTTAATGTCAACACTGACATTAAAAATTAGATAATAACCTAGCTGTGTGAGTGAGACAATTTAATAACATACCTCTAAAAACAACTCTTTATTTGTCAAAGTTGTATTGCCGGGTATAAAAGCAATTGAATAAATAAATAGTCCGAATGTGATGTGGGTAACAAAATTATGTGTATATTTGAATGACAGGTGTTAGTCGATTAGGTATTATAATAATAGTAATTGGATGAACAATAATTATAAAACAATGATTATTTAACAAAATGTAATAAATAAAAAAATGTATAATAAAGATAAAATAATGTTTACCATGCATGGTTAAATATTATAAGTCATTGTCTATTCTCACTCAAGCAAACGGAGCGTTGCTTACTTGATAGGGGACATTATAATATTTATAACATAAATAAGCAGGGTCCACAGCAGTTGAGGTGTTTATTGTTTAAATATTTAAAAAAAATACACAGATATTATTTATTAATTATTTATATTAATGATGATTATTCTTATAAAAGCCTTAACTTTATGAAACCATATTGTAGTTACATTATGCCATAGCGTTAGAGTTAGACACATTATAAAACAAATAATACACACCAGTTTTTCTCTCAAGGCAAAGCTCTTTATATACATAAACACCAATGCCGCATGAATATATTCCAGCATCGGAGTATTTGGCGTACGTAAAAAAAGACTTATTATCAGCCGTTTGATGTAGCACATGATGTATCGGCTTGGAACGAGAAATAATCGAATGATTTAAAAACAATCTAATTTCAAGAATACAAAATTATCAGTATTGTACTACATTCATTAAAAAAAAAAAAATTTCATGGTAGTTAAAGAAATAATTGTTATATCTTACCTTATATTTGAAATTATATATGTATTTAATTATTATGCTAATTACTGGTTTAGATCACAGAACAGAATACAATGTATAGTGTAAAGCAATAATTCTTGCTGTTTAAAATAATAATGGAAAATATTTAGTTCTGGACCTGTGCCAAATTCAGATGAATGTATTTTTTTAAATATTTGTCCATGAAATAATACTTGTGGACTGACACAAGAATGGCTGCAAACAACAGCATTGCGCATGTTCATCGCCCACTTTCCTGGAAAGTTTTTCCTTTAAACCCCCCTAAAATAAATCAATATTGGACAGATTTGAATTTAACAGTTATAATTTATAACCAATCAAGCGAGATAAATGTGCAATGTGCATTGTGCTCTGCCTCTGCTCAGAGTTTTCTCTTCCATAAAATGTCTACCGTTAATTAACTCAGTGCGGCCATTTTTCCGTAATTTAATTTCTCTCAAAAATACCTATGTAATTTTTAAAGTTTTAATTTTCTCGTCAAAAACAATGAATAGTAAATCGATTTTTTCTAATCATTTAAAACGTAATCCCCATTAATATTTTACAGTTTACAGTAATTAAAAAGTTAAAATACTATAATTATTATTATAATTAATAAAGTGGACTACCACATGACAAAATAAATAGGTAACCCTGAAACTTACGATAAGCATAAAATGGCTGCCGTTTATTTCTTACAATCCTCGTTCTACAATTTTACTCAAAATAATTGTATTACAATATTATAGTCTTCGAAGTCTTAAAGAAAAGAATTATTATAGAATAATACATTTACTTAGGGTTCCAATATTAGCATGTTGTGTATAAGTAACTTCTACCGGACAGTCTGTACTGTCTCTACAGTAGTCAACTGAGTAATTACATAGACCTATAAAGATAGGTCTCTGTCTCTTTTTAACGATGTCGATATTCAGACCTCTCTCTCTACTATCAGTCCATTTCTTTATAGGTCTATGAGTAATTATAACAAATGGTTATCTAAATATTTTTTCTTTTACTGTAAAATATATATTTAGTTTTGAAGTACAAAATTTGGGAACTTATAGTTGCGACTCGACTAAAAAACAAAAAATTACTAAATAACTTAAATTTGATATTGGATTATATTAGTTAAAATTTTAAACCTAATACATTTACTTAATAACACAAAGCAAAACAAGGTGGACTCGGGACCATAGAAAAGAGAATAACATAATAACATTTATAAATCTCAACTACATCTTTTTTTTTGTAGAGTAGATTTGTGGACAAACTCGTACTTGTTATCATTATCATTATCACGGTGATGAGCATAGGAAATTGTTGATAAGAGTTGTAATTTCGTTTCATTTGTCGGTAAGCGTCTGCCGTCCGATAATTATGTTGACATAAAATATTATATAAAACGCTAGACGCGCATACTAAAGTGGTTATTTTTTTTTAAATTATACAAATAAATCCCTTAGGTTAGGTCAATAGCTGCTGTACCTTCGTTTGGTTTTTTTTAAGCTTTGTTGTATGATAATTGATAACACGGTTTCTATTTAATCAATCTGTGATTATACTACACTCTGATTGTTAGCAAACTTTTTTGCGATTCCAAAGAAAAAGTTCAGTTGTTTCTAGAAATATTTCCAAATTCTGTATAAACTATCGTTATGGAGGAAATTCAGAGTACAGCAGGAGCCATTCCAGTGCGGAACGAGAAAGGTATAGTTCAAATTTTTAATTGTATATTAGGTACAGTAATTTGATTTAAATGTTGTAACTATAAATTTCTTTTTCAGGCGAAGTTTCTATGCAAAAGGTTAAGGTCCATCGTTACGTGCAAGGTAAACGTCCAGAATACGCCCCCGAATCGACGTCTGAAGAAGAATCAGATGATGAAGATTTCATAGAATCACATAAAGTGCGTGGTGGTTCACCGCTCAACAATATCACTGACGATCATGTAGTTCATTTACCTTCCAGTGCACTCAACGACGCTCGTCTTAAACGTTTGGGTGGTCTTATTGTCCGACAAGGACATAAAGAGAGGCGTCCTCTGCATGAACCGCAAATTATAAAGGATGATGATTCGTCTTCAGAAGAAGAAGCAAAAGTGGATCGCAATCGCAGAAGTCGGCACCAAGTATCAGATGATGAAAAAGACAGTAATGACGATGATGGAGATTTGAGTGACAGTGAAATAGAACGTAGGAGGCAGCGGTTGAGACAAAAGGTTTTAAGCCAAAATAAGGAAAAGGTATGATAAAAAAATAATTAACTACAAGTGTATTTTAGTATGTATAATAAAATTAAAAATGTTGACAACCATTTAGGAAACAAATGAAGTACTCGAAAAAGAAGATGAAGGGCATGGTACAGATGACAACACTAGCGATGAATCATCTGAATATGATGATTTTTCGGGTAAATATATTAACGAGTGTAGTATATCTTTATCAATATTGTTTTTGAAAGTGTAAGACTTCTTTTTTAGCATCTGATGAAGAAACAGGTCCGCGGCTTAAGCCAATTTTTGTAAGAAAAAAAGACCGCGTAACAATTATACAAAAGGAAAAAGAAGACATCAAACAAAAACAGTTGGAGTATGAACAGAAAAAATTAGCAGAAGAACGCCGTAGAGCTACATTAAGGGTTAGTAAAACAATTATTGAACTGCAATTATAATTTACTTACTAAAAAACAAAATAAATTATTTAGATGGTCGAAGAAGAAATTCGTAAAGAACAAGCTTTGACTAAAGCAAACAGTGCACTTGCTGAACCTGCCTTAGACGATGTGAATACTGATGATGAAAATGACGAAAATGAATATGAAGCTTGGAAACTCCGTGAATTGAAAAGAATCAAAAGAGACAGAGACGAACATGAACAGTAAGTACTGTTAAAATAAATATTAATATATTATATAATATGTATTAATACACTTGATTTGAAAAAAAAAAGTAATTAGTTAAGTTTTATTATTGACCAAATAAATAAACAATACTTTTCAGGCGAGAAGCTGATAAGGCAGAAATAGAACGACTGAGGAATTTGACTGAAGAAGAAAGACGTTTAGAACTTAGACTCAATCCTAAAACGGTCACAAATAAAGCAGCAAAAGGAAAATATAAATTTATGCAAAAGTATTACCATCGTGGTGCATTTTACTTGGTAAGCGTTAAATGCTAAAAATATTTAATTTTTATTCTTATAAAACTACATTATCATATCATAGAATTTTCTGAATACTGTAATAATATTTCTAAAAAAAATTAAGATTTGTGTTAATTTAATTTACGTATCATTGTATTTAGGTCTACTGAACATCAATTTGTAGTTGATATTTTCAATACTATTAATTTACTTTGTGCTTAAATTAATGTTTAAATTTTATACATTTTACACACGGTCAAGTTTTAATAAAATTTGTTTCTCTGCTCTCCTGAAAAGTGGGGAAAACGTCGACTATGGAAAATAACCTAAAATATGACCATATTCTTTTATATTCTGTTCAAAATATAAGACATTTTATAAATTGTTTTTCTAAAAATATTAAGTGTCTAATTGAATATTCAGTGTGTGATCATAATATTTTTTGGCTACATAGAAGATTAAACTTTTTTGGAGATGAGAATATTTTTCTTGAATCCAATAAAGTTCAAACGACATTTTTGTGTCTACTGAAAAATTATTTTAACAAATTATATTTTTTTAATTTATATTGTTATCTTGAACAAAGTATAAATATACAGTGTTATTAACTCCATTTGTAGATTTGTCAGAACTGAATTCGCCTGAAATAGTAAAAAACTTACATACATGTGTTTTAATTCTTACCAATATTTTTTATAGGATGAAGAAAATGATATTCTCAAGAGGGATTACTCGTCTGCTACGCTCGAAGATCATTTTGATAAGACGATCTTGCCTAAAGTTATGCAGGTAAATCAATTAGTTATTTTATCAGTATTTATATATATGTATATATATATTGTCAAATATATTTATTAACATTAATACCGTTTTTTTTTTCTCAGGTCAAGAACTTTGGCCGCAGTGGTAGAACTAAGTATACTCATTTGGTTGACCAAGACACCACAAGTTTTGATTCACCTTGGGTGTCTGAAACCGCCCAAAATTTGAAATTCCACACGAATCAAGCTGCTGGTATGAAACAAGTGTTCCAAAAACCATCATTAAAAAAGCAACGTTCTAAATAAAAAATTTTTATAAACCTCGTGCACTAAAAATATTTTAGTTAGTAAATAAGTTTATGTATGAGGTAATTTTTCAAACATGTATAACTACTTTGAATGCATCATGTTCTTAAAAACTATTAATTAAAGCTGATACAAAACATTTTTTTTTACAATAGGTTAGTTTTTGACAATTAATCATTTTTAATAAATATCAAAATTATGAAATTGAATTTTGAATCACAATTAATTCCTGTTTAGTTTGGGAATAAAACTAGCTTATGTGCAAAAACATTTGATTTAAAACAAATGAGGAGAAAAAATATTGATGAGGTTGCATACATTTTAGATAATATGTATTTTCGTATACTCATGTACATTCGGTTAATATGCATATTTTTTAAATAATGTGTCAGCTAATTATAAGTACATCTCATAAGAGAGAATGAGTCGATTACTATAAACATGTCAGGCTTAGCAATATTATTTGAGACATCTTATATTTTTTTTTTGTAACTTAAATGCAGTGTAGTCATCACTAATGACTATTATCCACTTATGATAATATGTATATACTTCAATTTTTCTGTACAACTTTAACATATTAAAATAAATTAGAAACTTTGGAAACATTATTTCTTTGGAGTTTCCCTAAAACTATGCTCAATAAATAGATTTGTACATAAATGGAAACAGTAATGGTGGCACCGATCTCATCTCGATGACAGTTATTAAATAATTTGTATGATGTTTGGTTTTTCTTTGCACGAAACCTTTAGATTTGCTGTATCCATTAAGCAATTTTAGAACATATGGGATAATCGGTCTTTGATAGTAATGGTGGAATAAGTAACGTGTTATTGCAACAAGGTTATATTATTTGTAAAGTGTTATTAAGTTTCATTACATTCTGTAGATTCTGAAGAAATAAAAAAAATGAATTACTACTTTATAATATAAGTAAGTAGGTACTTTGAAATAAGTAAAGCGCTACAAAATGTTTAAAAAAATAGTTATTATTTTGAAATGAACGAAAACAATTTTTCATCATAGTTTATTGCCACGAGTTCTGTGGTACTTATTAAATTTTCAAAGCTTATGCTTATTTTTAGTTTTTTACCACTTAGCTTATATTAAATATAAAATATTGTGAAGCCATTACTTAACTTAAAAAAATAATCAAAATTTGAGTTCCTATAATAGATACCGCCAAAGTAATAAATAGGTATACTTTTTTGTTAAAGTATCGATAGTAAAGTAATTTGTAATGCATGAGATGCATGCATTACAAAAGTAGGATGACCAAGACTGTTTTAAAATACTCCCTTTAACCTTTAAAATACAGTTTCTTTTTTGAACTTAATACATTTGTTTTTAAAGTTTTAATAAATTAAAAAACAAATTTTTAGTAAGAGTTTGGACATGAATTTCTTAGTTTGTAAACTATGTTTATTCTGAAATTTTAAAAGTAGTTTTTTTAGAAAAATATGTACATCTAATTTTTTGGGGGGGAGGGGGTTAGGGTGTTGGGAAGTTGTACAATAAGTTCTTACGAATATCTTTGCAAATTATTTATGTAGGTACTCAACAACCATGCCAGTTGGTAATTGTTTAAATGTTTGGCGCCGCTGGAAGATACCTTAACATTGTATAAGTCTTTGAGCGGCCAACTATTGAAATGATGAATAAGTGCTAGTGTCTATAAAAACACTTAACCTTTTTATCTGGCATAACATTCTTGGCATTGACGTTTCTCAAGTTGCATCGTGTATAGATAATGACTAACGTGACACGTGTTTAAAAATCTATACCTACCATATAATTAATACAGCTTGCTGAAATTCAGCAAGAAAATCAAATTAAACAATTATTTAAAGTACATTTTAGAATATTGTATTTCAACGTATAAAACCCTTTGAAAATACTACAAAATGGGGTTTTTGTTTATTTCTGAGGACATATTCAATGAAAAAGTTAAAATTTTGTTATACAGTATAAATGAAGGGGTCAATGGATAAAGGTGTTAACCGACATTTTTGAAATTGTTTAGGAACGCCACTTTTGTAACTAAATATTACACGAAAACTATGGAACTTTTGTATATTCAATAGATGAAATAACTTATAAGAGGAAAAATATCGGTCTAGAGATCCTCTATACTATACTAACCACCATAACCCTTTTATTCGTGCAATAAAATGCATTTTCGAAAAAATGTTAGTTAACACCTTTCTCCATTGACCCCTTCAATTTATACGTATAATATAGGAGTAAAGGAAATCAAACAAAACGGTCGAACTGAAATGGTACTCATTTTCCAATCGTTTAAATATGATGAAGTTAGAATAAGACACAACCAATTTTTTTTAAAGATTTTAAACTTTTTTTAGAGGTAAGTTTTCTGTTTTTTAAATATTTATTATTCAACTTTTTATTATCTGACATTGGTTACTGTTTGATAGTAAAATAGAGTTTAAAGCAAGAATGCTAGTAAACTGAATAATTAGTAAACTATTCTTGTGGTGTTCATTTTTGACACAATCGCAAATCAATTATTATATTAATATAATAATAATGATAATAACTATTATCAACATTTAACAGATATTCTTATATGATAAAAGTCTTTGTTAGGCCGGCATGTGAGCAATGTTCATTATGCCTATGTTTTCACAAGCTGTGTTGTCCTATCTAATATGATATGTACAAATTGCGTTACAGTATAATAAAATTAGTGCCTTTCGAGTACAATTTAAAAATGTTGTACAAATTTGATCTTTATAAACAATAAAATGCGCGATATATTTTATGATTGTTTAGTTGAAATAATCAAGAGAAATAAAAATGTTAGTTATATCTCTTCAGCAATAATCACACCCATGTAAAAGAAAAAAAAACATGAAAGAACCTAAGACGGTGTTGAAGATGTGGTTAATTATTCCACTCGCCCTCCTCTCCAGCCGGATATGACTATCACTTAAATCGTTTATTAAAGATTTATAGACTTGATGATATTATAATGGACCCCGTATATTGGTGACAGACTATATGTAAAACGATGAATCAGAAATTACACATGCTATGGGAGTGTGACATCTAGTTTGGATAAAACGATAAGATTGAAACACATGTTAAACTTAGCTCTGTTTGTCTCGCACATACATTGGTAACATAGTTTGGTTTCCATTAGCGGTCCATTTAATAATATGCCTATGGTTAAAGACCTTGAAAATATATTATGCTAAAAAAAAATAATATTAATTATTCGAAGAACAATCCAAGTAGGAATTCGTCGGAATCGAAAGAAAGGATTTTGTTTACGACCGATTGCGCAGGTGCCTGTGGCTTCTAATGTAATCATTATACTAACATTTTATTGTTTTTGTACCAGCGATATCTCATGATGTCTTAGATAAGGCATTTTATTTATTTTTGTGTAAATCAAATATTAATGCGTGTATCATAATAGTTATAAGAAAGAAATAATAATTGTTTGCAGTTTTGTTAAAGTTGCATTTTTTAAAAATAATTGCTCACCCTTTTCGTTCTTAAAAAAAAAATGAACTAGATTCCCTCCGTTAATTTTTTTATTTTTAAAGTAGGCATTTAATTCTATTTATGTTTTCTATTTGAAATTGCCTCCTTCCTTTATTTTTCCTTACCAGATTCTTTAAAAAAATAATAATAATGACTAACATAGTTTATCATAGACTTGGAACAATCTATTTTATGGCCCAAACAATTTGTTTTCATTTTTTTTTTACTAAACATTGTTTTATTAAATTTCTCTGGTCGCGCTTCGCTTTTAGTTAAAATATTCATTTAAAATTATTAATTAATCAATACTCAATTAATTGAACTTTAAGATATAATCAAAAACCTATTAAAAATATTGCTTTTCAAAATGTGCAAAAACTAATTATTTATTCTTAAAATATGGATCTATAGTCTATACTTGACTTTTCTTCAGATGTATAAATTAATAAACCTATTTTCCTTATTATTTTCATTAGTGTTTGCAGAATTTGAGAGACATTTTTTTTATTTTTGCTAATATTTTAGAAATATTGGCTAAAATGACAGGTACGTTAATTACATGCTGACTAGCATCTTAAACTAAACAAAATATATTTTATCTCTTATATTCATAAATATTTAGAGAAGGGTTAGTTTAAAATAAGTTTTGACAATTGATTTTTGAACTTTTTTTGGCAATAACTCAAAATTAAGTGCGACTAGAAAAATCTAAAAGCCCAATCGTATTTAAAATAAAAAACGTACATAAGGAAAACAATTCTCAAAGTTATAAAATATATTAAATTTATACTCTGATTTATACTGAAAAATAAAAATTTGTTTTACAATATACGTTTACAAATTATCAATTACACTACAAATATTACTGGTGATTAACAAATGAATAAAAATGCTATCTAAAGAACTAAATAATAAGAATAAACATTTGTTTGTTCTTTTTCTCAAAGAAAGAATATAATTATTTTTAGGTTCCAAAAAAAGTATTCGAATTAATATCAAGACTAGTCCCTTAAAAAATCGACGAATTTAAAACAGACCTGAGTAGGTAATTATTTATTTAAATAACAAATAACAAATAATTAAAAATAAATTTGTTTAGTGCAACTAATACAATATATTTGATTTATTATCTAAATAGGTACATCAATATTTTCTACAATTATTACTTCTATAAGAAAAGAAAACCATACATGTGTTTATTTATTAGTTGAGTTTATTTAAATATTTTTGTTTAAGAAATAAAACTTAATATTTAAATTTATTTCAATAAATACCTTTTTAAATAATGCCCACGTCGGGTTCCAGAAGAACGCGTTCCTTAACAACGGGCATGTACCTACCATTTTATGGGTAAAGGAATTATTAAATATATGTAAATATATGTCGGTGAGACTAAAGCCCCTCTGATACTTTTTTCCCCATATTTTGAATACCTATTATAATATGCAAATATATCCTCAGTTTTAAAGTGTATTTATTTTGCCTTAAGTAAAAGAATTTTCGATAGGCACAGCTGTAAAGTAAAAAACTAACCCACCCACCATAATAATAACTGGGTGTTTAAAAAAAATACGGTCGATGGGAGGGGGGGAGCGGATGTCCCCTTCGCTTCCTCTCCAATACTTACTCGCACAACACTGGTGTTTTTTTTTTTTATGTATGTAGGTATATAAGCGTGCATTTGTGTTTGTACGTATGTACATAAGAGTACATGTATATAGTATACACTGTATTCGGTCGGGCAAAAAGGTCAATGCGCCTAAATCCGCTTAGTGTCGGTGGTATCACCTATTCCTATTCCGTTTCCATACAATATTATGTTATGCCGTAGGGCCTAGGCGGTCGATACGGAACACAATGGAACAAGCGGTGGCCAAACGTTCGGCACCGTTGCGCACCGTGGGGGTGATAACGAATATCCATGGCAAAACAGTGTGTGATAACAGCTGCTGCTGCTGTACTCGGTAGTCAGTACTGTCCGTGTTTAATGAGTAAGACTGCTGCAAAGTGATGGAAATTTCGGTGTCGTCGTCGGATTAGAATCAACTGTTTGCGCAAACGACGCGCGTTCCGGACGTTTTGTGTTTCGGCCTTTGTACGACGTTTTAGCGTAATCGCGTTTTGGTAAAAAAACCAAACTAAAAAAAACGGGATTGATCGCCAAAAAAAAAAAAAAATTTTTAAAAACAACCAAAAACCGCGATGGACTATTCAGCTGGCGATCGTGGGACGGCGGACACTGTTCTAACGCCTAAAAACCTTTGATATCGATTATCGAACATCGACCGCTGCTGGTGGTTGCGAGCCTCCTGTTAGCCAACACTAAGTGAGTACGGTCAAAGTTTACGGTCCGATTGTGATAGTAGGGCTCGTTAGTATTCCAATACCACCTTTTGTCGGCTAATATAACTACCTAGTCGTTAATGTCAGCGCATTAGAATACGATTGGCCCTGTATTGCTTCTACTTTAACGGCCAAATACCATGTTGATATTTGTTGATCATTTCGGTATGAAATAACACTGCTTAAAGTAGTACTTTTAGCAATATAATATGCTTATAATTTGGCACTGCTTAAATATGTTCTCTATGTGCGATATTATTCTTACTACCTTGTAATCTTGGTCAGGCTTTGCGATGGGAGTTTGTAAGTGTACGAGTTGGAATATTTTTTAAATTCAACATTATTTCAATTAAATTTTGTTTTGATTTTTGTTAAAAAAAAAAAAAAAAACGTTAAATGTTTAATGACTGAACACCTTGTATACATGGTGCCTTATTATTTTTAAAATAGAAAAAAAATACAATTTAAGCTTTTTCACTTAATTATTTTAGAATTCAAATTATTAAATTATTGTACTCAAGTAAACTAAATAATCTTATAAGAAAAACGTTACATATATTGGTTAATAGTTTAAAAAAATAATAAACAAAAAAGTACCTACTAGTAAAAATCAGACTATATTTGCATTTTTTCTTTTGATTTCCTGTTAAAAAACTACTCATCATCATAATGTAGCATATAGGCCTTGAAAACCCAACACTGCTATCATAAAAGAGCTTAAAAATACTAGGAAAAAATTGTTTACAAAAAGTTATCAGACAAACAGTAGATACTGTTTTTAATGTGAACTTTATTAGGTAATAATATTTTATTGCATCTATGTTGTGCATAATGTTAACGCCTTGTGTTAAAATAGAAACAAAATTATAGATACTGTTTTTAATGTAAATTTTATTAGGTAATAATATATTATTGCATTTACGTTGTGCATAATATTGACGCGTTGTGTTATAATAAAAAATAAAATTTATAATACATTCTTTTAGGTTTTAATAATAATTTTAAAATTCTTTAAAATACCATTCAATAAACCTCAATAATACAATTTAAACTGTCTTTTTGCATTCAGTATTTTAGGTAATATTATGTTTAAAATCAATTTGCTTACAATTAATCAAAATCAATAAAAACTATACATTATATATGATAATTGTTTTGTTTTAAATACTCTAAATAAACAACAAACATTTTTTTCTATTACAATGCATGACTCATTTTATTATTAAATACTTTAATGTATATAAATGATTCTAAGAACTATACAACTGTTATGCCTTGCATGCTAAATTAAAAAAAAAATATATATATAAATTGTTTTATAAATTTGCATTCGTACATTTGTATTTTACGACTGAAACATTTTGAAACAAACTATAGGATAATTTAAAATTTATAGTAAAAAAAGATATTAGGTATTGTATGATTTATTCAACAGACATAAATACATGAAACTAATTATGCTAAAAACAATCATATAAACTGAAATAAATATGAGTTAACTAACATAAAATTAAACTTTCAATGCTAGTAGTTGACTATTTTTTAAAAAGATTAAAAACAAATTTAAGATTTTTATTAAAAAGAAAAAATAGTGCCAATTTTACGAAGACATCTAGTATTTAACTAATTTATTATATTAATACATTTCAATAGTAACGTATTGGTATAGAGACAGAAACTAGAAAGCTGATAATAAATGTTGTGTTGAAATTTGTATTTATTATAGTAATCTGTATATTTAATGAAATTATGATAGTCTACGCAGTGATATTTTTTGATATAAAAAGTATGACATTCATTTATGACGTTTTATTTGCTCTTTGGGTTATTAATTTTTTTTTTCATACTATTGGTCATAATCCAAATTTCTGCTTTGTTTATCTAAAACGAATGTTATGTTAGCATTGTTCAGAGACAAAAACGTGTAATTATATCAAATTATTTTTAATAAAAAAGATATTTTAAGTAGCATAATAATAGTTGTTAGCTTAAAAATAATACATATACACAAATAACTATTCGTGTATCCTGCAAATATGATGACATTGCCAACAGACTAAATGTGTATATACTTGAAATATTTCAATGCTTTTGGCACTAGTGTTATTTATAAGAAATATGTGTAAAACTATGATTGACATTTCCTTTATTTATTTATTTTTTATTTTACAGTTTTTTCAACTGCTAAAAACACTGAAATGCAATGTCTGAAACTGTGACGGATATAAGTCTATTATCGGGTAAATTAACGCAATTTTTTTTTCCCTTTTCTTTTGATTTACATATAACAAATATATTATTTAGTTGTTAATTTACATTTTGTTTCATTCAGGTGATAATCGACAAAGGCAATTGGAAGCATTGTTTTTAGGTGGTCCAATCCAAGGTCAGGGAAAATGCTTCAGCATAGAGACCCTTCTCGATGTTCTACTCGTGTTGTATGATGAATGTAATAATTCATCATTACGCAGAGAAAAGACTGTATCAGATTTTATTGAGTTTGGTTAGTATACAAAGTTATTGTTAACATTGGGTTTTTTTTTGTTCAATTTTTCCTAGTTTCTAAACGACAATATTAAGTGCTTAATAATTAACTTATTTAGAATAATAATTATACCAACTTGTAATGTTTACAATTTGTTTTTAGTTAAACCCGTTGCAACATGTGTAAAATCACTACGATTGACCAGAGATGATTTTGAAACCATAAAAGTCATCGGTCGAGGTGCTTTTGGAGAGGTATGTGTTGTGCACATGAAAGGAACAGAGAAAATATATGCAATGAAAATACTAAATAAATGGGAAATGCTCAAAAGGGCTGAAACCGCTTGTTTTCAAGTATGTATTATCATTATAAATATAGACATAGGTTATACTGATTTTATTCCTGTGTAGTTAAGTTTTTTATTTGGAAACAACTTTTTTAGGAAGAACGAGATGTTTTAGTCTACGGTGATAGAAGATGGATTACGAATTTGCATTATGCTTTTCAAGATGCAACAAATTTGGTAAGTCTACTGTGAGTTGGAAAAATAGTGATAAACTAAAATACGCAACTGATTTTTTAGTATCTTGTTATGGATTATTATTGCGGTGGTGATTTATTAACATTGTTGAGCAAATTTTTCGATCGTCTTCCTGAAGATATGGCTAGGTTTTACATTGCCGAAATGATACTAGCTATTAATTCAATTCATGATCTACATTATGTACATAGGTATGTTTTATAATATTGATTGACTTGGATTTTCTGAACGAAAAATATTAACCTTTATAGATCACATATATTCAATTACATGTTTTTTTTCTCAATTTATGACAGAGATATAAAGCCTGATAACGTATTGTTAGACGCTAACGGTCATATCCGTTTAGCGGATTTTGGATCGTGTTTGAAAGTCGGGGCTAACGGATATGTTGAAAGCAACGTTGCTGTGGGAACACCAGATTACATATCACCTGAAATATTGCAAGCCATCGAAGACGGTCAAGGGTGTTACGGACGTGAATGTGACTGGTGGTCTTTGGGCGTATGCATGTATGAAATGATTTATGGTGAAACGCCATTTTATGCTGAATCTCTTGTACATACTTACGCCAAGATAATGAATCACAAAGTGTGTATAGACTATAGAATAAGTGATCAACTACCAAAAGTAGAAGGAATTGTTAGAAATAAATGTAATTATGTGTGTTCTAGAACTGTTTCGATTTTCCAAATGATCCAGAAGTACAAGTTTCCGATGCGGCCAAAGATCTAATGAGAAAACTTATTTGCAGTGCTGAACAAAGGCTCGGTCAGACTGGCATTAAAGACTTTAAAGTAAGTTCTTCTTAATGAACTTTTCAGAGTAAAATTATTAAACAAAAACATTTGATGTCTTAGGAACACGATTGGTTCAGCGGAATAGATTGGGATACAATTAGGGACAGCATAGCCCCTTATATTCCAGAAGTTTCGAGCCCGACAGACACTAGCCATTTTGACGTCGAAGAAGTTGATATAAAAACCGATATTTTTCCACCAACGCCGTCTAATCCAATATTTTCTGCTCTACATTTACCATTCATTGGTTTTACATTCACTCAAAACAGCCATGTGTCGGACCTTGGCTCAATTGAAAAATCACTAACATCGGGAAGGACAACAAAGCGAATAAAATTACAAGATGGCGTGAACAAAACTGAAGGTAAAATAATAGTTTATTATTATTTGTTAATCGATAATCAACAATAATTTCGCTTCAACCAGTTTAAATAGCAATATTCTAAAAAAAAAAAAATTGTCTAAAACTAATTGGCTGTTGACATATTTTGTTTAATTAGTAACCCTAAAAAAAGATAACATAAACAATAGTATCTGGTGTTCTAATAAAATATAATCGGGCATTTCTTAGCATGTTATTCTTTAAAAGCATTTAGCTGACATGTCTTATTATGTTTTACCTATGTCAATCTCTATTACAACTGATGTTTTTATTCATCAGACTCTGAAGATCAATTGAAAAAGTATCGCGAAAACTTAAAATCAACTTCGGGCGATGAAAAAGAATTGGATCTCATAATAAAAAAATTTCAACAAGAAAAAGAAGAATTACTAAAGGTATACTATACTTATTATTACCGTCTTATATAATATACAATAAATATGAATATAGCATTACAATAAAAATAAATATTTTAGGAAAAACAAGACGCTCAAGAAAAGTTGAAAGCCCAAGAAATTGAACTGATGGATGCGGTTGGACAAAAAAATAATGCGATGACTGAATATGGACATGTTACAAACAAGTAATTGTCAATTTATGTTTGTTTATTAACTTTTTTTTTACTAATTATGTGTATTTGTTTTTTTTACATTTGTAGACTATCTGAACTAAGACAACACAAACAAAAACTTTCCCGGTTGATAAGAGATAAAGAAGAGGAGTTGGAAGAAGCTATGTCAAAGGTAGACATTTTACGCCAAGAAGTGCGTCGTTCAGAAAAAGTTCGACGAGAACTTGAGGGTCGGTTAGAAGAAACCATGGCTGAAGTATTAAGTGAACGAAAATTACGTGAAAAAAGTGAAGAACAGTGTAATCAGGTAATTTACCAAATATTTTGTCCAACAAGATGAATACGAATCGATTGATTTTTGATAAAAAATGTGTAACACAATTTTTAGCTTAAAGCCGATCCCGAGAGAGCTAATTCATTGTCATACTCTACTAACTTGTCTAATCTCAATGACGGCTCCAATCAACGAGCGTTACAAGAAATAAGTCGGTAAGTCGAGTTTATTTATATTATGGTTTTTAAATGTACCTTTATTATTTGTGTTTCGAAAATTATAGATAAAGTTGGTGAATAAAACATAATTTTATCACATTCAATGTAGAAAAATTAAGCATAGTAAATAATATATTTAACGGTAGATTATTTATTTAGTTTGAAAGGCGAAATCGAAAGGTTGGGATTAGAGTACAACGAAAAAATCAACAAAGAACAAACAAAGTACAATATAGAAATTACCAAGTTAAAGGATCAACTTTTGGAAAATGAATCCAAACAAAAGTCGTTAGAAAAAGAAGTAATAGTTTAAAAAAAAAATTAAAATATTAATAATGAATGCTATAAAATAAAATTATTTTTCAGAAAAAGGATAACCTTGAAGTTATTTGTACTATAGAGTTTGAGCATAAACGAATGAAAGACGAATTGATTGTGAAACAACAGACGATTAACCAGTTGGAATCACAAATTTCAGACATAATACAATGGTAGTAGTAATATAATTTTTAAATATATATATATATATATATATATATATATATATGTTAATTTTATTCTAATTTCTATAGGATAAGCGACGAAAAAGATGCTAGAGGTTATTTACAAGTACTCGCAGCTAAAATGAAAGAAGAACTTGAGTTTTTAAAACAATGTCCAACTAACAATGGCCAATCAGCATTGGTAACAACAATTTTTATTTTTATACTTTTATAAAATTATTCAGAAGTCTCTAAAATCAAAGTTCCTTTGTAGGATAATAGCTGGAGAAACAGACGAAGTCAAAAATTAGATAAAATGGAATTGTTAAATCTACAAAGCTCATTGCAATCAGAAATTCAAGCCAAACAATCGATTGGTGAAGAATTGAGCAAGACCAGATCTGAATTAATTGCCATGCAAAAGTACGTTGAAAGTACCATTGATAAATAAATCCTAAATAATTATCATATAATGTAATCGAATAGTGCAATGACATATCAATAATATTGTTTGTATTTGTTTTTTTAGAGAGTTGAGAGATTTTCATCAGCGTTATGAGGCATTAGCGTATGGCATGAAAGATAAAGATGATCTAATTAAGGAGCTTCAAAATCAAATAGATGCTAGACAGTCCTGTAAGTCGATATACTTATGTTTAACCTTATAAAAAAAAAATTATAATTATAATGAAGTTAATCTAGTTAATCTTTCTCTGAGCCCTATCAAAATATGAAAATGAGTCGGTATTTTACTTTTAGTTTTTACAAAATTATTTAAAATGATAATACTATAAATAAAAAAAACTTCAATATTGTTTTATTATTTTTGTTTTGGTGCAAAGCTGGGTATATGAATATACATAAAGAAAAAAGGTTATATCAGTGTTCAATATTTAGTAGTGCCTCTAATTTAATTTCATAATATTCGTTATTTTGAAATCTAAATACAATTTATATTATAGATTAAATTAATAACATTAAGTTGAATTGTGAAAGAACGTTACTTAATGAAAAATGACTAATGTCTGTTATTTAATGTGTATAATGGCACATTTGTACGAAAATCTATAGATGAAGATTAATTTTGCAAAATGTATTAAACTGTTGAGTTTTTTTTAGCTCTTACTGCTTTTTAATTTGTTCTAAACTATTTAATACCTTGAAAAATCAATTTATTTATATTTGGTCAGTTAATATAAACGCAAAATGTAATTAACAAATTTTTTATTTAATTGTTGACGTTTTTCCTCAAGTGCACAAAAGACTTTACTTTAAAAATAGTATTTCTAAAGTATATATTTAAAATAAACAATGAATTTCCATTTAAAATTATCTGTGTTGTTAACAACTGTTCATAAAATTTACATAAATACTTTTAAATATTGCTTTATCTTGCCCAGCTTTGTTTTCATTCCCAACATTATTACTTATGTGCATACACATTTTAACTTTTTCTCAGGTGTAGATAGACTGTTATGGATAATTATATTATAATTTTGTTTATTAATATTTCGTGACTACAATTTAAGAAAAATATAAAATGTTTACATAAAACTTATAAATTAGGATTCAGTGGTATTTTTTTTAATTAGACAATTTTAAATGGGGTAGTAAACAATTTATGAAGTTGTAACATTTCATAGAATGTAGGTAAATAAATAGTTAGCTAATAACGCAATTTATACTTAACTATTTTTGTTTATTCAACCAGACAAGTTGCCTTTGTATATTGGAATATCGAGTTGTGTTTGGGGGCTCATCATAATCTTCTTTCAATACTATTTCTGACTAGAACTTCTTTATCAAACAATAGGTTGGTAACGATTAGCTTTTGGTGTGTCAGAACTTGAGTCTTGTTGTTATTGTAAAACTTAATCTTGTTTTTTTTTAAATGTTAACTAACACAACTAAAAGCGTGAATAATTTTCTACCTAATTACATTGATAATGTCTTTTTTTTATTGAAATAAATGTAATTAATAAAGTAATATTTTTTGTACTCCTTCCTAATTCTCCAAATGTATAGGCAGGTCCTTGTACAGCATGTGTCACTATTTTTATTTTTATATGTTTTCAATGGTCGTAAAATTGCAATTCTTTAAAACTAACTATAAAATATAATATGATAAAAAAAACCAAATGTTAATTAAATTTAATACAAATATTTTGTTTATCCGGATAAAAAAGACATGTCAACAATCGACAATTCTCTTCTAAGAGTGAACTAGTATCTCTTTTCTATTGATAGGAAATTTAATCTTGTAACAAAAGAATAGTTTTATTTTGTAAGTTTTTGTTTTATGTTTTCTTATTTATAATGGTTGAAAGATTTAAAGTGACACTAGTGCACTCAAGATATGACTTTGTATTGTTGTTGAAAAATGAGTAACAACTATTTACTAACTGATTAATTATGTAAAATTATTAATTTTTTTAATTAACTGGATAATTAATAATTCTTTAATAAATATAATTAAATTTCCTTCTTTTTGTATAATTAGTTAATTAATTGACATAAATAAAAACAACTTATTATTTAATATGATGTACGATGTATATCAGTACAATAAATATAAGAAATTAAAAGCGAATCGGATGAATGTAAAGCCAAATAAATGAGGTAAACACGTTAGTTAATAAAATATCATATTAATGGCATTGCTAGGTTTGTTTGATGACATACTCTAATTACTTAGAATTACAGCTAAGCAGTTGCTTTATTTTTATTAAACTGTTTAACAAGCAATAATAAAGTACATATAAATATGTTTCTTAAGGAAGTTCACCTAATATTTTACGTATAAACTATAATGCTACAGTTGTAGCGTTAGTGCAAAATGTTAGTAAAAAACATGTATTTTGGTGTACAATTTAATAACTGTTAGACCTTAGTCATTGTGTTTTGAAATATATGTTTTTTTTTATTATAATACTAAATCGAATAACTGTAAGTTAAGCTTTTTGGTTTTTGTTTTACAATGTGTTAGAAATAATAATAATTGCCTATTTATTTTTTACAGTTTTAGGCCAGTCATCATGTTCTCCGTTATCTTATCTAGATCAGTTTTTAAATGAAACTGGATCTGGAGGTAATAATAAATCTAACAGTATCAATGACACAATTGACAGTTATGAAAGAAGTTTTGAAGAAAATAAAGCATTATCAATTAGCAAGTCAAGTTTTTCAGATTTTAACAATAGTGGAGTTAGTAGAGCTCTCAGTTATGCCTAATTTTTTTTTTCATTTATGTATTAAAAGTTTTATGTCGTTTTTTATTTAGAATTCTAGATCACTGTCTGAAAAAGGTAAATGTCACCAGTTTGTTGTGCGAACGTTTTCTTCGCCAACCAAATGTAACCACTGCACATCACTAATGGTGGGACTTGTACGGCAAGGAGTTATATGTGAAGTATGTGGATTTGTTTGCCATACAATATGTGCTGACAAAGTGCCATTACTCTGCCCAGTGCCTCCAGATCAAAGTACGATATTATTGACACTTGTCATCGAATCACCACAATAGTAATTTATTAAATATTTTTCATTTTATCGTTTTAGCCAAACGGCCTTTAGGAATTGATCCAACTCGTGGCATTGGAACGGCATACGAAGGATATGTTAAAGTGCCGAGATCGGGTGGCGTAAAGAAGGGATGGATGAGACAGTTTGTGGTAGTTTGTGATTTCAAATTATTCTTGTACGATATATCACAAGATCGTAATGCGCTACCCGCAGTAACAGTTTCTCAAGTTTTGGACATGCGAGATCCTGAATTCGCAGTGTCTTCTGTAAGAGAATCTGATGTGATTCATGCCGGCAAGAAAGATATACCATGTATTTTTCGTGTAAGTATTTTCACCAATATTAATTGCACTAAACTTTTCAGTAACATTATTTAAAAATTTTTGTTTTTTTTTTTTTTTAAATTGAAAGGACATGAAAAAATATAATATTTTGGTAAATGGGTACAATACTGTGTATTTAGTAATACTGTGTTTTTAACATGAATTAAAAAAAATAATAAAATATTTGAATCGCTTTTCTTTATAGAAATTAACTGTAATAGCTCATGTCACTTATTAACTAAATATATTGTTATTTAATAGATCACCACATCTCTTTTGGATCCACCAGGAGTGAAAAATCAAACTTTAATGCTGGCAGACACGGAGAGTGAAAAAAATAAGTGGATCGTTGCTCTAAGCGAGTTGCATAGAATTTTTAAACGAAACAACTTGCCCAATACGACGGTAGTAAGATAAAAACTATTTTATCAGTTACTAACAGGTCTATTGAATCTTTTGTCGAAAACTAAATATGTATGTTTGTATTTTAGATTTTCAAAGCTAAGGAATTGATTGACAACACACTGACAATTACTAAAAGTGCCATGGCCAGTGCGATTATTGATTCTGACCGTCTGGTTATCGGAACCGAAGATGGCCTTTATTGTATTGACCTTGATCAATTAGGTATGCATTAAGATCTTTTATAGCATAACAAAAAAAAACTAGATATTTATCTTTTGTGTTTTATGAATTAGAAATTGCAAAAATTGGGGAAGCCAAGAAAATATATCAAATTGAATATATTACTGAAGAACAACTATTGATAGTTTTGTCCGGCAAACAAAGACAAGTGCGTTTAATTCCTGTGAGAGCATTGGACGGAGACGATGTTGAGTGGGTTAAAGTGGCAGAAAGCAAAGGATGCATTACTTTTTGCACGGGTTTGATGAAAAAATACCCTGGAATGACAAATCATCAATACTGTTTGTGTATAGCTATAAAACGACAGGTATTAAAAAATATTTGAGTTAAAATTTAATAATTTATTTAAAAACTAATTTTCGAATTGGCAGAACACTTCGCAGGTTATTATTTATGAGGTGACCAGGACGAAACAGAGACACAGGAGACTTAGAGAAATAATGTTACCGTCGCAAGCTCAGAGTTTGACAATATTCACCGACGGCAGGCTATGTGTCGGCTACCATTCTGGTTTTAGTGTATATCACTTGACGGGGGATCATCATCCAATTTGTAGGCATTTTTTTTTGTTCAAAATTTGTTTTATTTGTTCATGTTTTGTTTTAACAATTTATTTTTGTTTTTCCAATTAATGCCTATAGCTTTAGTTCATCCAGACAACCACATGATGGGTTTTTTGTCATATTCAGCGATGGACGCCATTAAGGCCATAGAACTCCCTAGAGGAGAGTTCCTTTTAATATTTCAATCTTTGGGAATCTACGTTGATTCTCAGGGTCGAAAATCTCGGGATAGAGAAATCATGTATCCGAGCGATCTTGTCGATGCAAGTAAGTAGTGTTTAAAATTGTAATTAATTACCGTCGTTATTTTAAGCAGCACTAAAAAAAGAGATTGTGTTAATTTTCGTTTACCATTAGGTTATTGTGATGGGCATTTGATGATATATAGTGAATCACACATCAACATATTCAATGCGGATAGTGGTGATTGGGTTCAGACGTTAAACTTGAGAAATTCACATCCTATCAACAACACTGGAGCGTTGACAGTGTGTTATATTGACGATTTCCCCTACATAGTATACTTATCAAACGTACACCAAAGTATGTCATTGTAATGTAGTCATTAATTATTGATGTTTTAATTTAACCAACAACATATTATTACAGGAGAGCTGATTAATATCAGGTGGAGGGAGATGCCTGGTAGTATGTCCATTCCACGTACCAGAAGAAGGTTTTCCATGCGAGAAGGCCAAAAGGCGACAAGAGGTCCTGACCGTAGATCAAAGATCATATCTGCACCAACAAATTTCAACCACATCAGTCACATGGGACCTGGTGACGGAATACAGATTCAAAGATTGCTCGATTTGCCCACAACAGTCGAAACTGCCGATTCGATGCCACCAATATCTAAAGTAGTGTTTTTAATTTAATTAAAAAATGTTATTTACTTTAATATAATACAATTTGTACCATTAGCCTCCCCAACAGTTCAATACTGCTTCCAGTAAACATTCCTTTCAAATGTCAAGAAGTCCATCCCAACAGCCTCAAGCGACATTAGCAGGTAAATATTTGTTCGTACAAGATTATATTCTCATTAATGTAATTAAAACATTGACATTTTATATTAAAATAAGTTCTATCTTTTAAACTTATTATTTTAAAAATATGTCTTCCAATTTCTTTGTAGATTTTAAGATAAACTAATTTTATTATAACTTTAAAAGAAATTAAATTTATATAGAACCACAATTATAATAATAATTTTATATCGATTCGTTGTTGCACCAAGTAAACTGAGTAAAATTATCCATTTAAATATTGTAATTTAGACAAATTCAGAATCGCAAGAGCGGCAAAACATGCCATGATTGACATGTCGCGCCGATCTTCTGAGGAACGTAAAAATTCATTAATTTTACGTGCTGAATACAATAAACAACCTGTATACCATCCGGTTATTGGTAAGAACGGCATGATAATTTGTACCTGAGTAGTACCCCCTACACAACTCTATCGTTGATTGTATAGTTTGGTAATTTATCATACCTTACCCTGTTAATGCACCCAAAATGTATTATTAACTTTTTCCCAGTAGATTTTATTATTATAATTTATGTAATATTAGCAAATCATTTTATTCTATGTAGAGATTATAATTGTGTTTTTAATGTTACTATTATTTCTACTAGTAATTACAACACTAACTAGTATAATGTATTCACGTACTAAGACAGGCAAATAGTTACGGTCTACTTAAAGCCTAACAGCTAGAATTATAAAACACGGAACATGCTTTAGTCTGCTGGCTCTTGAATAATAATTATTTCCTATCTATAATCTTCTTATATATGATGATAGTATAGTCTTATTTTATGTTGTGGTCAAATGTTTTTTAGTAATTTGTTTAATATTTGGCCTTAGTTGGTTTATTGGCAACATTCACTTGGTCAGTTATTTTAGATAAATTTAACCGTTCATTTAATTGTGCTCGTTATTGTAAACAATAAATATATTTCAACAAAAACTAATTGGCCAGAACATAATATATATGACAGTTATATATAAAAACAACAAACGCCAAATCGCGCTACTTGCGTTACTCTATTATGTGTCGTTTTCGAGCTGGAGGGCCAAGGCTAAAGCATGTTCAATGCTAAAATACAAATCCTCAAATGATTACTAGCTTATTAATTTCATAGGTTGACATTAAGGTTATAAGAAAGGAAAAGCAATTATTAAAAAAGTGATCCACGCTTTAACGAACATTTAAAAAAGTTTATTAAGTATATATAAATTGTTTTCTATTGTATTTTATTTGTAGCAACTTCTATGCATGAAATCCCAAAAAATAAATAACAGTTAAAAAGTGTTTACTTGTTCTATAATTGAGGTATATCACTATTCTTGTGCAGTATGAAATGAACATACAATTTTATGAATAACCCAGTTTAATTAATTTGTTGTCATCAAGTTGTATGGAACGCATGTAAAAAATAACAACCTATTTAATGTGTTAATGTATAAATAATATACATTTTAAAATATATATTTATGTATGTTCAACGTGTAGAAAAATTATTTCAATTACATTGGAACAAATAAAAAAAAAATTGTGTATTTCTAGGACCCACCACCAAGAGATCGTACGTTAAAAAGAAGTCCCTCCTTCAGTCTAGGGGAGCGGAAACGTTTGGATCCAACTATTCACCTCACCACCATTCGGATACTGATCTTCCACCAAACATGTCGCACTCGTTAAACCGCAGCATATCGTCCTTGAACGAGTACAAAGTTAGTAAAAAGGGATTTGATATTGTTAGTTTGCAAACAGTCAACACTAATTTTTATAAACATATTATTATTGTTAAAGGATCATCAGATTGGCAGCTCCAGACATTCTGTCGCCTCGAACAACAGCAGTAACACCAGCACACCTCCGAGTCCAAACCGCGAACACGGATCATCCAGCTACGACAGTTAGAGATAATTTTATCTTAGATTTATCAATTATAATAATTATTACTCAAGTGTTCGAAACACTATTAATGCTATTCCTTTTTTTGGTCATACATCGTTATTGCTACGTATATCAGGTACATTTTCGTTTCTGTGTACATGAATACGTACATGAATTTCACTGTTATATCGCTGAATGATATAAGTTGTTAACAAACATTAATTACCATCTCTTATGTACTTAGATAAATGTTAAGTGCATTTAAATTTGTAAAATTCATATGGTCGGCCATCACACATAAAACAAAAGACTTTTTTTTAACCATTTAATATAAATACTTACAATAATACTCCTCAAAAGTAATCATGGAGTAATCAATAGACTAATAATATTGTGATAGTCTCATTTATACAGCTAAATTACCATCGAGTTTATATTATTTTGTACAGCAATATCATATTCTCGATAGTAATATTATACGATGATGTTTTTTTTATTTAAATATTTTTAAAGTATATGTAAATGTTTAGATGTTATCTGTTGAGTATTTTTTTTATTAAGAATGGTTAATGTTAGTTCTGATCGTTAAATGTTTCTAGCGATGTTTTTGTGTGTCGGCTAATATAATAATAACAAGTTGGTTCTTTCTGTATGATTTTATATTATTATTTAACATTGCAAAGAGTTATTTTTTAAAACTTTATTTCTACATTGAAGTTGTGAAAAACCAGCTTAAATTTGTATTCTAGTCCATATTTTGTATACTTATATTTTGATTTACACAACTCGATCTTAAACTTATCGAGTTTTTGTGATCAAAAATATTTGACCTATCCCACTAAGTATTTCATTTTTATACCAAACGTTTTTATTCATCATTGTGAACCACCATAGTTATAAGTAATCATTTTGATATTTTTTATGTACAAATAAAATCACTGACAAATTTAGTATAAAACAAGAAACCGATAATTTTGGGCATTTAATAGATTCTAAATAATTGGTTTTTGAAAACTTAACTTTTTTTTTTTAATTTATGTTTTTACTAAAATTAACGACATCTCGAACATGATTCGTTTTGCAGTTGATATTGCCATTCGATTACCATTAACGAATTTGCTCATATACTTAATACTGTTATTTATGGTAATTGCATAAATGTTGCAACATATTCTGATAAATGAACAAAGCGAATTTGAATTGTTTTACTATTATTATTATTATTAATTTTTTTTTATTTTAAAGTAAATATATAGTATCCTTTTAAGTTATTTAGAAAATTAGTTAGTTATTATTAGGATTATTTTCTGTTATAATTGTTTGGTTTCAAATTCTATATCAAAGCAAAACGTCTAATAAGTGCCAATATTTTAATTTTGACATATTAAATCTTTGTTTCCATCAATTTTGTTATCACCATTATTTCTTTTAATTATCTTATTAGACTTAAAGTTGACTTTTCGATAACGTTTGAAAGTATACAAATTATCATATTATTTTTATTCTAAAAATGTAGGGTAAAACAAATTGTCAAAGGCCCAATCAATTGCTCATTTTATATTAGTAATAAACGAGAAACAAAATAATTATTGTCGGATTGCAAACCAAAGAACATTAAATTCTGGATTTTACTAAAATGTTGTAGTACAAGTGATTTTCATATAAAATTTACATTTTTTACACTATACCAAAAGCTTTAAATTATAATATTAATGTTTCCTGTTTTTTTTTCTAGTTGTAATTATTTTTTAATTTAATGCTTATGCATTGAGAATGTAATTTGTTTAATACGATAATGTGTTATGCTTGCTCATTTGATTTTGTATCTTTTCCATACCATGTTTACTGTAGTACACAATTACTATATTATTATTATTGCTTATACTTTTGAGTCGTAGATATTTCAAATGAAATAGTCGAGATGACGCAGGAGTTAAATATAAATGTTATTATGAATAATTATTTTAGTGCTAATAAAAATTATTATTTTTATATTGACTAACATTGTGAAGAACTTAACATTAATTATAATTACTATAGGAGTTTAACTGAGTTTGTAACACTTACTTTATCATTAACATAAAACTAACATTGACAATAATTTTAAACTTATATATATATATATATATATAACTATTATAATAGTAGTAATGTTGTAATGTTATGCGTATTGTTTGCGCTACTCTTGACGTGTATCGTTCGAGTTAAATACTATTAAATTTCTACTTTTCATAATATTCTAGTCTTTTGAACCTTTTTACAATATTATCGTACTTGTACAAAATTTAACGTACCTATTATTTATATCTATTTACCTGTATATGACTTATTGTAGTTATTGCGAGGATCGAGTTTTTTTTTTTTATTATTATTATTATAATTATTATTATTTTTGCAATATTGTATAATTTTTTCTTTTTGTAAATCAATTATATAGATTAGACGGAATCAATTAAATCCAAGGCAATTATTAGATTATAGTAGTTTTATATCAATATTTAGATGACACTATATAGGGATCTGCAATGTAATTTGTACACCATAATTATTAACAATTATTGTAGTGAAATTATTATTTTGTTTTATCGGTAAAAAAAAATACCAAAATATTTATAGATTTTTTGTATGTAAACAATTACAAAATAAAACATTTCGAAATCGTCAATTTTTGAATTTGTTTTTTCCGTAAAAGGGATTTTTTTGTGTTGACTTACTATTGTTAATACAATGTTAAGAAAGTTAATTCTATAATTTTATTTTATTTTTCCAGTATAGCATATTTTGCATGACTGTTGTTTCAGATAATGTGATCAAACGCTTTTTTAAAGGGAATCATTTAAATGAAACAAATCTCAAACTTGATTTATTTTAATTGTCAAATGCATTTTATCTTATTTTATACACGTTTATTCGTGTATGAGTTGATCTGTTAAGTTCTGTAAGTACATTTTAGTACAAAGTAATGAGAAACGGATCAATAGTAATTCGTGAAACATTTTATAGTCTTGTGGCAAGTTTTTAGATCTGGACAATTATTATATTCAGGGCATCAAATACCTAAGTTATTTGGTTGTTGTGTAAACGTATTACTTATTCACAGCCATATTTTATTTAATACTTAAATTGATATACATTCATATTGTTTTAAGTTAACCATGAAAGGTACAAAGCCATATAGGGATATTTTTTTTTTAAATGTATAACCAAATATTTATCCTAATGCAAATAATTTCACTACGAGCACAATTGAGTGGTTAAATTTATCCAAAATAACTGACCAGTTGAATGTTGCCAAAAAACCGAAAAAGGCCAAAATATTAAAAAAACTAAGAAAAAAGTGGTTTTAATAAATTAACCAACCTGTTATTTTGTATAAGCGTCAAGATATTATTTAATAAATATTTTAAAAATAATTATAATAGTTTATTTATGGAGATTACCGCGATGTCTAACTGCTTTTTAAATTTGTGCATTTATTGAAATAGTTTATTATAATGAAACGAGTATTTGTAGTCAGTTAACAATTATTTGATAAACATGTAAACCTATAGATGGTGGTATAGAAAATAACAAAAAAAAAATACATTTCAATACAGAGAAAATGAACAAACTACACACATTTTAGTAAAAAGTAATTAAATAATTCTTAATTTTTGGATAATCTCGTTTCATTATTTAACTATAATTTAAGAACTAGTCGAAAATATAAGATAAAAGAACATGAAAATTATGGGTGATAAAAACCAGTTTTCTTATTTATAATGAAGTAGAATATTTAATTAAAAAATAAAACAAATATACAAAAATCACAAGTTAAATTTTTTCTAAAATGTTACATTAACATATAAATTACAAAACAAAAACGTTAAATATAGAATATAAAAAATATAAATATATAAAAAATAATATAATTTTATATAATATTCAAAATTAAATTTCAAATTAGGTAACGCAATGCATTAATTGTATTGTACGTAATTATCTTCTCTGAGGTATACCAATTGTATTAACTTAATAACTAAAGAATATTATTTTTTATCGTCTCGTACAATACAGTAATTCCTTCCCACTCCGTAATTATATTAATATTTTCTAATAGTATAATATATTGACATATTATGGAAACAGGGGAGAAGTTTACTGTGGACTACGGAAATTCTTGCCAGCGTATTTGGCACTGCTACCGAGTTCTTCTTCAATGCGCAGTATTTGGTTGTACTTGGCTAGACGTTCAGAACGACAAGGAGCTCCAGTTTTTATCTAAAGAAATGTATAATATATAAATAATTGAATAAAAATATTTGTATTTTCATTAAGAAAATGTTCATTGGTTATATATTGACTATGGATGTAGTGTTACTTGTCCAGTACTCAAACCAACGACAAGGTCAGCAATAAATGTGTCTTCTGTCTCTCCTGAACGATGAGACACCATTGTTCCCCATCCACTTTTCTTGGCCAACAAATGAGCATCAATAGATTCCGTAACTGTGCCTATTTGGTTTACTTTTAACAATAAGCAGTTGCAAGCTTTTTTCGAAACAGCCTCAGCTATGCGTGTTGGGTTGGTTACAGTTAAATCATCACCCACAATCTATAATCAGAGTAAAACAAATCAATTTTTTACTATATCAATACTGAATACATCTACCAATCACAATTTATTCGTATTTGACAAGATTTGTTAAGTTAAATATTTAAGTTTTTGCTTTAACCATAATATTTTAATTAAATACAAATTATTGGTATTTTAGCCTCAGTGCGGAGCATAGAAGGTAATTAATTATATAATAATATGAGATTTTTGGGAGGAGGGGGGGCTGTAGTCACAAAAACTTTTTGTTTTCAATGATAATAATAGTAACTTATACCTGAATTTGAGTAGAACCAGTCAACCCAGACCAAGCGTCCCAATGATCTTGGTCAAACGGATCTTCAATAGATACAATTGGGAAATCCTTAATAAATTCTTTATATAGTTTGGTTAATTCTTCAGTAGTGATTATTTGTTTCTTATCTTTAGTTTCAGATTTGTTTTTGAAGTCTAAATCATATTTTCCATCACTAGAAAGAAAAATGATTACATAAAAAAAACTAATACAGTTAAATCCCATCAAAAAAGTGGATGTACTTTAAATAGTTATATAGTTTCAAATACTCGGACAAAAATACATATTATTAAACATATGTATGCATAATATTAGAAGAGAATAAATGGCTGAGTGGGTTAAGTGACAGTGTTTTAACATTCACTCTTGTAAGTCTTGGTCAGGCGACTCCGTTTACTGGCCAGAACAATCGAGTGAAAAGAATCTGCCAACCCCTTCTTTTACTACTGACTATCGGCTAAGGATAAAACTAATTCATCAGGTAACCTCCGTCTTAGATGGGCGCAGAGATAGTGGAGGTTTTTAAAAGCACATTATATAAATTTATTTTATTTTTTAGTTCTAGGTTAATTTGTTTAAATACATAGGTAATTTGTATTTAAAAAAACAGTAAACAATCTGCTATCATTACTTTGTTAATACTACTTACACATGAAATTCAGAAGCAGCAACATCCATACCGATGTCAACTTTTCCTTTGTGTCCAGCTTTCTCAATTGCAGTTTCAATTAAACGCAAACCTTCCTTGTTTTCAAGAATATTAGGAGCGAAACCCCCTTCGTCGCCAACTGCAGTAGCGTCCAAGCCAAATTTTGCCTTAATGACATTTTTGAGGTTGTGGTATACTTCTGCACCAATTTTCATTGATTCGGTGAAAGAACTCGCACCTAATTCCAATTAAAACAAATGTGTTGAGGTTAATTCATAAGAATTCTATTAAAACTTTAAATATTACCAGTGGGAAGGATCATAAATTCCTGCATGGCCAATTTGTTGCCCGCATGAGAGCCACCATTAATTACATTGAACGCTGGAACAGGCAAAATTATGTTTTTGTTACCAGCTAAATCGGCCAAATGTCTGAAATTATACATGACGGAAAATTTAAACATAATATTATGTTGTCATAAAAAAATCTATAAACATACCTATAAAGTGGTAAACCTTTTTTAGCAGCACCTGCTTTAGCTACAGCTAATGAAACGCCCAATATAGCATTAGCACCAAGTTTAGCTTTGTTGGGTGTTCCGTCCAACTTGATCATAAAGTCATCGATAGCTTTTTGTTCAGTAACTTCAATTCCCTAAAAACAAATGTCAGATCAAATATGTGATGTTTATTAATATCAATATTCCACACACAAAAGCATAGAACATAAAACATATTAAGAATAACTTAGTATGCGGTTATATAAATACATTTTTAATAGATTACACTTTATTGTATAATGTCGTCTTTTTTGTTAGTGCTCTGAAATTTTAGAATATAATTTGACAATTTTCTACAAATACATATGGTTTATCAAACTGATGGCAACAAACAAACTTAAATAACAAAGTAGGTATGTTAATTACCGATTTAATAAGAGCTGGTGCAATTATATCATTTATGTTTTTTACGGCAGTTTTTACACCTTTTCCAAGGTAGTTGCTCTTATCATTATCCCGAAGTTCTAAAGCTTCATAGATACCAGTGCTAGCACCGGATGGAACAGCTGCACGGTAAATTTGTTTATCTTGGGTAAATAGATCAACCTAAAAAAAATATAATTATTATATATTATATTATAATCGCTACCTTTTGAGCTGCCAGCTTTTTTCAAATTATTTTACAAAATTCCTAATCTTTAATCAAAAGCATACTTACTTCAACAGTTGGATTACCTCTGGAATCAAAGATTGAACGTGCAATAATTTTTGTGATAGCCGTAGTGGTCTTACAAGTAGAATGATATATAACAACAGTCTCAATATTCCTAAGCATAAAATATTTAAAAACTGTAAGTTATGATTTATGAACTAAAAACATGGTTTAAATATAAAATAATAATAATTAACCAAGACTACAATGTACCATGACATTTAAAATAAATATTTTAATTTTTCTGTCATTTTGAATTTTTTTCTATTAAATTTTCTTTTGTCTAAATATAAATAAATATGTATTTTTCCTGCTTTAATTCATAGGTGATCTAAGATATAAATGAAAAGGATTAATGGAAGAAAAAATTTTGAATTACAAACCTAGATAAAACTACTCTTAAATCAGAACGCCGTTTTAGATTCAATATATTTTTACAGAAGGATGCCATCGTTCATTAACAATTTGTGGAATTCTAGGAACAAAATAATATATATTACAAAGTACACACGCACAAATAAATTATAAATTAGGATTAAAAGATGCACCCAAACAACTACACTAATTTACTTTTTACCTATTTAAGTATGCTTATTGTTTATGTTTGTATAAAACACAAAAAAAAAAATTAATCTCTAATTCTTATCAAGTTAAACTTGATGTTATATTAAATCACTGAAAATTACACATTTGATTACATTTATTTTTAGTATACCTGAGAATATTAAATTAATATAGGGAACAAATTACAGTAGAGATAACATGGTATTAACTTAGAATTAGCGTGAAAAAGGTTGGGAATGAATGTTAGTAGAAAAATAGTTCATGTGATACATTACATGTTAAAACTAAAACAATTCCATTCATACCGATATTTAGACAACACATTTTCTGTTGTATAACATGAATTAGTGACAATATGTACTTTATTAATACTACTGTAGCAACAACACAGAAATGTGTACAAGTGACACTTGAGAGCTCTGAGAAGAACTTTTCAATTACAATTATCAAACACCATGAGATGAAAATAAAATATCTATATTTTTTTTTAACGAGATACTCAATTGGTATTGTTCAAAATGATATTGAGTATTTTGTTAAGCGAAGGTTAGCTAAGTAAGCCGCACTCGATAAAATTGTTATAATACAAATTGTTCAGCAAAAATAGTCAATACTTACAGTAATGTGGAGCAAATTTACAAAACTGCTGGACAATGAGCAAATTGCAAAACGGTAAAGAAAAGAATTGACAGGTCTGTTGAAAATAGAAATTAATTCGGTTAAGTGAATAGTGAATTATGATTTATGAATATAACTGAATAACTCTTCTGAACAGATGGGGGACTCGTAAGTCGTAACTAATGGTCGGACGTCAGTGTTACCAGTTTAAGGGAAATATGAATCCACGGTCCAGTGTTCAGTGACACTGACGGACATTGGTCATTGTTACAAGTTAAGGAGAACGGAAAGCGTAAATTTTTTTTATAAATTAAGACTACCTAAAACGCGATATCACTTTCTGAAATGTCTACCGGACCGATTTCAAACCAAATTTGTTTCTTATAAAGTTTAACGTCTTTTCTATAGAGACAAAAAGCCGATTTTTTTTTTTTTTTAAACATTTTATAAGCATTTAGATTTTTACTTTTTTTTATAGTTTTTTTCTAATAAATCTAACTAATTTTCTAATTGTTAAATAAAAAATCGTTCTTAAAGCCGCCATCGAAAAAATAGTAAGCTTCACATTGAAAAAAGAAAAATTGCAATCCGTCCTATAGATACGTCAGAAAATGACCTTTACGAAAGTAATTTTTTGTCAAACTTTCGCCATAACTCGGAGAAAATAACTTAAGGTATTATACCTAACTATAATTATAGAATTATAATTTATAGAAAAACTTGATATTTTTACACCTAAAAGTTAGTCGGTATATTAAAAATAGCTACTAGATCAATTTTTTCAAATATTGCCTCTCCGTTGCCCCTTAATAAATAGCGCTTTCCATCAATATACATAATAGACAGGGTGATTTTTTTATGATGAGTTATTCGATGCAGCTCAACGGTCATCGGTGAGCATTTTCCGAATAGCGGCCATTTGAATTTTCCATTCGGTTGACGGCACCAAAATTTCTTTCACGACAAATTTCTGTTATGTCAATTTTAGACAAATTAATCTCCAAACTAAAATAGCCACGAATTAACAAAAAAAAAAAATTATCACTGGATATTGTTAAGTGTAAGTGGCTGACCAAATCTGGCTAAAATAAAAATCTTTAGAATTTTTTTTTTTTTAAATCAAAAAATTGGTTATCACAATTTTTTGTTATTTCACAAAAAAACATTGTTGTTTCCCAATTCGTTGTCTATTATGGGCTTAATGTATTAAGATCAAGTATTCTGTTATGAACTTTCATCTAAGCCGTTACGACCGTCATCGAAATAATATCGAAAGTAACTAAAAAAAAAGTTAACATAGTTAATAGTAGTAATATAATTGAGGTGTTTCTATCCCGAAATACTTTTTCAAATAGCAACATATATTTTTTTTGGTTAAATTATCAAGTGCATATGTGCAGTTAAATTTTTAATTTTGGATGTGGTAGGGGGGGAATGGAGTAATAATTGTAAGATATCATAATCACTGTTGGACAATTTATAGAATCAATTTTTCATCCACTGGACATTCCGGCATAAGTTCCCCTAGTCATTGTTCCCACCTAATAAAGTTATTATAGATAATAACGTGGCGGATGCATGTGGCCCCAATAATAATGTATGTATGTATGTAAATGTAAGTATACAATGAAATTATATACTTACCTAATTATTTTTGGTTGACCATTTCATGCTTATCAGTTATCACTAATAGGTAATACAGAAGATGTGGTTATTTGCGGTTGAGTATTTTATACTTATTATCATTATTTTTTGTTTAATATTATGAAACAAAACACACTAAATTGATAAAGATATTGAAGTCTGTGGATTGTCGAATGTCAATAATTAATAATTAGTGTTCAACTCAATACTTAAAAACCCTATATAACGCTAAAAAAGTATTGATTATCTAGGTAGGTATTGATAATTGTTATATTTTAATAAATTGATTTCAAAGTAGGTCGTTAAACTATTCTTTGGTAATATTTTCAATCTATAAGTCATATTAAATTATAAACAAGGAACAGTAATCTTCCAGCAACAGTAAAATGATGACTATTGTGATTTACTATTTAAATAGGTAGTCGTTGAGATGAAAAAACATTTTTAAATCGCTTTCAAGGATGCTGTGATAGTCCAAATAATAAATTAACTACCGAAATAGAGTTCTAGTTATTGAACTAATAACTACACATCACAGTTTAACATTTAAATTAAGATTTTGTAAAAAATTGCCTATACTTTACTCCTTAAAAATGGGCGCTGCGACGCCCTCTTAACTAAATAGGTATAGTATACATTACACACTAGTGCCGATATTACTGAGTATTTTAGCTTTTAAGGTTAACAATTAACGACAATGCTTGTATTATCATATTTTATTGATGTATCATAATATTGTGTACAGTCAGTAAAATAGTAGAATATAAACTAACCATTCTATGTTAAATGAAAACACATACAAATTTGTGGAAAATTGAGATCTCATTATATAAGAACACTATGAAGAAAAAAAAATTCAATTATTAATTAAACCCAGCAAAATATTGACTGCCCCATGATAAAAAAATCACCCTATATATACGTTTATTCACATAAAAAAGTTTATTAATAATATAACGTAAAGCGAGCTGCTCATTAGGAATTTATGAATTTAGCTCAGTTGGCATACGTATCAGTTGTATTGTAGGTATTGTTTTGTTTTTGTATTAAATTATACTAAATGTGGAGTACTGAATAAAGAATAATAATAATATACCACGAAGAAGACGTCTAGAAAAATTGTATAGTTCATGTATAATATATTTTACCGCTAAACTCTGGGATAAAATAAACAGATAAGGACTAAGGGGATTAAAGATGCTAATGTTACATTATGACTCTAATCCAGTCAGATTAATCGGTATATAAAAGAGTGGTAAATTCACACTTTTTAATGGATGGTGTAGAGAATCTGAAAATGCGTATATTATGTACTGTACATAATTTGTTAAATTTGTATTAATTTTTAAAATATAACGTTTTGCAAAAAATAACAATTTATTTAGAAATTAATTATTATTCCTGATAATTGTTTTTTTTTGTTAATTCGTGGCTATTTTAATTTGGAGATTAATTTGTCTAAAATTGACATAACAGAAATTTGTCGTGAAAGAAATTTTGGCGCCGTCAACCGAATGGAAAATTCAAATGGCCGCCATTCGGAAAACACTCACCGATGACCGTTGAGTTGCATCGAACAACTCAACGGGCGACTGGTAGATATTATAATATTATTTTCTGTTGCTGGCCAATATCATTTTACGTTTATTTTACGATCGTGTCTGACCGCAGTGTCAGAAATTGTTTATTCACTGTTTGACCGTACAACACATTTTGTTTTTGACAATCGTTCGTGCTGTTTGATTGTAACTTTGTTTATCTCGTGTTCGTACACTTTGTATTCACACAGCCCGATTAATCATGCGTGAAATCTGTCACTTGCAAGCCGGCCAATGCGGCAATCAAATCGGAGCCAAGGTAAGAAGACGATCGCAATCGATAATCGCTTACAATCATAAAACAATTTTATTTTTTAAACAAATTTATTTTAGTTCTGGGAAGTGATATCCGACGAACACGGCATCGACCCGACCGGATCGTATCACGGAGATTCCGACCTGCAATTGGAACGCATTAACGTTTACTACACCGAAGCTTTGGGTGAGGAAAATCATAAATTAATAGTCGATACTTAATACTAATAAATAATTTTAAGAACTAAAAGGCGGGGTTGTAGGTCATTTTTTTGGGGGATTTTTTTCGTATTTTGTTAATGATTTTTGTAAACCGCATTTGCTTTGCAGGCGGCAAGTATGTGCCCCGCGCCATTCTCGTCGACCTGGAACCCGGAACCATGGACTCCGTGAGATCGGGCCCGTTCGGACAGATATTCCGGCCGGACAACTTCGTGTTTGGCCAGTCGGGCGCGGGCAACAACTGGGCCAAGGGACATTACACGGAAGGCGCCGAGCTCGTCGATTCCGTGTTAGACGTTGTTAGGTGTGTACGGCTGGCGCGCGCGTCCGCAATAAAAATTAATTATGGTTTATTATGCGCAGGAAAGAAGCGGAGAGCTGCGATTGTCTGCAAGGATTCCAGCTGACGCATTCGTTGGGTGGCGGCACCGGGTCGGGAATGGGCACGCTGCTGATATCGAAAATCCGCGAGGAGTACCCGGACCGCATAATGACCACGTACAGTATCGTCCCGTCGCCGAAGGTGTCGGACACCGTGGTGGAACCGTACAATTCGACGCTGTCCGTGCACCAGCTGGTGGAGAACACGGACGAGACGTTCTGCATAGATAACGAGGCGCTGTACGACATCTGCTTCAGAACGCTCAAGCTCACCACGCCCACTTACGGCGACCTCAACCACTTGGTGTCGGCGGCCATGTGCGGCGTGACTACTTGCTTCCGGTTCCCGGGGCAACTCAACTCCGATCTGCGCAAGTTGGCCGTCAACATGGTGCCGTTCCCGCGGCTCCACTTCTTCATCACCGGGTTCGCGCCGCTCACGTCCCGCGGCAGCCAGCAGTACCGGGCGCTGACCGTGCCGGAGCTGGTGCAGCAGATGTTTGACGCCAAAAACATGATGGCGGCGTGCGACCCGCGGCATGGCCGGTACCTGACCGCCGCCAGCATATTCCGCGGCCGCATGTCCATGAAGGAGGTAGACGAGCAGATGTTAAACGTGCAGACCAAGAACTCCAGCTACTTCGTTGAGTGGATACCGAACAACACCAAAACGGCCGTGTGCGACATACCGCCCAGAGGTCTCAAGATGTCGGCCACGTTCATCGGTAACACCACGGCCATCCAAGAGATGTTCAAGCGTGTGTCCGAGCAGTTCACGTCCATGTTCCGCCGGAAGGCGTTCTTGCATTGGTACACCGGCGAGGGCATGGACGAGATGGAGTTCACCGAGGCCGAGTCCAACATGAACGACCTGGTGTCCGAGTACCAGCAGTACCAAGACGCCACCGTGGAGGGAGACGACGAGATGGACGAGGACGAGGACGCCGAAGCATAGACACCGCAGATGTACCGTTTTCACAGATCATCATTAATCACCATAATGTTGTATATAATTATAAATTCATTTCATTAAAAAAACCGTTCAAAAATCAAAATTATATGAAGTTTGAAATTTAATTAAATTTTAGTTGTATTTAATTTTTTTTTGGTATGACGTACCAAGTAATATCTATAATATTAAATACTTCAGGTTTTTATTGGGTACTTAGGTAACACAAGTGCGGTGCTTGAACAAATACTTGTGGATTAGTGCAAATGGTTAAAGCACGAATTGCACTTTTAAAATAATACCACACTAGTTTCACTATGAAGTTGTACTGAGGGGGCAACCTCCCCTCACAGCCTTACAACATGCATAACGGACAATTACAGAGTACCTAATTGTCCACTATAATAATTATTAGTTAATGACTTTATTCGACTTTAACTTACTTTACTTAACTTAAAAATAAATAATTAGGTCAGAACCAAGATAACATTTTTAACCACTGAGTCAAAAATTCACCCCTTTTCTTTGAAAATCCTAGAAAAACACCCTACAAATGTGCACACCGAATTATGTGATTTGTTTCATTTTAACCAGTATTGATAAACTGTTTGCAACTTAAATGAAAGAAAAGGAAAGAAGGATTAGTAGAAAATAGGTATTTTGTTGAGGTTTTTTTCTTATGCCTACCTTGTTTTTTAAACAGGGTTTTTTTATTGCACTGTAAAATAGTTTAGCGAGCGACTAAAGAGTGACCGTGCGAGTCCAGACAGACAACACCCGCAACAAAAAAAAAACCAAATCATTGTGTAACCAATGGTTATAATCAATTCCAGTATCAAAGCTAAAACGTATTGTTATTATATATATATATATATATATATATAGGACCGAGTGAAATTTAAATAATTGTCGACGTCTGATTTCACTACGAAGAATAATGCACTTACACGCACATACAAGAGAGGTGGTGAATAGAATACTATTTTTACTACAATAGCAGTTTATAACATATTATATATGTATATGTATTCATATATTATCCCGTTGTACTTGTCGCCCACAGCCGTATTTAGTTAAGATGGACAATCTGCCATTATGAAACAGCAATTCGCTTTAGGCATTTGGCAAATTTTTGAATTTATATATTCACAAAATGATACTTGAACTGGAGGTAATTTTTTTGGAGTTCAATAATAATTCAGACAACATGGTTAATTATTTCTTTATTGGCTGGTTACGATTATTTTTTTTTTTTTTACAATTAAGTCTAGTTAAATAATAGAACCGAGACTCTAAGTAGGTATAAAGCATAGGTATTTATAATTATACCTTTAAGTAAAAGCGGTAACTGGTAGATGGTAACTGCGGTATGCGGTATATGACCTAGGTAATTATGTTTATTATGAAAAAAATGGCAGTGCTGTACAATAACTTGTATATAGGACTGCAGTTATACAATTTGAATTTATTATGTTGTTTACATTAAGTTAAGTACTATACTTACCGTTATTTTTATAATTTGTATACAATTAATTTAGTTGACAAACTGGAACTCGCGATGAATTTGGAGTTAAGCAGGTATTTATATTTTTGTTCTTATTGAGACTTGGTTATATTTGAATAGGTATCGCTTATCGGTTTCATTTCGATTGCATTAAACTGAGTAACGTGTTACACATTTCGTTTTTGAAAATTGGAATAATTAATTTGAGAATATATAGAGGTAAGTAGACTAGACCGTTGTAAAATTAACGTCTCAACTATATTGCCTACAATAAATAGGGTTTAAACGTAAGGTGGGAAAGTGTACCTATTTTTACAAATATAATATGGGCAACAATTTTGAAGATACAGTACAGAAAATGATTATAATACTAGTTTATCCAACAAACTGTTTTTTTTTATTTGGTAAATTTCAACTTAAGTAGGTCTACTTAATATAATAATCCAACAGTATTTTTCGTAACGCCGTCTTAGTTCAAATACTTTGGAAATGCAAATAATAATTTTTTTTTTGTTTAAATAAAATATGTTAATATTTAAATTCAATCGCGCTCGAGTATATATTACCATAATTAAAATAGTTGCAGTCAAGTAGGTACAAAAACAATACTAATTATACTAATTACTATTATATTATCGTTTATGAAGTTTTGTAAAAATTTCTAGGCAACAAACTCTTAGTATAGAAGTACCTACCTAATATACCTATGGGACAGATGTAAGCAACAAACTTGTTCGTTTTCATCGCTTGGCAGACGGTTTTACATTTGATTGGATAAAAAAAAATGAAAAGCATTTCGAAGAAATTCGATTTAGTTCAACCGTCGCGATGCCCTTCACTTTTACCCATATAATGTGTAATTCCTACGCTATTAGTCATTATAAATCATTATATACAGAGTTTACAGTATTACAGTATTTAAAAAAAATAAATGTATTTATTATTATATTAAGTAGCATGTGAATGTGTTGGTAGCTTGTAACAGTTGCTGTTGTGGGTTAGGCGTACAATGTTTTTTTTTACAGTTCATATGTACAGTCAATCAGAATAATATGATTATTGATATAAAATAGAATCGAGAGTAGTCGAATATTAATAAAATAACTATTAAAACCAAATAAAATTAAAAAAATAAATCGCAGGGCCATAATAACGCGCAGCAATTATATACATATAAACCATGTAATGAATGCACGCTGTAAAAGTAATAATATGCAAAGATTATAACCTCATATTGATATAAGGAATGACATATTATTATAATAAATGGGAGCACTCCTTAGCTATTATAATATGCATTTTGAGTCCCGGTCTAATTACCACGACGTTGCGCATTAATAATAATTATTAATATTATATATTTATAATATTATGTGTGCGTGCAACGAAGGAACATATGTGGATTTATGTCCAACATACTTAATTAGAATAAGTAAAGTAAGTTAAATAATAAGTAAGTCAGTTCAAGGGCGCTACTAAAAAAATGGAAGTATATAGTAAGAGGAGGAGGAGGGAAAATAGAAACGTATTTTATGAAGACCACAATAAAAAACCTACTATTTGGTCACGATAGAGCATAATCGCTCTTTTAGAAGGGTTGAAGTTAACATTTAGGGACGTTCTCATTTGCAATTAATAGATTTTTATTTAATTTGTTTCCCACAAAAACTATTCATCACTAGTTCAAGACCGTTTAAGTAGTACCTACTTCTGTTTAACGTACAGGAAAAAAAAATGTCCGATTAACATATATTTTATCACTATGACCGCTATGTATAAATATTTTGTTTTTAAAAAATAAACTGATAGTTTAACAACTTTGTTACTGTTGTGAGTTACAGTTGTTAGTACAGTTATTGAGCTATAACATTGGTTGAAATTAAGTCAACCTTTTTTTTTATTTATAAACAAATTAAGTTTTTTTTTAAATCGCAGCCGTTATTACGTTTCCATGTTAATTACGGATACTGTATTGGCCAAAGTTGATAAAATGTATTGTTTTTTAAAATTTTGCTCCGAACATGTTTTAAACACTAAAACGCAATTTTATTTTATTTTATTGATCATAACATTCGTTTTGAACATGTCAACCCTGGACTTATAGCACTTTTGGCTTCATTACAATTTCTGATCGTTTTTCACACTAGGACCTAGGTTAAGCATTATAATGTAATTTTCTAAGGCTTTGATATAATGTGTGAGAGCTTACTCCAAAAAACTGACAACACTAGCGCAAAAGTTTTAGAAACAACTATAATAATATTATATGGTGTCACATGTGTGGCTAGTTAATTTGTTTAAACAGTAAACACTTAGGTATAGTTTTATAGTTCTATCTTCTAAGGGAATTCTTATAATAAATATAATATTTAGGTACGCATCAACTCTAAACATCTAGTTAGAGTGGATTTAAACTGTTTTTAAACATAATTTTTTTATTTAAGCAAGACATGTTGACTTTTAATGTATAATAAGAGACATTCCGAAAATCGGTGGATTTCCACAAGAAAATATACATAAATGTCAGTTATGACACCAGGTTGAGTGTGCCATTAATAATTAAAAATTAAAATTAAAAAAAAAACAAGCAATTTATCGTGGACATATATTGCAATCGTAAATTTTTATTGTAATATTTTTTTAACGTAGAACGAATTTCAATTTCAATTTGTATTCGTACCTAACTCTAAATCAATTGTCATCTCATATCGAAAACCGGATACCGGCTTCGAGAAAACCGATTAAGAGTTAAATGATCGCTTTTGAATTTCTAACTCATTATAATATATATTTTGTTTTGTTTATAACAGCAAAATGTACACATTGTCATCTAGGCGCCACAATAACAATTACAGTATTGTCTTGTAATCGGACGTTCTTATTGTTTTCCATTATATCGTCCTATGCGTTTATTTATAATAGTATAGATAGTGTGTATGTGAGCTTATAACATATTGTATTGAACGTACATATACTATTTGCGGATAGGTAGTCATTAATTATTATCGTATTTAAGTCGCTATTGAAACAATCAAACGGTTTTCGATACGATAAGAAAGTGTTTTTAATAATAGCCGTTTGAGCTACCGGAGTGTGACTATAGGTATTATACCTAACCTATAGCGTAAGTCATATGTCATTATTTTATTTAATTATTATTGTATGTTTCAAATAATATTCCACTGTTGTAATGATAGCGTTTAATTGTTTTGACGTCCAGTAATAATTAATTTGATTATCCATCAATGGAAACGCGATATTGCACCGGTTTGCCGTCTTATCTGTAGCTATTCTTTCTCTTCCGTTTTTTTGGGCGGCGTCGAAGAAAATAATATATTAAGGCATTATTTTTTTTTATATTTTCTACGATTTATTATAATATATATAGTTTTTATTTGTACTTTTATTTTTTTTTTTATAGGCCATCGAAAACCAGTTACGACAAATCGAACGTGTCCGGTATGTCATGCCGGTATAATATAGCCATATACGCGAGCACGGCGAAGCCGCGGTTGACCCACATACTTTGGCCACCGTTTTCCCGGTCTACCGGTGTGCACGTGTACCCGGTAACTGGTATCGTGGGATTGGTATCCTCACGTGAGCGCGTTCAGTTTCGTCCAGACCGTCGCTTGGGTCCGTTGCCGCCATTTCCTTGATTGGCACCAGACAGACTGTGCACGCGCCGATGTTAAATTAAAGTTGATTACATATATTTTTATAATAATTACCATTAATACATAACTAGGCGTATAGATTTGTTTTTTTATCTCAAACAGTGCACCGTCGTTGGATTGAGTTGTTTTTTTTTTGTTTTTAAAAGAATACAATTTTCGTTTATTGTCGCGATTGTTAAATTTTAATGTGAATACGTAGCGACAGCCGAAACATGGTACACAAGTAAGTACAAAAATATAATTTAAAAACGCGTATATAATGAAATTTATATATTCTAACTTATACCCAAAATTAAAAATTCGAATTTATTGTCATTAATAATATTTTTTCATTGGATTTTAAGTTTTTAATAACTCTTTCAGCAAACAACTTGTATTCAAAAATAAATTATATTATTACAAAATATATATAAAACAAGTATTTTTTATAAGGCCAAAAAACGTTTTTTGTGATACTTCTGTTATTTCCTTATTTAAAAAAATTTAACATAATTGCGTAAAAATTATTATATTTATGTGGTTATAACTCACATTACACATCTATAAATACTTTTGAGGCAGATCATATTATTTACATACGTGTATAATTAATTAAATATAATGTATTACAATTTAATATAAAACAAAATAAATACAATTGTCATTTAATACTTGTAAACAAAATTTTGACACACTCAATATACTACGTAAAGTGGAAACTTATTTTCCTCATTTAATATCAGAAAAAGCAAAGTATGAAAGTTCAGTTAAAAATTTGTAACTTATTAACGTCTTTTTTTACTTCGATGTGTACATTTTTTTTTAATCAAAATTTTACGAATAAATAAAAGAAATTATTTACAGAACATGCATAATATTATACAATTTGTAAAGATATTTAAGTATAGCTTATAACAAGTTTTTTTAGTTAGAAATATTATTTTATAACACTTTTAAGATTTATATTTTTTTAGACAGAATTAGAATTTTTTTAATTTATTACTTTTTTGTTTTAATAAAACTGTGATTTGAGGGAGCTTTGGTAGTACTCTTAGTTTTTTTAATATTACCCCTCCTTCCCTAATGGTTTGCGTTAAAATACTTTTAAGTTGCATATAAGGGGTCTATGAAAATATATCTAAATTTTAATTTATTTCAGTAATCAAAAGTTACTTTACTGGATAATATATATTTTACTAATTATTAAATAATACTATTGAATATAAATTATTTATTATATTATTTTATAATTAATGATAGTACGCTTATTATAATTTTAATGTTTATTGACTTTTAAATAGTCGATTGCAATTAAGAGTTTATATAACTCCAAACTTGTTTTAAAATCCAATTAAAATATATATTTGTAGCTGTAAAATTGCGTGCTTATCGATTGTAATTAATTATTTAGTTTATAAGCCGAAATGAATATTTTTAATCCGCTGAAGGTAAAGGTCGGAGCTTTTACTGTTGCCTGTTAACAATATTTTTTATAACCTTTTCCGAATATTATAGGTACAGGATTAGTCGCCTAAAAATAATGTAGTTCTTCAATTAGCAGAGATCACAATACAGATTAGATCGGATGGAATATTGGCATAGTTTTGTTACCTATAAGTGTGTCAGGTTGAAGGTTTATACCGTCGTCAAGAGAATTTAAAAAATACACAATACACAATATAATGAAGGCCATATTTTCTGTATATTCTAGATTTTTTTCCACTTTTTATTTTGTCAAGTTCACGGTCAATAAAAGACACGTATGTAACGATAAAAATTGTCATCAAGTCTAGGTGTGCTGGCATACGATTTGGACATATTTTTAATTACAATGGGCTTTCACGCGTTTTGGCACGTGCACAGTACAACTCGAGCATTACATTATTATAATAATAAAAATAATAAGCCGTATAGGTTTACACTGGTGTCGGCAAGTCTGTATCACTACAAAGAAAAACGTCTATACTTATATTGCCATCATCGGATTTTATTGTACAGAAAACAGCAACTGTCGCACGCTTTCTTTGTATATGTAGCCCGTGACGAAATTTTTAGATGATAATATCTCCTTCTTCAATGTTTTTCGCACATTTTTCTCCGTCAGGAAAATACCACCTACAAGAAATGCCATTTAAAAATCAATTTCATAAGTAGTTCTTACCGACTTCTTAACCCTTTCGTTCCTGGGATTTTTTTTTTGTATCGGACTGATATTGATTATCAATATGGCTGTGTCGATTTTTTTTATCATCAATCTATACTAGAACTTGTGTTTAAAGACATTTTTAATAATGTTAGTACGTTGTTAATATTTTATTAGATTTTTAAAGTTAAATCTTCGTACGAGAACTATATGTGTAGTTTACTATATACTTAGTTCAAACTTGATTGAAAATTACAATAATTGTAACCAAGCTAAAAACTTTCAATATACGTATTATTTAGTTTATTACTTGTTTTGTTAAGTAATACAAATGATCAGTGAAATTTCAATTGAACTATTCCAAGCCGACCCTTTCTGCGGAATCCACAACCGGTGTTTGCTTATTTAGCAACGAATGAGATTCTTAGACATTGTTTATTTTAAATGTACACACAGAAAGGTTAAGTATTAATAATTGTTAGTTTAATAACTAGTATAAAGTATTATTAGTTAACTTAAAATTAAAAATGTATTGGGGGAAAAAGTACAACGGTATAATGAGTAACTAAATAGGTATTAGAACAAATAGAACTTAATATTATACATTTAATTGCTAGGTAAAAAGTAATTAAATTGATGTTTAAAATAAAGCAAACCACTATATAGCAGATTTATTTCTTATTTAAATTTTTTTCCTAATATTGTACCGAAATTTGGTTTTTAGTAATAAAAATTTACCTTAATTTTGTTTATAATTAACTGCAGTAGACCCGTCGTTAATATGGTAAGTATTTTTTAGCAATAAAAAAAACCTGTGTAACTAATATATAATATGTAATATCGTAAAAAACATGTATATTGAATCATACACGATAGGTGTAATACCTACCTAATTAAATTTGTATTATGCACTTGCATTATACATAGTAAGTAATACTTGTACAATTAGTATGCACAGAGGAGTTCATGTTTATATTATTAACACTTATTGATAGGAGTATCGGAAGTATTTCAGGCCTAAGGGTCAGAATGTGAAAATCGACAATACTTAAATGCATTTATTTCAAATGAAGACTTTTTAATTTCTTCTATGTCACATGATTGTGTAGGCATTAGGAACCGTTATATTGTATTACACTTGTGTTAACGTCGGTTAACTGCAAATGCTTAGGTATATTGGTCACCTATCTAACGGATACTCGTCGGCTCCCGTGTAGCCGGTTAGGTCGCTGCACTTTCAAAATGATAATATTAATGTTATTATTTTCCTTATTGGTTTATTTACCGGAAATAATTTTTATAGGCGCGACCATCTTCGGGTCAGAAAAAATGACCATTTAAGCGGGTCAATGCCGATGAGGATAATAATATGCAAAACGTGTTTCCGTCTGTTATTTTTCCCATATCGAGTTTTGGCGTTTAATCGATTCGGAAATAGTGTTGGTTGTTTTAAGTAAATATAAACAGACGTGTCCATCGTATGGGCATATAGTTTAAAACACAGATGCGTGTCATCTCAGGAGTAATTGTCTATACACATGTACAATTCACCCGGAATAAAGAGAAATCTAAAGGAAAACCCGGTAATATTAAATCAACGTTGACACTGCGGTATACACGCGCGCATCTTACCTTACAGCGGAACAAGGAATGCAGAACGGGTTTTGTGTCCCATATGGAAGTTCATACTTATAATATTATACAGATGTATGATGTATATACCTATTAACATATAATCCGTCTGTCGCGGATTTCACTTGGCCCAAAAAAAAAAAAAGTTAAATAACAAACAGAATTAGGTTAAACGGTGTCGATTGGTATACACGAGTATATAGACAATATTATAATAATATGTAAATATAGTTATTTTAAAATTCACTTTTCATCTCGCGAATTTTTTTCACATATAAAAATGGGTTGGCCCGTGTGGGCAATGGCAATACTACAAGTAGTTAATTGGTTTAGTTGCGTGCACGGTTCAAACCCCAGACTTCCTATCTACACACTGACCTATGTCCTGAAGGCATCGTTTCAATTAACATTTACCTACCTTTTTGCACTTACGCCAACTTCCCTAAAAACAACAAAACTCTGCCTAACTATACCAGCGGCAAGTCGATTGGCTTTAAAACATTTGTGTACACATGTGTTTAGTTTACTTGTAATGTTGTTAAATACTTTCTTGATTACCCGACCGATTAGTTTGTTCAAATAGAAACACATACAATGTTTGCTTTTAAACTTAAGTTAAACAAAGATAGCAACACATCTAGGGTGTTTATTACTTATTTTCCATGTAATAAATTGTAAATGACAGCATAATATTTTATTTTTACCATAAAAAATATTTATTATGTACATCCCAGTGGTGCGCAATTGTCTTCAAATTATTGGGATGGCTTAAGCGGAATCCTATAATATTATCATCATACTTTTGATTAATTTATAATTGACGTCAAACGGCTATAATAAATACAAAATTAGCTTTTAATAAATGTAACAGATTTGGTGAATTCGTAAAAAAATACAAAATTTACTGAGTAATAAAAAAAAATAATTAACTGAGTAAGTACAACTAGAACGGAAGGTTATGTTTTAGCAAGATACATCTTATATTATTGGAACGTACTGCGTTATTAACGCTGTTTTCCACGAAGTAGAGGTTTTTTAACTATTTATAATGCATTTAAATAGCTAAGTACACAAAATTAAAAATATGTGCCCTCTCAATGAAGGTTCACGAAAACTGTAGGGCCTTAACCTATTTATTTCCTTTGAGCTTTCTCCCAAGTTATTCAGAAATTAAATTTGCGTAGCCTGGCTTTTATGGCCAAGTATCTTGATCATTCTTTCAGCTGTGTTATTTAAGAGTATGGTTGCTTGTATATATATATATATATATATATATATACACATATATATGTTTAACTCATGACTGATTTTGTAATTAATTTCACATTTTTAACAAATAAAACTAGATAGTTAAAATCATTTCTATACAAAATGAGGTAAGTCTTACTTTAAGATAGGGTTGTGACTACTACTACTAGGTTAAAACTACTGATATATTTTGTTGGCTATGGTCAAGTTTGTTATTTTTCCACTCGTCGATAAAAAAGCCAGTGTGCACAATATATAAATGACAGAATCGGGATTTTATGGAATAATAACCTTGTGTGATGGCTAGTTAAAGTAAGACGTAAACCATAACAAAATAGCACGTGCTTACTTTTAACGTCGTTATAATAGAAAGACAATGAGCTAAGTGTTTAAATGTTTACACTAAATTTACCATGTGATATATTTAACGGTTTGTGATTTTGTGCAATTAGTGTCCGTCGTGAACTGTCAAAAACACTGGTGCTGCCATGTAATATCTGTAGTTAAGTGTATATTATAGGAGGCTTACTAATGGCACACATTGATGCGCATTCCAACTTTCTCAAACTAGTTACGGCAGTGGACAGATTCTGTTCAAAACCGCACAGTTTGTTGTTGAGAAAAAGCTCTAAAATTTTAATCAATCAGAAAACGTGGGATTAGTTTGTTTGGCATCTGTGTCATAATAATATATGAATCTTGAAAACTCTTTTCGAACACCGACCCAGATTTGCTCTCTCGAGTAGTTCCAATGAAAGGTATTTGTATGTGTATATTAAAAAAAACTGCGGTTGCCTTGTCTGTTGTAATTTTCTACTGATTTTTATCTCTTTTTTTAAATTATGCGTTTGTCTGCTGGTCGGCTTTTACTTATGTACATTTGTTGGTAAACTTTGTGACTACGAAATATAAATTTATCAACAAAAATTTGGACGGTGTTTGTATTTTAAATAAATGTCTAAGAATCATTAAATTGGGTTCTCGGTGTATGTGTTTTTAGTAAGAATACAACTAAGCCATATAAAATATATAGTTCCTGTATCTGCTAAGGTGTGTTGGTTTCTACAGGTATTATTTCTAATACATCTAATATGATTTTTGGGAGTTTCGACAGTCTTTTCAACTGCAGTTTTCAACAGTAATAATTAGAATGGGAAAAGAGAAAAAACATATTGTATAGGGAAACATTCGTGCATCTCAACGCTGTTGAAACAAGCCAATTGATATTAATGGGCAAGTAGATGCATCAAACAATAGTTATTTTGCAATAACAATTGTTATTTTATTATAGCTAGAGAAATAAAGCGAGAAGTTATGTTATGCTATGTGGGATGTATTTTCTTGCGTTTTGTGATGGCGAGGGGAAGACCTAACGGTCGTGCGAATGTTAACTATGTGGATTTGATGTGTTTATTACCTCCGGTAAAATACACTGTAACCATACTACGACAATCGTGACTGCGAGCGGAATAAATGATAAAAGAAGATAAAAAAAAAAATAAAAATTGACCCCAATGGCGGTTCTAGATAATATACAAGACCGACTACAGTAATCGTACAATATATTTGCTCGATAAATAGATTGTACAAAGATTTGTAAAGTTTTTTTGTGGGTTAGCTCTCTTTCTGTTGTGCTATTACTTTCTCATATACAAGAAAACTACACAAAAATGACGTTCAAACATAAATAAAATAAAAAATAGGTAATAGTTATTTCATCAAGAAATACGGATTAGCCATGACTATTATAAACTACTAATTAGGAAAAAAAAATCATTAAACTATGTATGTATGTAACGCAACCATCTAAAATGCTTAATTTAACAAAGAATCATTGAGATATAGTTTTAAGAGTATACAAAGGTTTGAAATAGGTAAGCTCATATTGGCAATAGAAAGCCTAAACGTCCATTTGAGAAAAATATATACTACTCTTTATAAATAGTTACATATATAATCATGGAAAAATATTTAAATTGTACCACCTAGATGACTTTCCATCGTTGATTTCAGTATTGTACTGGTAACTGGATTTTTTTAACAAGTTTTTTATTTTACATTTTACAGGCGTACCAAAAGCTTACAGATAGCTTTTCTGTGTTTGTGTTGTGTGCAATTTTTGGGAGTTGTGGTGGCGACAGACGAAGACAGTGCTAACACCGGTGCGGAGTTTCTTCACAATGTCATAAGCAATTTGCACAGACCGCATCTCGGTCAGTACAAGTCACCGGTCAATTCTGCGGTGGCTGATGACCGGATCGACGTCGAAGAGTACATACCCGGAGACGTGCCTTACAATCCGAGGGCCGAAGAATTGAAAATATTATCGAAGAGACCGCAAAACCTCAACGATTACTTACCACAGGTACCTACCTACATCAGGCAATGTGATAACATACCGCAGTACGTGTATACAACTGATAGCTGCAACTGATGACTGGCAACTTAAACTGCTATACAGGGTGATTCGTTAAGGATTGGGCACTTGTATTTTTAAAATAATTGCCATATTGTAGTTTTTCTTTTTAATAACGTTTTCGTTTAAACTTAAAAGTTCTTTTTAAACTTAAAATATAACGTCCATAATTAATTAACTTTTGAGTTGGAGTGCGGTAGAGTAGGTAATGCGCACAGATAAAAATAATATTACACTCCACCCTTTCTCCAGACCTAAATTTTAAAAGTAAATGTTGGAGTTTTATAAATTAATAGAGCTCTAGAACAAAAAAAAAGGTAAAAAATTGTATATTGTTTGTACAGTGAAATAACATGAAGTAGTGTTTCAAAGAAAACTATAAAATTTCAATTATATAAAGATAAAACGAGTGTCTTATCTTTCATGAATCACACTGTAGGTATTCACTGAGGTCTGACGTTTAACGCGAAACACATTGTATGTGTACTACTTCTAACGTGTGGTCGTTGAGACGTTCAACGCCGATGACCTAAACTGCGGTAACCAGCTTTGAATAATTACTCTTAAAGTTAATAAAGTTTCAAAAGCTAGACGAGAGGGATGGTGCCGACATGTAATGAAAACACATTTACAAATAATTCTACCCCTCCCGTCTAGACCTTTAAACACTTAAAGTAAATTCAAAACTGATTATCAACTATACAAAAATGTTCAGAAAATCTGTAAATTATTTTTAAATTAACATAATATAAACAATTTTTTAAATTGAAAATATTTAACTTTTCCAATATTGTAAGTATATTTGTAGTTTTGATAAAAATAGGTATTAAAAAAAACAGTAGTTGTGACACAAATTTTAATAAACGCACTAAATGATAGCGACAAAGATCAAACGGTGATCACCGAAATTACTTGTTTGATGGTTTTAAAATATGCACATGATATCTATAATAATATTTTAATGATATTGATATTAAATACGAGAAAATTGTATTTTTTATACTCGCAGAGAAAGAAAGTTACTAACAACAATAAACTACTGTATGGGCTGATAATTTTTTTTTAAATACAATCTTTTCAAATAACTTTTACATTTTAACTGGTGGATATTGTGTTTGTAACTTATTCAAAATTCTAGCCTTAGTTTTGTAATATAGAACAACTAGTTGTTATTATTAGTTCATTGTGTTAAAATTGTTTAGTTTTGTAGAATTACTATATTATTTTATTACAGAGTCCCGACCAATCAGCTAATGATCAGCAACAAGCGGTGTCTCCCTCTTTTTTGCATTCAGCTCTTTCCCAAAATGAATTGTCCGATTTGCAGAACTCTGCCACCTCTCAAGATGGTACCCAACAAACCAGCAACTCATTTCCGGCCAATTTAATTCAGTCGCTTACAGGTAAATTACATTTTGTTTTTCAATTATTACAAAACTTATTTAACTGGGCGTTTACCCTATTCTTTAAAATTAATATTAAAAGCGTCCTTTTTCGAGTATCAGAATGAAAATTTGGTATACTTAAAGAAACCAAAAACCAAAATGTTATTTTTAGCCGATGGCGTTAAACCCGACGGCATGATTCCGGGTTATTACTACTATTTCGTGCCGTTGAACAAGAACCACCAAAACTCGTTGAACTCGTTAAACCAAAACGAGCAGCTACAGCCGATGGCGTCGAACAACATCAACGCGAATCCGTTGGACTTGCAGCAGTTGCAGGCGTTGGCGTCCATGCAGGACAGCCAACAGCAACAGCAGCATCATCATCTGGCCAAGAGCCCGGTAGAACCGCTGTTCGTGGCCATGGCGGGGTTCGTCGGCGTGGCCGTCGTGTTCCTCAGCGCCATGATGTTCATACCGCGCATTGGACCGCTGCTGCATACCAAAGCGGCGCTAAAACGGGCGCCTGAAGAGATAGCCACGATCACCAAACTGGTGGCCGAATCCATCGACGGCAAGGATTGCAGCGAGCGCATTGCTTGCGAGGTAGGCCGGGCCATGCGGTCCATGGACGTGGGACAGAAGCCAATCAGGTAAGTCGACGTCAGGTCACGGACAATTTCTTAGGCGTTGCCGGATATTAGGCTTAAACCAAAAAGGTTTAAGTAACCGTTTTGAAAAAGAAAAGATTGTTTGATCATGCATTATTTGTAAATGACAACTTTTCAGAACAAAACGTTGAAAATGTAATTTTATTTTTGCTCATTAAATTTGGTAAAAATCACTTTAATCATTTTGATATTCGTCTATTAGGTATGTCCATACCTACTAATTATCTTTATTAATAATTAATAGGGACATAAAACATATTGGTGTCAAGTGTTTGCATACGTCATACTATGTGGATGTGTTTACAGAAATGTTTGGACTTTAAAGTAATTTCATTAGAGCAACAGAGAGAGGCTATGAAAAAAGTTCCTACTTAGAGTGTAATAGTGGTAAAGCTTGATAGTAGAAATAGCTTAGAGCTCAGAGGTACTTGACCTCTGGGGTATTTACTATACAATGTAATATTTTTAAGTCTCTGTTCCATATTTTTTGGGGAGTTTGTCCAGACAACTTATATTTTAGTCACCTATCGTTATGATAGTAAATGTTGACACGATGCATTAATCGGGCACTATCATTTTCAAGTTTTTAAAAGTAATGTATTCAATTTTTAGGCTGATGGAAATAATGTTGCCGCCGTCGGTCGCAAAACAACTGGCACAGGTGAGGAGGTCTGCGTTGAAAAAAGAAGAGTGTCATTTCATCACTTGTAAGAGGACTGATGGTATCATCAAACTGGTAGCGAAACTAAAAAATACTAATCACAGTAGTAATAAACTATTGAAGATCACTTGAAACCCAAGAAATCTGACGTTCGTTTAATGAAGTGAATGAATGCTATAATACTATTAATAGAGGTGCTTAAAAAAAATGTAATAATTTTATTCTTTTCGTGGCATGTCAAATTATTATTATAATTATTTGAGTATACTAAGTATACTAAGTGCAGACCAGACAAATGCAAACGTGATACAGTGAAACTACCTATTCAGTATTGACGCATTTTTAGTTGTTTATAACAAAAAAGGTCAAAATATATTATAAAATATTTACAATTTTAGCATTGTGTATCGAGTACAAACATATTATTGTAATATTGTGTTAGCACGTAAGCTTAATTTTAGTAATTTATTATTTTAAATTAAGATATTATATTTATTATTATATAACGTGTAAATAACTAAACGCACAATTATTGCCATGTATTTCTTATTGTATAACTCAATGATGGATTATATATAAAAACTTATATAAAATATAAAAACATAATTGATGAAAAAACAATATTATGTCAATTCAGTCAACATGGTACAACTTATAGTCTTTTTACAAGCTATAAAAAAATTGTTTTTTAAATCACTGTTTATTTTACAATTACATTTTCCAATAAAATTAAATTCCTAAAAATATAAATGACAACCTTTAAAAATAAATATTACAGCTAATTTAATGTATTTTATTTAAAATAGGTAAAAAGAAGAAATGTGTTTAAATAAGATATTAACCCCTTCATGCATGACTTTTTATTTTTTTCCCAAAAGAATTGTACTGATTCTAAAATATATCAGGATTATGGGAAAAATATTAAAAAAATTATTTGAGCACAACTTCCCCTTAATTCTCCTCAAAGTTTAATTCGTGCCTAATATGGCACAACGCGCACCAAATGTATGTTTGTGCCACTTATGGCCATCATGCATTAAAAAACACTTTTTGTTTGTGCCATATCTGGAACAATATGCACTCAAAACAAATGTTGTCATAATTAGTATTCATTTTTTGGCATTTTTTTTTTATTACTGACATTTATTTGTGATATATATTTTATAAGATAATTAAAAAACATGATTTGTATAATTATCATTTTTTTTCTTAATAATGTAAGTAACAAATTATAATAACTTTTTATGCATGTTGTCCCATATTGGGCACACAATAAGTTTTTGTTGTATTTCAAAAACTATTATACTTAAAAAACTGTTCTTACTTTTAAAATATTCTCCACAAAATTCCCTACAAGGTAGTAATTTTTTTTTTTAATTCGGTAGTTTCAATTTTGTGTTATGATTGCATGAAAGAAGAAGTTTTTACCCGACGCGGTGATAATATTTTCAGTTGTTTATTGTTCATCTATAATTCACAATTTTAACGCTAGATGAAGGTACTTTACATCAAAATGGGTCAGTTTTTTGTGCCGAATTCGGCCATCTATGCAGTTATGTCATAAATTCATTTCCAAAGCAACAAATAACAAAAAACTAATTTGTGCCATACGGCACAACATGCACGAAGGGGTTAAAAAATGATTTACAAATTTACTAAATAAATTTTTTGAATTATTGATTTCAATAATAAATGTTTAAAAACAGACAAGTTTATATATTATAATAAATAAAAGTAGTCAGTTATTTATTTATTTTTTTTTTTTACTGTCTACTAGGTAAATTATTTTCTTTTTTATTGCATTTTTAATGAAATTTTTAAATAAGAAAGAGGTAATAATACTCATAGTCTTAAATCATTTTTGACTGCTCCTAGTTTTATTTTAGTTACTCATACTTACAAACTGGCCCACGTCCTCCTTTTTGTCCAAATGATTAATCAAGTGAATCGACGATTTTTTTTTGTGAATAAAGAACTTTAAGGTTAAAAATTGTTTTTAAACAGCTATGTTAATCAAATGTCGTCATATAACAGTTTTATGGACTTATTAGATTAGGTTTATTTATTTAGAAAAAATAAATACATCAACCAGTTAAATGCGTCATCATCAAATGCTTTATTATTATTATATTGAAGAATTATTATATAATTTGTAGACACAATATTCAAACACACGTTTATATAAAATGAATACAAGACATTTAAATATAACTATTAGATATGTAGGCGTCTGTATTAGGTACAATGTATGTAGGTAGAAGATCAATTATTATTTCATACAATAGAATTGTTATTTAATTACTGTCATACTATAATTAGGTTTTCGATTAAAAATACAAATTGAGGGGAAAAAATTAATTTTAGAGGGTAACAAACACAGGAGAATAAGTATGCCGTTTAACAGCAATACAATTTAACTTACAAAACAATACAAAATATACTAAATATAATTACTATTGACTATATAGGAGGAGCAATCGCTCAGTAAAACAACAACAAAAAAAAAAACATTTTGATTTTTTTTAAACTGGTCAACTTCAACATTTTGGCACATGTATTGATACAATTCTTTGAAAACAACCATTCGAGTGATTAAAATTATGGTATTGACTTTTGTTATTTGTTGGGGGGATAAAATGTAAAAAACAAAAATTTGCCAACAACTGTCTTTAGGCTAACAATTTTTTTTATAACTAATTTTTTTATACTAATAGCCCAATGTGGCTGTAAAAAAAGAAATTACCCAACGGGTTATGACGATGACGCTTTGTTAAGAGTAATCGAATTTCGTTATTTATTATTATTATTTTGTTTTTTATGAAGAATAAGGCCAATTCAAACGTATCGACGTTTGAATTGGAACGATAGGTTATTGATAATTGTAGAGATCTACTTGTGCGTAGGCCATATTTAATTATTGTAATAAAATTATCAATCGACATGACGATAATATTAGATGTGATGTATAATAATTGTAGATATGTTGAATTATAAATTAGCTTATAATAAATCAGTTTAGTACAAGTTGGAGATGCTTTTGTTCGGAACAGACTGTTATTTCATGGTTCGGAACAATGCGGGCATGGTCGAGTGATATATACTGGAAAAATGTATTATTATAAAAAACCAAATAGTGAAAAATACACAACAGAATTTCTTTCGTCTGTACACATTGCCGAGCTTCTCGATTGTGTTCCATTCACTTCCGAACGACGTCACAGTACTTGCCACCCACCAGCTGAGGGGCTTAGGTTCAGCGTACCAATGTGATACTATTCCCAACTGGAAGTGTGCCCTGCTTATACCGCGAGACTCGAGTTTGGTCACCCAAATTGTCGTCTGGAACAGAAAACAATACAACATGTTTATGGTTGAGTAAAAAATAAATACAACAAAAACGGCAGGAAAATGTGGTAAATATTTTTATAGCTAAAGAAAATTTAAGAGCCGAGACGGCGTAAAGTATTTTATTATTTTTATCTTTACAGTGTTAAGCGTTGTCTAGATTGTGTAATAAGAGAAATAATTACTCTTATTGACTTAACCAACTCATTTTGGAATAGTAATCGTTTTTATTTATTATTTGTCATTAACCCGGTTAAATCTTAAGGGGCTAAGCAATGTAAATATGGCCTGATGGCCTTAACAAAATAAGTTGGTAAAATTATTGCCAAAATAATGTCGATTTGTTAAATTTGTGTTAGTTGTAAGAGTAAGTGCTATAACGACAGTTTGACGATATATATTTCTACACGGTATAAACTTGTGTATGCGAAAAACTTGTAAACTTACATTTTTCTAAGCAACAACCCAAGTGTGTTGGTTTTTTTGAAAATAAAATAAAAGGCAAGTGCACGACTAACTTTCAAAAATTACCGAAATTCGGATTGTATTATTTCTTTAAGTCTCAAAAACGAAAATTTAAAATCGATTTTTAAAATTAGTAAAACAAGGAAAACCCCCGCACAGCTTGAGTGAAACAAGTATTTTTTTTTTAACTACTGTTTAAAAATAAATCCGTATTAGATAATTATTTAGTTAATCGCATTTTGTATTTTTTTTGAAATAATTTATGAACTAGAGAGAAATGTCGTTTAAGATTTCAAGTCGACCGAAAATGGTGAAAATGAAGTGTAATTGTAAATTATAATATATATATATATGGCTCATAGGTGAATTAACTTGTAGACAAAAATCTACAGTATTGAATATGGATTGTGTACATAGATATAGTAAAACTCACGTCCCTTTTGATGTGAATAAGTTTGTAGACCATTGTGACTACCCCGGAAAGCGCCAATGCCACAAAAGTCAATACTTGATTTATACCGAAGGCTGAGGGCATAAGTTTGTTCATGATTTCGTCTCTTTCAAACACCAGCAACGGAATAAACAGTATTGTGGAGTACAGGTTGTTGAAGAACATGATCACCCAAAGTTCGTTGTTTATACGAGGCAAAAATGTGTACACTTTTATGGCATAAAAAGCGTAGAAAAACGAACTCAAAATACTGAACAACAATCCGACCGCCGAAAACGTACCTGTGTATAATATAATAGTAAATGACAAACAATTAAACGCAGATGACACAATAACTATTTTAATACGCTTTATTTGAAGAAAAAAAATATTAAAAAATGCTACAGTCAACGTTCAACAGAAGACCGGATCACATGTCTGTTAATGACCGAAAAAAAATATTCCAAAGGAAGACTTTTTTAAATTACCTGCGAGATATTCGTGTCTGATCGCGTAAATAAATCCACTGGCTACAAAAAAGCAAGCCCAACAAGTGTATATTGAAGGTTTTCTACCTGAAACAAAAACGGTATCCGTCATTAATATTAATAAATAACAATATTCTGTTATGTCGTACGAAAATAACCACTAACCAAAGCATTTATACGACAATATCACATCAAAGAATGATACAAGCGATGTCCCCAATAAATAAAACGAAGCGTCTGAGTATAGCAAGCATAAGTTTTCCGACAAAGTTTTTAATATATACAACAATGTGAACGGCAGTACCTGAAATAAAAACAAAATTTGTATCCATTGTAAGTATTCACGCGAAAGCAAATTTGATTTGTACAAGCGAAAAATTATTCAAGAAATATAATTCCATTGAAACATAATAATTGTATTAAAAATAGATGATTTAAATTTTACATTTGTAATTTATGTCTGATCTCACTTACTCTTTTCATTGTTGGCCAATGTATTGGATTTCTATATGGGTAATTATTACTTGGTAACAATTTCGGTTGACTGGCCCAGACAGTCATGATTACTGTCATTATAAAAAATCGATACCAAGTGATAAATAACGGTGCAAAGAAATTCAGCGGCTTGCCACTTAGTAGCACCTTATTTTGGAGTACGAACAAAGAAGTGCCCAAGCTATAATATAAAACATAGTTGTTGTCTTATTTTTATCTAGTCGCAACAAGTACAGGATTGTATAAATTATGATAATAGCATTTAGTACACATTAGCATATTTGCAATAATAACAAGGGGAACAAATTCTTGTTTGCACAGTCATAATCTGCAACAGGTATAATATGTTGTGTCAGAAATGTGATACAGAAAGAGACATTTTATGGGACGGTAATAAGATCCATGGAAATAAGTGGCCGAAATGAGTTGAAAGTGTGGCGTGGCTGTAGGGTAGACAGAATAAGGAATGAGTATAGAAGAGGTATTGAGGAGGGGGGGGGGGTAGCGCCAAATTCAGAGATTGAGACGGTTTTGGCACGGTAAAAGCAGGCAGGAGGTAGGGATCGACCGAAGAAGAAGTGAGTGGATGTGATAAAATATAAAGACATGGCGAGTTGTGTGTGAACGGACAATTTGCGGACAGACAAAGAAGCGTGGCAGGCTATATTTAAGGAAATATTGGCGTTGATGTGCAACAAAACATATTATGTAAATTACAAAGCCCGCTCACCAGTATAAGCCGTCGACGCATCGGCGAGCCAGGAAACGCAAACGCTTGAAGATCATCTTGACGATGGCCAAGAATATCCAAGCAGTAATCGAGAAATTCTCGAAATTTATTATCCTGTAAGCCAGGTAAAGCATATCGCAGAACAGTAGGGATTTAAAACACCAGTGGGCAATGTCGCCCAGCCATGAATAAAATTTTGAGTTGTCCTGGTAGAAATCTTCCTCCGTCGTGTACATCGTGCAGGTTTACGCCGACTGACGAATGCGGAATGACGATAAGCGTCTGTGTACCTCTGGTGTGCTGATTACTGGTGTATTGATCACTGCCCACAGGGACGGGAAGGTGTAAGTGTTTTGGGGGGTCATGACCCGCGCCACCCAACCACGGATCGATGGTGTTCACTGACAGTGTTGCCAACTGTGGCCTCGGCGGCGTTGGATGACCGTGTTCGGCTGGAGAAGTTTGAAGAAAAAAAAATGTCTTTACTTGACTTTTATTTCATCGCCTGTTTACATGAATGCATGAGGTCTGTTGACGTTTTAAATGAAGATATCCTACGAGTTCTTTCTTTTTATGGAAAAAATTGTGTTGCAAATTTATTATTTATCCAATTATAAGAAACTGAAAACTTCAAAAGACAGTCGGCTTCCTACATGACATAGCAAGTAGCCAAAGAACCTTTTTAACGAATTTAAATAAGACTTTGGTCTAAAACAAACCGAAATGGCTTTACTCGTAGAAATAATTATTTAAATTGAAAATATTGCGCTTCTACAAATTTATAAAACCTGTTTTTACTTAAATAATGCCTATACAAAACTCCTTAGAACAGACCACATGCAATCCACTTAACGTCAATATTGATTATTCGATAATTATATTATTTGGTTGTGAACATAATATCGGTAGTAAGGTCAATTTGGAACTTGTATAAAATTGTAAACTTTTCTATACAGTTATAAATTTGACGTACAAACAGGGGATGAAATAAGTGTGAAAAAACTGAGGAAATATATTTTTTTTAACATTTGAAGCCGGTTAATATTTGATAGGTATCCAACGTGGTATTTCGCAAAAGATCAATATAAGGACCACTCCAAATTGGTGCAATGCGGTAAAATATTGAAAGTTCATCCTCGTAACGATCGTCCCCCTTTACAGCTAACCCTGCCACCCTCACACTGCTTTCGTTGGCCAATAGAGATTTATTTTATTAAATTCAAAATCAAATCAATTCAATTAATTTACCTTGTCAAACTATGATCTAACTGGATAAATGAGTTACAGTTTTGTAAATTATATTATGTTATTCGTATCAAACATAAAAACACTGAATTGTTTACAGTGCACAGGCAGAATTGGTAGTCACGAATGTGCTAAACAGTATGTATTTTTGGTCGCAGAGCTCACTTAGGCAACTTCACTTGCTCTACTACTATACAATTGTATCGAAAAAATATCCATAGGGTTAATAAATAAATAAATTAACAAATTATAAGCACATCGGAAATAATAATGCGCAATTTCTGATGTTAACTTAAGTATAACGTTATACTTATGAAAATTGTGAAAATATTATGTTCACTATATTTTTTTTGGGCTTTAAACGACTTAAATGAAAGCAAAGTTTGCAAAAAAAACCAAGCCTGAAAACGCCATCAAATGTTTGGTAATATTTCATTAAAAATATGAGTTTTATTCGGTTTATGTATATACCCCCCCCCCCCCCCAAAAAAAAAAAAAAAACACTAGGTAAGATTTTTTTTTTTTCAAAGACTCCAAACGAGTATAAGTTTATTTCCACAAAAAGAATTACATAGCCATTAGACAATAATTTTCAAATAATTAAATATTACATAATAATTTAAAATATAACATTTTTTTAAAAACAAAACAATAATATTATATTTTATTTCTTTAACAAAATAAATTTGTTTTTGTATGGTTAAATCAAACAAATTATCTATTATTAAAATACATTAATTAAATCTAGTGTAATGCAATATTTTATTAGAAATTGTTAACTTTCATACATTTTGTAATGTTGTTTATTTTCTGAAAAAAGACAAAAAAACACATATTGTATTATGAAAGGTGTTAAGTACTCAAACTATAATCTGCGATTGTAGGTAATACAATTTTATTTTGTGATGTTATATTTAAGAAAGTAGATAAAATAAATGTATTATTAAAAGTGTAATGTATGTATAAATACAATATTTTTTTAAATTTTACTAATGCATGCCTTTTCGTACTTGGCACTTTTCATAAATAATTTATTAACAATTGAATTACAACATTGTTTAATTTTTAACTACACTACTTTTAACTATTATAATTGATAAACTATAAGGTTTCGTCAGACATTTGGCCTGATTTACAAGTTTTTTAAAAATACATTTAAACAATAAATTATAATACTTGAATGATGGTATAATTAAACTTAATGGTGCAGATCATTATTATTTACTACAGCACTGGGCCAATTTACAAGAACACAAAACACAACTACATGCAGATAAATTACAATACGAAAACAAATTACACTTGTAAGTATTATTAGTTACAATAAATTATGCAATTAGGAGTAAAATAGGGGACAACATTGCGTTATTACACTGTTAATTTAATATCGAATAGCGATTTGACATTTAATTTTACGCAAATAAAACGTTAAGCTCATATTATACTCTACTTTGAATCAATCTAATACCACGTTTTGTTATTATTTCTAAAAAACAAAAGCGTCTAATAAAATAAGTATTATACAAAATAATATCAATATAAATACTAAATACAACGAAGTAATACATATTTATCACATACATTTACATTTTAATTACTATAAGTGACAAAATCACAATTGAAAATATAAAATAATGAAAATTAACAAAATGGTATTTCACAAAAGAAGTGGTGACAAAATATGTTGTAATAGATACAATTTGTTATAGAATTTAAATTGTAAATCATGAAATATAATAAGGCTTACCAAAATGTATAAAACGTGGACACCTGGGCAATATTTAAAAAATGTTTTACTCAAATAAATATGTAAATAATAGTTTAATTTAATTTAAATGAACAGTTCATATTTAAATAATACCTTTTATTAATCTAACAAATTAATTTAAACAGTAAGTACAAATGTAATTCAAATTGATAAAATAGTTTGGCGCACTTAAAAGGCCTCTACGCCTGCTTATTTTTTTGGTCGAAAACAACTCATTCTACTGCAAACGCACTATTCCTAAGAATACTCTTATTTAAGTTTTGCAAAAATATTTAAAAATTTGTTCAAGTCATCGATCGTGGCACAATTTTATGTTACTTATTTATTTCAGTTTAAAAAAGTTAAAAATTTTTAGTTTTTTACATTGAAATAATTGAAGGGCACAGGGGAAAAACGGTAGTTGTTACATTATAAAAATTTTAGAGTATAGTAAAAACAAAGCTCGTGAATTCCTCTACCTCTTACATAAGACCAAAAAAAATCACATTCAATGTTACTCTAACAATAAATGTATTTATTTAAACAATCTATTGACATAAAAAAAAAAAAATTATTGGCATAAATTGAAAAAAAAAATGTCTTAATGTGACAACTACCGTTTTTCCCTTGTGCACTTCAATTAATTAACTAAAAATAATTTAAAAATCGTGCTACGATAAATGCCTTGAAACTGTTATGAAGAATCTAAATGTTTTTTCAAAACTTAAATCCAAGTATTTTACGGTAAGTTCTACTATAAGTGGAAACAATGTTTTTCTACAAAAATAGATCCTTTATGTGTTATAAAAGTTGGAAAAATAAAATGAAATACCAAATAGATCATTCTTTTGTCTAAGGTAATATGTACGTTTAAATTTGTTAACATAATGTTTAGTTTTAGTAAAAAATCACCTAGACAATGCGACTTAATAAATACTAGTGTTGAGGCCGCTTTATAAAAATGTACTTCAAATAACTTAGTTGTTGATTTTTTTAAGCTCAAGTTTTTTTTTTGTTAATCGTTTCAACCAAGAGTAAAATGATGCACGCTCAAATACATAGTAATATGTTATTACTAACAACGGGTGTTTGTAATCGACTTATAATTTCTTTCCATTTCTCGATTGCGCACTAAGGTGTAAGCCGCACTTCCTCCGAGCACGATTATGTTTGACAACCACCACAAAGAAGATTTCCATTCATTGTACAAGTATGAAGCTAACACTGTCTGTAAACATGCTTTTGCCGTACCGGAAATGTTGTGCGTCAACGGTGATGTTACCTTAAAAAAACACATTGCAAGTAAAAAATACATACAATATAAATATACGAATATTTTTTATTTGTTTTTACAACGATTGACACGTTAAGCCTACTTGTACTTGAAGAGCCGTTACGTATCCAATCGACAGACCACATAGTCCGCCAACCATCATTAATAGGAAAAATCCGTTGTTTGTAAGTTTATCGTAGTTGCTGATTTCCTGTGCTTCGAGTGTTAACAATGGTAAAAATAACACTGTAGCATAGACATTGTTATAGTAGGAAAGTAACCAAATTTGGTTGTTCAAAGCCGGCAATACTTTTTTTATTTGTATTGAATAATAGGCTAAAGAAAAGGAGCTGAGAACGCCAAATATTGTTCCAACCAGTGAAAATGAACCTGATACAACAATAATATTACATAGTTAAGTATTAATTATTGTAAGAATTGATATAAATAAATTTCATTTACATAAAAATACCTTGGCGGTACTGATAAAGTCTGTAAATGTTATTATTTTTATTAGTCGGCCGTGAATAACCAAATAGAAATGGAAAAAAAAATAATACACAATACAAATTTTCAGATTAATTAACACTTCAGAGAGTAAAAATAGAATTGATAACTTAGTGGAAAACAATACATTTTAATAATGTAAAATATATAAAAAAAAAATTAGAAACGAAAAAAAAATTTAAGATTAACATAAAATAAGTCAATTTTGTTTAAAAAAACTAAGAAAAATGTCAATTGGATAATAAAATCTTATCTCAAACTTATTTGTGGTATTAGGTAAAAATGAGTAGGTACTAGTTAAGTGCATTTACCTGCGATATTTTCTTGATCGATACCTAAAACAAAACCTAATATTATTACAATACAACAACTGAGACAGCTTTTGGAAGTTTTCTGACCTGAAACAAATATAACACCGTGTAAACTAAAAACACCTCATAATAATGATAAAAATTAAACAAAAAAAGGCCTCACAAAATATAGATTAATGCTATGTAATACAATAATAATGTTTTTTTGGTTATTTTAACAACAAATATAAGAAATATCTTGCACATTTTTTGGACATAAACAAGCCAGAATTATCTCACATACTAGAGCGAATGTTGATAAGAAAATGGCTAAAAAAGAATTACTTGTTGAATTTAACAAAATTGATTTTTTGCTTTTGCTTTGAGTACAATAAATCAAATGAATTTGGGTGGCCAAACACAAACAGAAATAATATTAGGTTGTTCGACTTGGATGATGAATTGAAATAATACTAATACCAAAACCCTTTGGTAGCACTCGTGTTGACTATTAACAATCGGTGTATGGCGTGAATGGCAGAAACACCTTAATAAAGGAAGCTAAATATTATTTTATACAGTAGGTACATATAAATTAGGTATCAACCGAAAATACCAATGTTGTTATGGTATGATAAATTATTAAAGAAAGTAAATTTGTAGTTACCTAAAATTACATAAGATAGGATAACATTAAATACTGTTGTAAGTGATCTTCCGACATAGTAAAACGTGACGCCCACATATTTAAGGCAATAGTTGTTTGTGGAAATCATTATTATAAATAATATTGATAACGGCATCACCTGAAAAACAATATGTTTGTTTATACAATAAATAATACAAATTAAAATATAATTAATCATAGTGTAGCTATACTCATAGTTATAATAGTAAATTTTCTATTGTTTATTATTTCTTTTATGTAAATTTTTTTTAGATACTTTATTCTACTTCGGCTAGTCTGAATTTTATGCTTAGGCAATGTTAGAAAGCCCAGAAAGTGCCCATGCACAGATCTGAGTGCATGGGATTTTCTAGGGTTCACCCATTAACAAACTAGGCAATGTTAAATGCTTTGAGAAACCAAGTAAAATATGTACTTAAAAATTTGTGTCATTGACTTAAAAATGAAAAATCGCTCAATACATATTTTAAGAAACTGTTTTCATAAAATTAATATTTAGTTGCTTTTTTAACTACTATAAATTATAGATTACAAAATTTGAAACTTAATGTACAACTTTGAGAAGTACTCTTACTTTTTTTATGGTTTGCCATTGCAAAGGATTTCCGTTGGGAAACCTAATAATTTTTGGAAACACTTTAGACAGTCTGCTCAATGTAAAACAAATTAAAGCCGAAACCAAACATTGAAACCATGCAATAAATAACGGTGCATCTATGTCTAATTGCTTGGAACTCAATAAAGTTTTGTTGACGAACACTGTAAGTATTGAAACAATCCTGTAATAAACGAAAATAAAAACAAATCTTATAGTTTATCATGACATAATATTGGTGTAAGCACCTAGTTGAAAAAGTGAAGTTTGTGTGTGCTATGGACACACGTAAAAACTGAATACGAACCAGTATGATATGACAACGAGGAATATCTGTACATAATTGAAGTACAAACTGTTATTCACCATTATGGCCACTCGTAAAGCCGTCTTATTGCACAAGATTACTGAGCATTGTGTTATGAGTTATCAGGCTTTTCACTAATTCCAGCGAGGAATGTGATGTTTCCTGAATTTGTCAAACTACTTTATTCAATGCTTAGTGTTGTGTTCAGCATAGATATTGAACAAGCTTCTTTATGGCCTATGGTGTTTACCTCCATCTGAAAATTCAAAGTTTTCCAATATTATTATGACTTCAAATAACTTTATTACATGCATTTAGAAGAACAAGAGTATGGCACATAACCAATCGAGCATCCATTATAACCCGACCAGTACAACACCATAAGCGTGGTCGCGTATGTACTCGACAGAATATTGAATAGTTATGAGATTTCAATTTTAGGTTTATCACTTTTAGTCAACTCGTTCATTATGTTCACTCTTTTAGCAATTGTTATATGTAACCAATTTACGTTTTTGAGACATTATTTTAAGAAATCATGTCTACACGATACATAACGTAGACACAGTACTTAAAACTTTTATTTATTTTAGAGTACGGTTGTATTTTTTTTTCAATATGCCGTACATGCCACATTAAATAAATTGGTTCTACAGACAAAATTTCATAAAATTTAACCCATTTACCAACTTTTAAGTTATCTACACAAAATTATTTTTACCTTAAATTTATCTCAACAAGTCCGTATGCAGTGTGTATGATTCATGGGACCGGATAAATGACTAGACTTATCGATATTGACAATACCACTCCCTACAACAGAACATTGATAATTTATACTTGGTTGTAAGCAACACAGTGTGTTGATAAATATTATACTAAATACTGTTGTTGTTATGAAAAACTTACATGGCGAAGAGCACGTGCGAATCGAATAGATGTAATTTTAACGTTTACATGTTGAAATAATACATTTTATTCCATCGAAATATTTTGGATATCGATCGATCCGGTCGGATTTAAAATTTGTATAAACAATTTTTTTCGTTTTCTTATCAATTTCGCAATTTTTGTGATAAGAGTTAGTCGTGACCTCCGCGGATTAAACTAAGAACGTTTCGCATCGGCTAATCAAGCGTTTGGTTTGCTCGAAAATGTCCGACTGGTGTTATCAGAATTCAAATAAACGTGCACATTGCACAAGCTGTACTCGAAAATCTCAAGTTTTTCAGTTGCTCTTTCTCCTCTAAATTGTCTTAAAAAGTTTTTTTTTGTCAATCATTTACTGTAAAATCACTGCTGGCCTGTTAGATTAAACTATGGTCGACACGAATACTACCCTTGGGAACTAGGTACTAGTGTCTTGATTAGAATGCTTTCATCGAATTTTGCTCGTACGTTGATCGGGCCTTCGGTTTTGAAAGGTAGCTGTTCTCAGTGTATGCGATATAAATTGCCGGTGTTCAGTAGTCAGTCGCCAGATTTTACAGTTCCTCGACAACACTATGCTGATCGTAAAGGCAAAGACGAAAATTTCATTAAGACGTCGTCCGACAAATTCAAAGTGTTCAAAGATGACGATTCGATGGTAATTCTGGATATTGAAGAAGAACGAGCTCTGCACGAAGCCGAAGCCGACAGTATAGACTTCACCGAGCTGGATGAATTTGCCGGTCTGAATACATCACGTGAGTTCATTGCAAATTAAGTTATCTAATTAATTTTATTGTTAAGTATTATTTTTTATAAGAATTATCTTAGGATAGTTGAGTTGTACTAAGTATAATTTAATAATATGTACATTTATTTAGGTGGTATATGTGGTGTATTTGAAGTAGAAGATTTAGTTGCGGTATTGGAAAAAGACAACGCTTTGGATATATTTGTTGTTGCAGTTCCTGCCAATATCAGATATGTAGATTACATAGTAATTGCATCCGGAAAATCACCGAAACATTTAATGGCCATCGCCGAGTTTGTGCTTAAACTGTACAAGAAGAAACGAAGCCAAACAGATACTGTACCTCGAATTATCAATAAGAAGCCAACAGATTGGATCGCATTAGATATAGGTAATTTTTTTATTTGACCTGTACCTGATATGGTGCAGTCTCACAGACTGCTTACCAATGTAAATCTAATGATGTTTCTTATCACTGTACCAATTTCGTGTTACAATATTATTTTATTCTTTAGTCTATGAAAAATAATATGTCGACTGAACTTTAAATGGCACAGTCGTGAAAGTTTTAGTAATAAAAGTAAAACGTGTCTTTTGGATATACTTCCTCAGTCTACCGTATCTATCACAGTCTACAAATTTACTAGAACTAGAAGCACTGTACTTTTAGGTAAACATTATCTACTGCCAAGTCAAGTACTCTTTTTACTTGTGATTTAAAAAACACCCAAAATAATTAAAGTAAAACAAAAAGTATTAATTATTCTTACTACTCTAATTTATCATTTATTTAAAGTTAATTAAAAAAAAACCCAATAACATTAATAATAATTATTAATATACACAAGTAGATATTTAACAGATATTTTATATTAAAATTATTACAAGGGCTATAACTTGCAGGAGCACTTTGGAGTTAAAGTACTTGCTTTAAATTGTATACTATTTGCTGGAAATATGACATTTAAAGTAGCAAAATAAGTTACATTTATACCTACGGGTATAATTTAATATTAAGTTTGTTGTCGTGAATTTTAACTAGCTTATGATATGAAATATTATTAGTTTTATCATTGTTGAAAAAATTTGAAATTTTAATGCATTCAACAGCGAAGTTAACTTTAAAAAAAATGTGTATCATTTTTTGAACTTCTATATTAGAAGAAGTTCTAATTTTGAATTTCATAAGAGGATTTCTAAGGAAAACTAAACATATAATATTGGAAATAGTTGACTATTACTTGTGAAAAAGTTAAGGAATTTTATTTTATGGGTACAAAAAATCAGGAATTGTCAAGAATTTTGCAATTTGTCTGTGTAATTAAGAAAATCTTATTGCATTGACCCTCAGACCGAGAGAATTAGTTATTTTTGTTTCGTTATCACTTTATTTTACAGCATAAACACATGTTCGACATTTTTTTTACTTCTACCATTTTTTCTGTATAAATTTTAATTTTAATTAATTTTTCACTGTGTTTTTTTTTTTATAATTTAAAAAATTTACCAAGAAAATTTGTTTTTTTCTATGGGCTAATTGAATACTCCAAGCTGGTACCGCATGAGCTAAACTTGATTTGTTTTTTTTTAATAAACATTTCAAGCACCGGTCTAGGCGTGTGATTTGTGTACCGTGTTCTTTACCAATCTTTCAAATTCTGTTTATTGGACATTTTTTTTTTTTAGGGCTTACCTATTTTGCAGTGATAGCTGTTGTAAATTTTTTTTAATTTATATTTTTATCAACGTTGTTGATGAGTCGATGGCGGTTATGGTTGCGATTTTAACTGCAGAGTAGAAACCATTGTCTACTGTGTTACCATGTTTTGGACGGTCAGACCTGATGTGAAAAAATTTAATAATCTGTAACGAACAAGGTGTATTTTTTATTTAATTCGTCACGGAGTAGTTGGTGCAAAAAAAAAAGGATCTATAGAAGACGAAATATAGTGGGAGGAAAGTCTACCATAAAAATCATTCATGGTCGAGGAGTGATTCGTTTCAAACGTTTATTGTGCGTCGCAATATAATATATAATATTATCACAACAACTATACATAAAAAATTAAAAAATAACGCTATCCGCTGAAGCCGTTTTTTTTTTTTACCATTGGGGTTTTTAGCATAACGGACCTACCTTACAGTAATAATAATATAATATTTATATTGCTGTTTACTTTCGGTTAAGACCGGGGGCGGGTTTGTTTTTTACTTGAGACACGCGCAAAGACGACTTAAATGGAAAATGCGATAAAAAAAAAAAAAATGCTATTAAAAACTCGGTGTCTCACCACGGTCGATGACCCTTCAAGGCTGTTTCCGTTTGTGCACACCGTGTCCATACATACTATTTTGTTTGTTAAAAAATAAAAATGGCAGCCCGTGTCCGGCCAACACAGTTGTTGTGTGTGCGCGAAAATAGTAACCGAAAACCGAGTAAGGTATGTGAAAATCCGATTTGTGGTTTTCATTGGAGTTCTATTCTCTTTAAATCGACTTAACGGTTCCGAGTTTCCGCTAAGAAAATTGTTTAATGCTGTTCACGACTTTGACCGACCTTTTAGTTGCACTTAAATTCATTTGAAGTGGTTAGCTAATGTACCACGCCTTCTTGTCCCGCGACTTTAATTGTGTTTACCAGTTTCGACAGGCTCTTGCAATCTAGTTAACCCTATGTAAATATCACTGAAGACTAAAAGCCTTTTAAAAGTCTAGTGCCCGAAGCCTTTGGCATGTATTAAAATAGCATCATTGAATTATTTTCACGAAACATGGCTATAAACCAAACACTGGAATTTATTCGCCAAATTTAAAACTAATTTGGGTATTTTGTGAATGACAATTTTATAGTAGAAAAGTATGTTATTGTAATGTGTAAAGTTAAGGTGATTTTTTTTTCTTGAATTTTAACTAGAGGGGATGACATTTTCCAAACTTTGGTCTTCTAAAAGTTATTTTACAGAACGATTTCTGATCTATTGACTGTCCAGTGTCTACATTAAATACTTGGTTAAACTATTATTTTAGTTTAGACACACACTCAAAACGCATCAGCTATATGCGATATTTGTAAACATAAATATTGACTGAAATTTAAAAATTATTTTAAAAAATCTCACCGAGATAGATGGCACTGTTTTCTTTTTTTCAACCAGACTGATAAATAATTTTCTCGATTCCTAAAGCGGTTGTCAGATTTTTAGAAGACAAAACGTTTTTTAATGAATACACTTATAGTATGATAAAAATAAAATAACTACCGATAAATAATCCTAACTAATCTTGTACTAACAAATAAACAATGTAATATTTCCTTTAAATTCAAGTTTTGCGAAATATTGCCTATATCCAACGCCTTAATAAATAGTCTGTTTTGTAGATCAGTCAGTATTAACATGCATACTTACAAACTTCCGGGCCCTAAAAATCACTATATAGGCAATAAGTATGTTTACAATATGGCGGTGTTGTTAATTTTGTAAGTTTATTGGTGTACACTAGATCTACTGTTATTGTAATTATTTTCCCTTGAGTCCGAATTGTGAACCAACAAATGCAAAAAAAAAGAATGTTTTCACTCTTTCTTTGAAAAAAGGTTAATGATATTTTCTTTGATTTTGATAGGAGATCGAAGAAGTTACATCAATAATAGGTGAAAATAGAAGAGGGGCGTGGGCTGGGGAAGTTAGAATCCTTCTAAATTCTAATGATAGGTAAGGTTAGTTATAAAAGTATACACCAAATATGAAGTATTTTTAATATGGTGTTGTTTTAGTTAAATTTTGGATATGACTATTGAACACAGTATAGTGATGTGTACAATATTCGGTTTTCGATGGATGGGTGGGGGGGCGCTAAGAGTTCCAGGGCGCCTGCTTTTTGAAATTATAGAAAACTTTTTTTGAAGTTTGGAAAATCGGTTAAGTCTGTAGAAACTGCATTGGGTTTCTGGGCGACGGATTATTTTTTGGATTACCTATTTTTTGGGGAGATGGCAATGCTTGTGATGGTGTTTGACACAGTATAATGATGAATATTTGTTGATCGAAGAATGCCATCGCCGGTCGTTTGCTTATTTCCTGGAAATGCTAATTGAGAAGACGCCGCATGCGCACTGATCTTGTATCTATTGTTTTTATTATCATTCTTAATAGTCATCTGATCCTTGAACGTTTCTCTGAACAAGCCACATGTGCAAGTATAATACCTACAATATAGTATTCATATTATTTTCGTTGTTCACGGTTTGGATGTGTACCGTATGCTATAAAAACCGGAGGTAGACGGCTGTGGTTAGATAATCGTCAACGCCCTAAGTATATTTCCAAAATATACTTACCCGTTGTGTTTGCTGGCGAGATGATAGGCAAATTTTTGTACAGTAAACTAGTGCAGGGACTTAGGATTGCTGAGCATATAAGAGACCCTGTGCTATTTATTAAAATTTGTTTGCTGTCAATCGAACCTGTTTCACGGGCGAATTTTACTAATATCATCTTCAACATCTCAAAAATGTTTTAATCCAAAAAAATATTAAGTTGAAACAGTTCTCCGGCTCTATCGAATCCAAAAAAACTCACTTTCTAGTTTCGACTATGGTACCAGCGGCTAGGTTACATAATACATAAATATTTATGTGTTTTAGTACTTTAGTATGTAAGAACAATGTTAGGAATGTAGGCTTTAACATAAAATATACAAATACGGAGAACGAATAACATATAATTTTCTAACGGTTGGAATAAAAATGTAAATTATTCAAAACTTAAAACCATTTACTCCAAAATTGTGGATTATGAATATTAGAAAATTTTAATCTTACATAAAAGTACATTTTAGAGCCAAAAGTTTTCTTCTTTCTTTTTAAAAATTCTAGTATATTTCCCTAAAAATTATGCATTTTTAAAATTTTAAAATACATTAAAAAAGAATATACCTATAAATACAAAAAATTATCAAATTTGTTTAGGGCGTTGTTTAGATATACGTCTATTTCGATCGTTAGTAAATTAAACCAAAATAATTTATCTATATTTTTCTTCAGAATGTAATAAATCTTTTTCTTAATTTTTTGGTGGTGGTTTTTGGACATTGGATCTGAAAAATGTATCGATTCCATCCCGCTTTGTCCTAACCCTTCCCTGTGTGATGTTTTGTAATTCGCTTGCATAACACGGCGATAAGAACGATTTTTTATTATGTTATATTTTGTTAGTTATACATTTTTATTCGTGCTTAAAACCAAAATTCAAAATCTATGGAATATATTCCATTATACCCCCACCCCCGTCTCGACAATTACTCCCCTGATGCTTATCTATATGCGTGACGGTTTATGGCGAATCAGAGTGATTTGACTGACCGCATCAAGTCCATACCCGGAAAGGCCAAACTAAAAAAAAACCTCTTGGGAGTGTTTTATATAAAAAAAAAACACTTTAAAAAGAACGTTACGTTTTACCGTCACGCACAATACGTTGTTTCTGCCATTAAAACGAGACATCCCTTCCTGTGGAAAAAAAAAATGATTAAATAAACCTCAAGCAGAGATCGTTTAAATTGATTAATATTAAACGCTACGGCCTAATGTAATTTTGATTAGCAGGACATTTTCGTAGAATATAATAATTACCAAAAAACGATGTCTGGAAATTTAATACACACTTGTCGTGACCGAAAATATTCATTAAAACAAGTCCTGACCGCTAAAATTGCTCGGTTAAATACTTACTTACCAACTAGAATAGAACTGAATCTACACTATCAAATCTATTTCATAATAGAGCTAGCCGTCTTAAGGTACACGCTGGTAGTGATGAACTCGATAAGATAAAAAATTATATGCTGTTGTATAGATAGGTATAAATAGCTATTTAGAAGTAAGTTTGACCGGCTAAATCTGACTACATCAGAGAACAATACATAATAAAGAGAACAAGCTTCTTCTTGTCTAAACAGATAACGAAGGGATTCAAATAAAATTTCCAACAAAATTATCGTATAACTATCCAAAAGAGATTTACAGGGCTCCCAACATAAAAATTCTTCAAAACATCATAATTAAATAACCATCATAATGTATTGTATTCAATTCACTCCCCAGTTCGCTTGCGCCAATATAAATGTTTTTGTTGTTGTTTGCTTTCAGGTAACATAGCTCTGCATTTGTTGACGGCCGAAAGGAGGAAAGATTTCGATTTGGAGACGTTTTGGAGTGTAGGCGAAAAGTTTGACAAACTGCTCAACGAACCAGAGGACTCGCTGGTGACGCTGTTAAACGAGAATTCGTTCAGCTTGGAAGGACTGGAACCTCAGACCAACGAACCCGAAAAACTGTCCAAATTGTTGTAGTTGGCATCAACCCCCTACCCCCCCCCCCCAAGTCGTTTGTAAATAGAGTCTTTTGATAAACTATATTACCTCGTAGAAATATATTTGTTTTCCTCAAAAAATAAATTGCTATTATATTTTTATATTAATATATTTTTCTTTGCAATGTCCTTAGTCGTCCTATATGAACAGTATCTGAAAAACCATAACCGAACTTGGTTAGCTTATTGGAAATTTTATATATGGACAATGGTTTCATATCGCCTATAGTGAACCTAATCCGCAGAAAACTTTAGTAACATTTATTATTTTTGACATTTTTTTTCAGAGCTGCCAACTTTTGATGGTTTTGAAAATGTTATTAAACTATAAAAAAGGTAAACATCATCAATAATTCCACAAAAAAAAATTCTAACAGCTTACAATATTACATTTATAAGAACAATTGAAAGAGTGAGTGGATAAAGGTGTTAACTGACAATTTCGAAATTATTCAGGAGGCTACATTTAAGTCATTAGGTATAATATGAAGTCAGTATATAATAAATGATGGAAACTTTTTATATGTTTTAGCTCAACTCACATTCAACAGTTATAATATTTTGCTAAGTTATGTAATGACTAATGTATCCTAACACATTCATTCATTCAAACTATTTTTATAACTCTTCAAACTAAAAACTATTTTACAAAAAATGTCATTTACCATCATTATCCACTCACCACTTGTAGTTTTTTTACGGTTTCAATAATTAGTAAAGTAAGTTTTAGAGTAGATTTCTAAAAAAAGTTAGATTTATCTGCAGTCTAATTTTCAAATCGAAAAAGGAAAACATTTCCACCTCTCCTAAGGGATAGGGTTGACGATATTTTTTGCAGTTTTTTGGGTCTTTCTTGTTGGTTACTGTAGAAGTCTAATAGGAATATTTCATTCAAATTTGAATGTAAGTTTTGGCGTACCCTTAATTTTATGTGGAACGATTCGTACAACTTTTGGACGTTTTTTAAATTTTATTGGGAAAAGTGTGAACTTTTTAAACTTTTGGTCTTATTAAGAACCTTTCAGACAGGATTTCTAAACTTTAGACTTGCTAAGTAAATACAAAAAAACCCTAACATGGAACCGCCTTTTTTTCGTCAACTAGTAATGCACTTATCCGTAAAGAAACGGGTTAAGTAGGATCGGTAGTACACTATAAGTATTATATACTATTAGTTATAGTACTTACTGTTGTTCAATGCGCAGGCAGACATTTTTGAAAACAATTTTTTATAGATTTTCAGCACAACAGCGCGCGTGTCGCCGTTTTGTTATTTGTCGGTCACAGTTTGATGTGGCGGTTTTATTTGAAAATACTTTGAAATATTGCCGCGTTGTACAATTTGTAGAAAGTCAACGAACGGACGCGCGACGGCGAGTATCGGGTTTTTTTTAATAAAAAAAAATATATATATTATCCATATATATATAAATATATATATTTAATTCGTAAGTAAATAATATATGCTAATATATGTCACACAAATAAATAATAATAGTTGTCGTGTTCTCTAAGTATAGCTTTTTCAAGTATAATCTAATACACCATCGCTTGATAAGCGCTGTTTGATCCTAACAGAGCTACAACTCTAAGAAACAAATAAGATTTCAACGAAGCTGCTATCTTTAGAGCAATGCCGCATTAAACTATAATGCCGCCCCTCTAAGCACTAGAATTTTGCCGCCCCTTAAAGTAGTTTTTTTTTAATTTAGACGTGATTGTAAATTTATAATTTTTTTCCCAACAGTAGACTCCAATAAATATGTTAATGTGGGGCGCAATTATATACTATTCGATTAAAAGCAAACATTAACCATCATGATTTATTACTAAAAATAATGTATCTAAATTCAGAAGTCCCAAAATAATTTTGGTCAGCAAAGTTTTGGGGTAAAAATATATTTATCGGCTTAATTTAAAAATTGCACTTATGAGCTTATTAATTGCTATTATAAATAACAAGAGGTTATCAAAATATATAAATAAGAATGTAATAATACAGTTTAACAAAAACATGGTAATATAAGTTATAACATATAAATTCACATTTTAAACGCTATTTTTCCTTGAATTTATAACGGCAACTTTTTGTATATTATCTGACCAATTAATGGATTTTAGTAGTTCGTCTTAAAATTTAAAATTTAAAGAGATGTCAGTTTTAGGTTATAACATAAAGACGACCTTAAATAGTTTTTTCTATTTCATCTACACTTTTTGGACCTTTAATTCCGTATCCGTCTAAAATTTGTGTGGGATAAATAACAATTAACATGGGTTAATGTTTGAAATATAAATTTTTGGGTATATTATTATGTTCGCTTGCATTCCCCAAATTACAAATTCGGTAAAACAAATATATTTATTATTTTTATAAACTCTAATTTTTTTTTTTGCTCTAATGTTGGTTCCCAAAAAAATTTCCGCCCAGGGTATTTCCCCCCTCGTCCCCCCCCCCCTTAAGCGCGGCTCTAAAACGCGACCTAATTATGGTCGTCTGACAAGGCAAACGATATTAATTGTCTTTGGGGACCTGAAAATAATAAGTACAACCGCTGGTCGCACATAAATAATAGGAATTTTCAGACTTGGCGTGCGTGCGACCACCGTAATCGACAATCCTTTTAAAGCTTCGTGTTTTGTTATGTTTTCCCATCGAGTCACGCGAATTACCTATGTTTTTTTAACGAGATTGTGGAAAAACGGAAACCTAGCATGTCTATCGACTCTCTCTATCTGTATCTATATGTACAATATGTATGTAGTTACACTATAATAATATCATAATATGTAACTGCCAAATAGTAGGTACCTATACCTACACGTCCGTGACATAACCTAAATAATTGCATTTTACAGCCGTCCAAAGTACACACTTATATACTTGGAAGTAATAAAAAAGAGTGCCAATCGGGTTAAACACAAAATTAACGAGCGTAGACGTGATTGATTATATAATTGAATTCAATAATATTTCACTCTACGGTAAATGTTGGCCTTTTTTTCAAGAACAAAAGAACAAAAATACATCTTTTGACTTTTTTCCCCAGTTAAATATAATTCAGGCCTCAGGATTTCTGGTGTTTCGTCTTGATCTTTTATTGTTGTAAAAATACACTGTTTTCTATTTATTTATTTAAGATAATTTACAATCAAATAAGCGTTAACGATACAGTGATTAAACAATGAAGAAATAATATGTGTACAATTTCACATGCATTGACATGATGGTTAAAAATGAAAAGTTAAAAGTGAGTATTACATATTTTGCCGTGTATATAGCAACAGAACTTTAACATAACTTATTATTTAGCAACTTGAGTTTTGCGGTATTTTCTGAGCGGTTAAATAATTTTCTAAAATGTATATGAAAGTAGAATCTGGAGCCAGATTAGGATTCAGCGAAAAGAGAAATGATATATTTTGGTTCATTTTATAAAATCGCGTTGTATTATGTTATTAGTATTCGAAAATATTAAAGATTAAGCTAAGTTTTAACAGTTGACTTTCATCACCAATGCTGGGCAGGTTACTTTATTTCAAAAATAATTTTAGCTAATTGATTTAGAATACACCAATTTAGTTTAGCTTAGAGTTGGGTTTGAAGAATGATGTAAACAGTAACTTACTACTTAGTGTGTATGGTAAAATTGTCATCACAAAAATAACAATTTTGCAAACTATCTGTTTTTAGTGATAGATGAACCTTTTGAAATGATTTCCAATTATCATTTGATTTAGGAATGCATGAACAAAATAACTAAAAATGTTTTAATATTAGTATTGCATTTTGTGATTTTTTTAAAACAAATTGAGACATCTTCTAAGTTAATTGCCAGTTTTAAAAGTTTCTTTTTCCAGTTGCTTCGAACATTCCAACTCGTGAGCTGTGACTGCTTAATATTATTGTGTATTGCAATACATAATAATAAACACAACATATTATGAGTGGTTTTGTTTGAACTCGTCAACAATCTAAGTGAAGAAGACCTGAATAAACTAAAAAAATTCAACAATAGGATTCGAGACTCAATCCAGGAAGGGTTCAAAGGCTTAGAAAGCTGTCATTTTTCTTGTTGGCGTTCCTCCGTTTATATGCAAAATTGGCTATTTCATGACGACTTGGCATGTAAACCGTCGTTCTAAACACAATGGGACGTTTGCGGGTTGTCTGATTGATTTATTTGTATACAAAGCAATTATTAACATAATAGTAAAACGTTTCCTCCATTCCGGCTAATGTCTGTCGGTGGTCCTTGGCGTTTCCAGTCAAACGTTTCGATTCGCTTTCTCCAAAATGTTGGTGTCCAAGTCATATAAACAGCTACTGGTGTTATACGGGCCATTCCGATTTTTCCTGCTATTAGGTGTTTTTTTTACTACACCGCCGTCGTTAATGGTGCGTGTCACCGGATTAGTGATTGTTCATTTCTATCAGATAGATTTTGTTTTTGTATTTTTCCGCATATTTCATTTAGGTCTCGACCACAAAAGATTTGAACACCGGTGCCAACAACAACAGTAATGTCAGACAGTCGCTACACCGGTTGTGAAGTCTGAAAGATCCAACAAAACAACATTTGATTGGACAACTTGAGATTGCACAACTTTTTTGAGATATTCCAAGGATTTACCTAATTTTGCCCTTTAAACGTGCCAATAGTTAGGCAGGCGCCAGACAAACATTAAACTTCCGATTCCTTAATTTTTGAAAAAATAAAAGGATAATTTAGGCTTTTGTTCAATAAGTCAAATAATTGCAGTAAGTCTAATTAATAGTAGATACATGTTAAACTCCAACAACAATAAGTACTAAATCTCTCTCTTTCTCACTCATACGTTTCTCTTAAAAATGTATTTTCTAAAGCTTTTCATAGCGTTCTGGAAGAAGTGAAATATTTTTAAAAACTATTTGAAAAAAAAATCCTATATCTTGTATATAAAAATATTATATCACTAAATTCTAAATAACCAATACAATTTTTAAAGATTTTTGAATTTTTTTTCGCCGCTTCTTCTCATTGTATCTAACCTATTAATATCACCAAAATCTCAAAACT